GTTCTCTGGACGTTCAGTCTTAGGTTCTCTGGACGTTCAGTCTTAGTCTCTGGACGTTCTGTCTTAGGGTCTATGGACGTTCTGTCTTAGGGTCTCTGGACGTTCAGTCTTAGGTTCTCTGGACGTTCAGTCTTAGTCTCTGGACGTTCAGTCTTAGTCTCTGGACGTTCAGTCTTAGGGTCTCTGGACGTTCAGTCTTAGTCTCTGGACGTTCAGTCTTAGGTTCTCTGGACGTTCAGTCTTAGGGTCTTTGGACGTTCTGTCTTAGGGTCTATGGACGTTCTGTCTTAGGGTCTCTGGACGTTCTGTCTTAGGGTCTCTGGACGTTCTGTCTTAGGGTCTCTGGACGTTCAGTCTTAGTCCCTGGACGTTCAGTCTTAGTCTCTGGACGTTCTGTCTTAGGGTCTCTGGACGTTCTGTCTTAGGGTCTCTGGACGTTCAGTCTTAGGTTCTCTGGACGTTCAGTCTTAGGGTCTCTGGACGTTCTGTCTTAGGGTCTATGGACGTTCTGTCTTAGGGTCTATGGACGTTCTGTCTTAGGTTCTCTGGACGTTCAGTCTTAGGTTCTCTGGACGTTCAGTCTTAGTCTCTGGACGTTCAGTCTTAGTCTCTGGACGTTCTGTCTTAGGGTCTCTGGACGTTCAGTCTTAGGTTCTCTGGACGTTCAGTCTTAGTCTCTGGACGTTCAGTCTTAGTCTCTGGACGTTCTGTCTTAGGGTCTCTGGACGTTCTGTCTTAGGTTCTCTGGACGTTCAGTCTTAGTCTCTGGACGTTCAGTCTTAGTCTCTGGACGTTCTGTCTTAGGGTCTCTGGACGTTCTGTCTTAGGGTCTCTGGACGTTCTATCTTAGGTCCTCTGGACGTTCAGTCTTAGTCCCTGGACGTTCAGTCTTAGTCTCTGGACGTTCTGTCTTAGGGTCTCTGGACGTTCTGTCTTAGGTTCTCTGGACGTTCAGTCTTAGTCTCTGGACGTTCAGTCTTAGTCTCTGGACGTTCTGTCTTAGGGTCTATGGACGTTCTGTCTTAGGTTCTCTGGACGTTCAGTCTTAGGTTCTCTGGACGTTCAGTCTTAGTCTCTGGACGTTCAGTCTTAGTCTCTGGACGTTCTGTCTTAGGGTCTCTGGACGTTCTGTCTTAGGTTCTCTGGACGTTCAGTCTTAGTCTCTGGACGTTCAGTCTTAGTCTCTGGACGTTCTGTCTTAGGGTCTCTGGACGTTCTGTCTTAGGGTCTCTGGACGTTCTATCTTAGGTCCTCTGGACGTTCAGTCTTAGTCCCTGGACGTTCAGTCTTAGTCTCTGGACGTTCAGTCTTAGGGTCTCTGGACGTTCAGTCTTAGGGTCTCTGGACGTTCTGTCTTAGGGTCTATGGACGTTCTGTCTTAGGTTCTCTGGACGTTCAGTCTTAGGTTCTCTGGACGTTCAGTCTTAGTCTCTGGACGTTCTGTCTTAGTCTCTGGACGTTCTGTCTTAGGGTCTCTGGACGTTCTGTCTTAGGTTCTCTGGACGTTCAGTCTTAGTCTCTGGACGTTCAGTCTTAGTCTCTGGACGTTCTGTCTTAGGGTCTATGGACGTTCTGTCTTAGGTTCTCTGGACGTTCAGTCTTAGGTTCTCTGGACGTTCAGTCTTAGTCTCTGGACGTTCAGTCTTAGTCTCTGGACGTTCTGTCTTAGGGTCTCTGGACGTTCTGTCTTAGGTTCTCTGGACGTTCAGTCTTAGTCTCTGGACGTTCAGTCTTAGTCTCTGGACGTTCTGTCTTAGGGTCTCTGGACGTTCTGTCTTAGGGTCTCTGGACGTTCTATCTTAGGTCCTCTGGACGTTCAGTCTTAGTCCCTGGACGTTCAGTCTTAGTCTCTGGACGTTCAGTCTTAGGGTCTCTGGACGTTCAGTCTTAGGGTCTCTGGACGTTCTGTCTTAGGGTCTATGGACGTTCTGTCTTAGGGTCTATGGACGTTCAGTCTTAGGTTCTCTGGACGTTCAGTCTTAGGTTCTCTGGACGTTCAGTCTTAGTCTCTGGACGTTCTGTCTTAGGGTCTATGGACGTTCTGTCTTAGGGTCTCTGGACGTTCAGTCTTAGGTTCTCTGGACGTTCAGTCTTAGTCTCTGGACGTTCAGTCTTAGTCTCTGGACGTTCAGTCTTAGTCTCTGGACGTTCAGTCTTAGGGTCTCTGGACGTTCAGTCTTAGTCTCTGGACGTTCAGTCTTAGGTTCTCTGGACGTTCAGTCTTAGGGTCTTTGGACGTTCTGTCTTAGGGTCTATGGACGTTCTGTCTTAGGGTCTCTGGACGTTCTGTCTTAGGGTCTCTGGACGTTCAGTCTTAGGGTCTATGGACGTTCAGTCTTAGGTTCTCTGGACGTTCAGTCTTAGGGTCTCTGGATGTTCAGTCTTAGTCTCTGGACGTTCTGTCTTAGTCTCTGGATGTTCAGTCTTAGGGTCTTTGGACGTTCTGTCTTAGGGTCTATGGACGTTCTGTCTTAGGGTCTCTGGATGTTCTGTCTTAGGGTCTATGGACGTTCTGTCTTAGGGTCTATGGACGTTCTGTCTTAGGGTCTCTGGATGTTCTGTCTTAGGGTCTCTGGACGTTCTCTTTTCTAAACTGTCTTCCTTCCAGGATGAGAGCTACTACCTTCGCTCCCTGGGAGACGACGTTCGTAAGGTCAGACATTCACAGTCCGACTTATGTTTACTCAAAATGGTTTGAAGAACTCTTCCAATAGTTCCTGATGTTCTGGTTTCAGTCCAACCCTTCTTTGTCCACAGGAACCGGCTGTCCTGAGCAAACAGTTCCCGGACCTGGCAGAGGACTTCCACATCCCCCCATTCTTTGAGCCCAACCAGTTCTTCTCCAGCGTTTTCCGGATCAGCTCCTGTGGACTGCAGCTTTGGACGCACTATGACGTAAGTACTGGTGTTGGGTGGACCCGGTTCTGTTAGCGTTCTAAGTGCTGCTGTCATGAGATGTTTGAAAACGCTCTGGTCTCCCCCTGAAGGTGATGGACAACCTGCTGGCTCAGGTCACAGGAAGGAAGAGGGTGGTTCTGTTCAGCCCCCAGGATGCATTGCACCTCTACCTGAACGGTGAGACCCCATCAGTGATCCGTGTTCCGCTCTGAGGGAACGGTTCAGTCACATGGTTCATGATCGGACCCAGCAGGTGATAAGTCCGAGGTTCTGGACGTCGACGCTCCTGATCTGAAACGGTTTCCTGAGTTTGTGAAAGCGAGAAGATACGACTGCGTCCTGCAGCCTGGGGACCTGCTCTTCATCCCTGGTAGGAAGATCAGAACATCCAGCAGCTCTGAGCAGAACCCGCCTCACTCTGTCCTGTTTCCTCAGCGCTGTGGTTCCATAACACGCGGGCCCTTCAGTTTGGAGTCGGCGTCAACGTCTTCTGGCGCCACCTACCTGCGGACAGCTACGACAGGAAGGACCCGTATGGAAACAAAGACCCGCTGGCGGCTGCTCGAGCTCTGCAGACCCTAGAGAAGGCTCTGGGCGCTTTGGAGCAGCTCCCGGCGGATTACAGGGACTTCTACGGCCGGCGGATGGTCCAACGCATCACAGCCCGCACCCAGAGACCCATGGAAGATCTGTGAGGCCGAGTCCGACAGACTTGATCTTTATTTCTGTGGCAAAGTGCAGCGTCCACACGGACGCCGCGCCGTGTCCACACAGGACCACGCCGTGTCCACACGGACGCCACGCCGTGTCCAGACAGACGCCACGCTTCTGTTCTGCCCTCTGTTTACGATTGAAATGGAAATAAACTGTTTTCATGGAAACATTTAATGCCATCTTTCTAAAATCTAATTTTATCAAAATTCTGAGCTACAAAGAATAAAACATTTTAAATGGTAACTTTCCTGTTTGTCTGAAGTATTGATAAGATGGATACAAACATGACAGAACTGCGATGCTCATTCTGGGAAATATTAATGAACGTTTCCGTTTTGCAAAGATTATTTAGTGTTAGCAGGAAAATCCACCTCATCTGCCTCCAGGGTTCAGTGGAACGTTCAAAGTTCAAAGTCTGTAGCTCTAAAGGGTCACCATAACACCCCCCCCCCCCCATGCTGGTTCAGCTGGTGCTGAACTGGACAGCTCCTTCAGTGACAGACTGCTGCACCTTAAATGCACCAGGGAGCGTTATCACAGATCCTTCCTCCCAGCAGCTGGAAGACTCTAGAACCACCACTGTTCCCAGTAACCTCAACCAGTTCTTCCATTCATGCTGATTCTGCTCAGTTTCTACCTTCGTCAGTTAAATAACCTGCTGCTGTCATTCTACACATCTCTGATTAAGCTGCTATTTTCAATTTACTGGAAAAATGTCCACAGTTGCATATTGGTTATTTATTCCCCAGTTTTATATTGTTAAAACACTTTACAGGATTTTATTGTCTATCTTTTAATTCTTCACCATTATTTTATTCGTAGACTTTTTTTCTAACGTCCACATTTTTCCTCATTTTTGGGACAATGAAGGGATTTTTTCTTCTATAGGACTACAGACAGCATGTTAGCATCAACAGCTAGTGTCTGAAAATGTTTTAAGTTTTTCCAGACGTTACAGAGATGATCAGATCTACTGCTAACATTTTAATTAGCTAAAACCTGGAATATTTTCCACATAATTTAGTTTCATCATGTTCAATAATTATTTTAATAAAACTTTATTTGTAAAGTTTTGCTTTTGGCTAATGCCTTTATATGCTAATGTTAGCATATTGTTTAAGCTTTGGCTAATATTAGAATAACCGCTAGGTTTAGCTTATCTGAGCTAACATGCTAATATCAATACTTCAATTGCTGCCTGTAGCAAAGCTACTGTTAGCTTCTCAGGGATCCAGAGGCTTCTAACATATTTTAAACATTAACCCTTCAAGCTAAATGCTTTAGCTCGCTAAAACGCTTCAAAGGGTTCAGTAGCGTCTAACGCTAACGTTAGCTCATTGCTACAGATCAGCGGTTGTTTCTGCGTTCAGGTACAACATCAGCAGAACGTGTCACAGAGATATTTTATTGCACAAAGGTTACAGTTCTCCATGTTAAAGCTTTGTAAACAGTGAGCAGCTTCTCCCCAGTGTTTGGTTCTCCTGCTAACATCTCCTGAACGTCTCTGTGGGTTCCTCCGTGTTCCTCCGTGTTCTAACAGCGTGTACTAGAGCCAACCAGTGACAGACTACATGAAGCAGTAAGAAGCTGGAACCTGTGGCAGAACCTCAGCTGACCTCCGGTGGACCGTCAATGAACCAACAGGGACCAATGGAGGTTCTAGAAGGTCAGGAACCTTCCAGGAGGTCAAGTTCTTCTAAAACAGTTTAGATTCAGGTGAAAATGAGGGAACAGTCAGTGAGACGCGGCACGTAGGACCCGAATCTGAAGCAGCAGAACAAGGCAGTCCTGCTGGACCGGTCACACACTGGGTCGTCCGGGTCCTTCTCCCTTCCGGGTCCTTGTCCCACCTGGGTCCTTGTCCCACCTGGGTCCTTGTCCCACCTGGGTTTTGTGTTCCGTTCAGGGTCTGTGTCCCGTCCAGGTCCGTTTTTTGTTCAGGGTCCGTGTTCGTCTGAGGTCCTTGTTCCGTTCAGGGTCCGTGTCCTGTCCGGGTCCGTGTTCCGCTGGGGTCCGTGTCCCGTCTGGGTCCGTGTTCCGCTGGGGTCCGTGTCCCGTCTGGGTCCGTGTTCCGTCTGGGTCCGTGTTCCGTTCAGGGTCCGTGTCCTGTCCGGGTCCGTGTTCCGTCTGGGTCCGTGTTCCGTCTGGGTCCGTGTTCCGTCTGGGTCCGTGTTCCGTTGGGGTCCGTGGTCCGTCTGGGTCCGTGTTCCGTCTGGGTCCGTGTTCCGTCTGGGTCCGTGTTCCGTCTGGGTCCGTGTTCCGTCGGGGTCCGTGTTCCGTCTGGGTCCGTGTTCCGTTCAGGGTCCGTGTCCTGTCCGGGTCCGTGTTCCGTCTGGGTCCGTGTTCCGTCTGGGTCCGTGTTCCGTCTGGGTCCGTGTTCCGTCGGGGTCCGTGTTCCGTCGGGGTCCGTGGTCCGTCTGGGTCCGTGTTCCGTCTGGGTCCGTGTTCCGGTCGGGGTCCGTGTTCCGTTCAGGGTCCGTGGTCCGTCTGGGTCCGTGTTCCGTCTGGGTCCGTGTTCCGTCGGGGTCCGTGTTCCGTTCAGGGTCCGTGTTCCGTCGGGGTCCGTGTCCCGTTCAGGGTCCGTGGTCCGTCTGGGTCCGTGGTCCGTCTGGGTCCGTGGTCCGTCTGGGTCCGTGTCCCATCATGTTCCGTGTTCCGTCTGGGTTCTGCGGCGTGCGCGGGGCTGAGCAAAGTTCCCTCTGTAGGTAGAGAATGGCACGTTGGGGGAGAAACGCGGTGCGGACTAGGTTGGACTTCTGTGGAGGCAGAATCGGTTCTGACCCGTATCGGACGGGTTCTGTTACGGAGTCTGAGCCATGCCGCGGCTGGACTTCATCTTCTCCAGTCTTTTGTTCAGGTGGCTGTTGTTGGACTCCAGCTCCTCGATCTTATCCAGCGCCGTCCGCAGCTGTTGGATCAGAACCATCAGAACTTTCCCAGAACCATCAGAACTTTCCCAGAACCGAGCGTTACCTCTCTCTGCAGTTTGCGTTTCTCGGCCTTCAGCTCGTCCTCCACCTTCTCTGCGTTCTCGGCAGCAGATCTGTAACGCGTCACATGACCCTCCAGTCTGGTCACCTGCGGACCGACAGAGACTCGGATGTTTGGACAGAAGCTGCAGGTCAGAGGAGTGAATACTGTAGTAACGGGTGTCTGGCTCACGTTTTGCTCCAAGGCCGTGACTTCTTGCTCAGCCTTCACCAGTTTGAACTTCAGGTCATTTATCTGGCGGTTGGAGTCTCCTGGAAAGATAAGGAGCTGTTAGTGTGAGAAGGTGGAGGAACCCAGACGCTTCTGCTCCACCTACTCTGTAACTCCATGATGTTTGGGTCGCTGCCGTTTTCTGCAGGGTCACCATCTGGACTGGAGGAGCTTTCTGAGCCGTTCTTCTGGCTCTTCACTTCCAGCTGGTTCTTTAGTTTCTTTATCTGTAGGAGAACAGCATCAGAACCTCCACCTGAGAACATCAGAACCTCCACCTGAGAACATCAGAACCTCCACCTGAGAGCATCTGGCCACCTTCAGGAGAAACTCACCTGCTCGATCATTCGCTCTCGCTCGTCCACCAGCTTCCTCAGACGGATCTCTGAAACGCAGAACTCACGCCGTTAATCTGAGCAGCAGTCAGCAGCTTTTCTTTCCAACTGATCCGGTCATCAGCTGAAGGATCTTCATCAGGAGAGGAAGAGGAGAAACCTCCACCTTTGGTTGGAGGACATCTCAGATTTCACTTCCGATGCTTTAGGCTGATCACATTTCAGAGACCTTCTGCTAAAGCAGACAGTGAGGCGGAGGTCTTCCTCCAAACTGGACCAGGGTCACTTATTACCTTCAGTCACAGAGAGGTGGAGAAACATCTCCTAAGGTCTCCTTTAAAGTTTCCATGGCAACCATCAGCTGACCAACAAACAAACTCTGCTTTTCTGCCACGCCACACCTGAATGGCGGAGGAGCAACCTCCTGAGGGGCGGGTGGAGGGACCTCCTGAGGGGCGGGAGGAGGGACCTCCTCAGGGGCGGGAGGAGGGACCTCCTCAGGGGCGGGAGGAGGTCCCTCCTCAGGGGCGGGAGGAGGGACCTCCTCAGGGGCGGGAGGAGGGACCTCCTCAGGGGCGGGAGGAGGTCCCTCCTCAGGGGCGGGAGGAGGTCCCTCCTCAGGGGCGGGAGGAGGGACCTCCTGAGGGGCGGGAGGAGGGACCTCCTGAGGGGCGGGAGGAGGGACCTCCTCAGGGGCGGGAGGAGGTCCCTCCTCAGGGGCGGGAGGAGGTCCCTCCTCAGGGGCGGGAGGAGGGACCTCCTGAGGGGCGGGAGGAGGGACCTCCTCAGGGGCGGGAGGAGGTCCCTCCTCAGGGGCGGGAGGAGGGACCTCCTCAGGGGCGGGAGGAGGTCCCTCCTGAGGGGCGGGAGGAGGGACCTCCTCAGGGGCAGGAGGAGGGACCTCCTCAGGGGCGGGAGGAGGGACCTCCTCAGGGGCGGGAGGAGGTCCCTCCTCAGGGGCGGGAGGAGGGACCTCCTCAGGAAGCAAGTGAGGCAGCGATGGCCTAAAGATTGAGACCCCTAATCTAAAGATCTAGAATGTTCTGAGGATCCTCTCCCCTAAAGCAGGGGGCCAGAGTGGTTCCAGTAGGGGCCAGAGTGGTTCCAGTAGGGGCCAAAGTGGTTCCAGTAGGGGCCAAAGTGGTTCCAGTAGGGGCCATGTGGCCCCAGGTTTTCTTTTCAACCAACCAGCCAACAGCAGCAGTCCATCTGAACATAATGACCTGATTAGATCAGTCTGGTGCTCTTGGTTGGAAAGAAGATCTGGCCCCTACTGGAACCACTCTGGCCCCTACTGGAACCACTCTGGCCCCTACTGGACCCACTCTGGCCACTACTGGAACCACTCTGGCCACTACTGGAACCACTCTGGCCCCTACTGGAACCACTCTGGCCACTACTGGAACCACTCTGGCCACTACTGGAACCACTCTGGCCACTACTGGAACCACTTTGGCCCCTACTGGAACCACTCTGCCCCCTACTGGAACCACTTTGGCCCCTACTGGAGCCACTTTGGCCCCTACTGGAACCACTCTGGCCCCTACTGGAACCACTTTGGCCCCTACTGGAACCACTCTGGCCACTACTGGAACCACTCTGGCCACTACTGGAACCACTTTGGCCCCTACTGGAACCACTTTGGCCCCTACTGGAACCACTCTGCCCCCTACTGGAACCACTCTGGCCCCTACTGGAACCACTCTGGCCCCTACTGGAACCACTTTGGCCCCTACTGGAACCACTTTGGCCCCTACTGGAACCACTCTGGCCTCTACTGGAACCACTCTGGCCACTACTGGAACCACTCTGGCCCCTACTGGAACCACTCTGGCCCCTACTGGAACCACTTTGGCCCCTACTGGAACCACTCTGGCCACTACTGGAACCACTTTGGCCCCTACTGGAACCACTCTGGCCCCTACTGGAACCACTCTGGCCACTACTGGAACCACTCTGGCCCCTACTGGAACCACTCTGGCCCCTACTGGAACCACTTTGGCCCCTACTGGAACCACTCTGGCCCCTACTGGAACCACTTTGGCCCCTACTGGAACCACTCTGGCCCCTACTGGAACCACTCTGGCCCCTACTGGAACCACTTTGGCCCCTACTGGAACCACTCTGGCCACTACTGGAACCACTCTGGCCCCTACTGGAACCACTTTGGCCCCTACTGGAACCACTTTGGTCCCTACTGGAACCACTCTGGCCACTACTGGAACCACTCTGGCCACTACTGGAACCACTCTGGCCCCTACTGGAACCACTTTGGCCCCTACTGGAACCACTTTGGCCCCTACTGGAACCACTTTGGCCCCTACTGGAACGACTTTGGCCCCTGTGCCCTAAACCTTCCTAAAACCAGACTTTATCCTCAGGAGAACTTAGACTGAGGCTGTTTCTCCATTCACTAGAACGCGACGGACGTTCTAGTGAATTGACCGCAGACGGGTTAACGTTAGCCTCAATTCACTAGAAAGCGTTCTAAATATGTCCTCAGACATTTTGAATTATGGTGAACTAAGTGTGGTTTCCTAAACACTTTCCGTTGCTGAAATGTCCACTGATGAAGATCACCTTCAGAAGATCGGATTGTTGGAAAGAAAAAGAATCATCAATAAATGAAAAGGAAAATGGGGAACATACCAGAGGGAGGGGAGGAGCCAGGGAGGGGAGGAGCCGTGGAGGGGAGGAGCCAGGGAGGGGAGGATCAAGGCATGCAACACAGCAGCGTCCAGGAGGACGAGTGATGGAGGAGGGGTGGGTGAGCATGCAGTGGCTCTGGAGAGGAGAGACAGAGACGCCGCGTCCGCAGAGACGCTAGACGTCCAACGAGACGCTAGGCGTCCACAGAGACACTGTAGCGAGTATAGCTTGGCAATATGGCCTAGAAATAAAATCCTTTTTTATCTTTAACCCCCCCCATTAAGTTTAAACGGGGACGATGTCTTTGTCTTCTGCTCCTTTCATCTCATGCGCTGCATTTAGAAATAAACTCTAAACACCCCGCGTCCACAGAGACACTAGGCATCCACAGAGACACTAGGCGTCCACAGACACTAGGCGTCCACAGACACTAGGCGTCCACAGAGACGACATGCCCACAGAGCCACTAGGTGTTCACAGAGACACTAGGGGCCCACAGAGCCACTAGGCGTCCAGAGACACTAGGCGTCCACAGACACTAGGCGTCTACAGACACTAGGCGTCCACAGAGACGACATGCCCACAGAGCCACTAGGTGTTCACAGAGACACTAGGGGCCCACAGAGCCACTAGGCGTCCAGAGACACTAGGCGTCCACAGACACTAGGCGTCTACAGACACTAGGCGTCCACAGACACTAGGCGTCCACAGAGACGACATGCCCACAGAGCCACTAGGTGTTCACAGAGACACTAGGGGCCCACAGAGCCACTAGGCGTCCAGAGACACTAGGCGTCCACAGACACTAGGCGTCTACAGACACTAGGCGTCCACAGACACTAGGCGTCCACAGAGACGACATGCCCACAGAGCCACTAGGTGTTCACAGAGACACTAGGGGCCCACAGAGCCACTAGGCGTCCAGAGACACTAGGCGTCCAGAGACACTAGGCGTCCAGAGACACTAGGCGTTCACAGAGATACTAGGCGTCCAGAGACACTAGGCGTCCACAGAGACACTAGGTGCCCAAAGAGACGGTAGGTGCCCAAAGAGACGCTAGGCGTCCAGAGACACTAGGTGCCCAAAGAGACACTAGGCGTCCACAGAGACACTAGGTGCCCACAGAGACACGTCCACAGAGACACTAGGTGCCCACAGAGACACTAGGCGTCCAGAGACACTAGGCGCCCAAAGAGACACTAGGCGCCCACCGAGACACTAGACACCCACTGAAACGCTAGGCATCCAGAGACGTTAGGTGCCCAAAGAGACGGTAGGTGCCCAAAGAGACGCTAGGCGTCCAGAGACACTAGGTGCCCACAGAGACACTAGGCGTCCACAGAGACGTTAGGTGCCCAAAGAGACGGTAGGTGCCCAAAGAGACGCTAGGCGTCCAGAGACACTAGGTGCCCACAGAGACACTAGGCGTCCAGAGACACTAGGTGCCCAAAGAGACACTAGGCGTCCACAGAGACACTAGGTGCCCACAGAGACACGTCCACAGAGACACTAGGTGCCCACAGAGACACTAGGCGTCCAGAGACACTAGGTGTCCAGAGAGACACTAGGCGTCCACCGAGACACTAGGCGCCCAAAGAGACACTAGGCGTCCACCGAGACACTAGGCGTCCACACAGACACTAGGCGTCCACACAGACACTAGGCGTCCACCGAGACGCTAGGCGCCCAATGAGACGCTAGGCGCCCACCAAAAAGCTAGGCATCCAAAGACACTAGGCGTCCACAGAGACACTAGGCGCCCAGAGAAACACTGGGCGTCCAGAGAGACACTAGGCGTCCACCGAGACACTAGGCGCCCAAAGAGACACTAGGCGTCCACCGAGACACTAGGCGTCCACACAGACACTAGGCGTCCACCGAGACGCTAGGCGCCCAAAGAGACGCTAGGCGCCCACCAAAAAGCTAGGCATCCAGAGACACTAGGCGTCCACAGAGACACTAGGCGCCCAGAGAAACACTGGGCGTCCAGAGACACTAGGCGTTCACAGAGACACTAGGCGCCCACCGAAACGCTAGGCATCCAGAGACGTTAGGCGTCCACAGAGACGTTAGGTGCCCAAAGAGACGGTAGGTGCCCAAAGAGACGCTAGGCGTCCAGAGACACTAGGTGCCCAAAGAGACACTAGGCGTCCACAGAGACACTAGGTGCCCACAGAGACACGTCCACAGAGACACTAGGTGCCCACAGAGACACTAGGCGTCCAGAGACACTAGGCGCCCAAAGAGACACTAGGCGCCCACCGAGACACTAGACACCCACTGAAACGCTAGGCGTCCAGAGACACTAGGTGTCCAGAGAGACACTAGGCGTCCACCGAGACACTAGGCGCCCAAAGAGACACTAGGCGTCCACCGAGACACTAGGCGTCCACACAGACACTAGGCGTCCACCGAGACGCTAGGCGCCCAATGAGACGCTAGGCGCCCACCAAAAAGCTAGGCATCCAAAGACACTAGGCGTCCACAGAGACACTAGGCGCCCAGAGAAACACTGGGCGTCCAGAGAGACACTAGGCGTCCACCGAGACACTAGGCGCCCAAAGAGACACTAGGCGTCCACCGAGACACTAGGCGTCCACACAGACACTAGGCGTCCACCGAGACGCTAGGCGCCCAAAGAGACGCTAGGCGCCCACCAAAAAGCTAGGCATCCAGAGACACTAGGCGTCCACAGAGACACTAGGCGCCCAGAGAAGCACTGGGCGTCCACCGAGACACTAGGCGTCCACCGAGACACTAGGCGCCCAAAGAGACACTAGGTGTCCACCGAAACGCTAGGCGTCCAGAGACACTAGGTGTCCACCGAAACGCTAGGCGCCCAAAGACACTAGGCGTCCACAGAGACACCGTGCCTGCAGAAACCATAGGAGTCCACAGAGACGCTACGCCCACAGAGACACTAGGCGCCCAAAAAGACACTAGACATCCACAGAGACACCGTGCCTGCAGCGTCACTAGACGCCCAGAGACAATAGGTGCGTACAGAGACATGCCGCGCCTACAAAGATGCCGCGCCCACAGAGACACTAGGCGCCCAGAGACACTAGGCTTTCACAGAGACAACATGTCCAAAGAGACAATGCGTCCACAGAAATACTGACCGTCCACAAACACACCGCGCCCATGTAGACACGTGTCCACAGAGACACATTGTGTCCACGGAGACACCCCATGCCCACAAACCACGTCCACAGAGACACAGCGTCTTCATTCCAGGTTTATTTAGATCTGGGTTTCAAACAGCAGGATTCAACCATTTTAGTGCAACAAGATGCAAAGATGTTTAAAAACATTCTGATGGGACCCGGTAGAGTCCAAACCTCATCCTGGTTCTGACAGATAAAACCTTTAAAAGCTGCTTTGGAAGAAACATTGACCAGAAAAACACTGTTTGTGTTACAAAGATAAAGAACATTTAAGAGCTGCATAAAAACAGTGATAGTCCATCAGTGGTGCTGCAGAACCAATGGAGGACGGTGGTACCGGTCCAAACCGCTGATGTCCAGGAGTCACCAGAAACCTGTTGGTTCAAAGACGTCCAGAGATACTGACTCGGACCTGTTGATGGTCCAGTTCTGGCTGGATTTGGCCCACATGCAGACCAGAGGAGGCCAACCAGGGAATTTAATGTGGAAGGAGCAGGGAGGTCTTGGATGAGCGAGAGATTCATTTAGTTCCATTATTATTATTATTATTATTATTTAAAGTCCAGCAGCTGCTGCCGCCCCCCCGACCCGCCCCGCAATGATGCTGTCCATGCTGAAGGAAGCTCCTCCCCCCTCTGAGACTGCAAACCACCCAATGTCACCACTGAAGCCATCCCAACTGATGCAGGTCTGGATGTTCCAGCTCTAGAACCCCCCCCCCGGCATTTGCTGACTAAGCCATCTTACAGTCCTCCTTGCCCTTTCCTTTGCCCTTCTTCTTCTTGGAATCCTTCCCTGACTGGATGGATTGTTCTGGAATCTTTCCTGAATCCGTAGTCAGCTCCGCTGCGTCCACTCCCAGCTCTACTGCAGAGGACGCCTCCTGCTGGATGCACTCTGTAACATCTTCCAGGGTTTCAGGTATAGCGTCTCCACGCCGAGGACAGTTCTGAGGTTCTGCTCCTTCTTCCAATAGAATGGCCTCCTTAGCGTCCTCCTCAGGAAACTTCTCATCATCTCTTCCGTTAGTTTCCACCGTAGTTTGGAAAAGCTCCGGACCGTTCCCGTTGACTTCACCCACTTTGGCCGTAGTTTGCTCCTCAACGTCTGCTGGTTCAGGTTGGTTGGATTGAGCAGATGCAACAGCTGCTTCTAAGTCTGAGTCATCGAAATCAAAAGACTGTCCCTCATCTTCCTCCTCCTCCTCCTCGCTGTTCAGATGAGCGAGTGGAGATGAAGCGCCACTTTCAGGTTTTCCTACTGACTTATTGATCTGCTCTACTGGAGGACATGGTGAGGGTTTGATTTCCTTGTTGTTGGGATTATCTTCTGGTTCTGGACGTGCAGGAGAACCTTTCAACTCCTCTGAGAACTCTGTCTGGTCCTCTTTAGGAGGCCTACTAGAAGCAGCCTCAGCATCTGTTTTAGTTAGATCTACACCCTCTTCTCTGCCCTCTTCCCGCGGATCTTCTGGTTCTTCATTCAACTCTTGGTTCTCTGCACTGCCTTCTTCCATCTGTGGATCATCATCTCCAGAGGTCTTTGGTTCTCCATGGTCTGGCTCAGATGCCTCCTCAGGACGCTCTCTGGGTTCCTTCCTGGAGGGGCTGCAGATGTTCCCAGCTGATGAGTCTATGGGCTCATCTTTGGAGTCCTCATCCTGGTCAGTCTTGGAACCATCAGTAGATTCTGACTCAGCAGGAACTTCATCACCTTCAGGAACGCGTGTTTCAGGGACACCATCTTCTTCTCTAAAGGACTCCGAGATACCTTCAGGGTTGGTAGTCATCGTTTCATCTCCATCCACAGGTTCCAACTCGCTGTGGATGTTTTTCACACTCGTGCCTCGTGACGAGTCTTCTCCACTCGGAGAATCAGGAATGCCACCAGATTTCGGGGGGTTTCCTTCTGCATCAGGACTGGTTGGAGGTTCCGTCTCTTTTTCATCTGATGGCTTCAAATCTTCTTCACCCATAGGGTTAGGGTCAGCCTCACCAGGTTCACTCATTGATCCAACTTCTGAGGAACATTTTGGGATTTCCGTTACTGAATCAGGTTTTTCTTCATGGCTCTGGACCACCTTAAGAAGATCTACTCTGGTTTCATTAGAAGTATCAGGGGTTTCTATGGCAACATCCTCTTCTGCAGTGACTCTGCCATCGTCTCCAACCATTCTGGACTCTGGTACAGATTCCGCAACTTGATCATCTTGGAGGAATCCTTTAGTCGGTTCCTTGGGTTCCGGTTTGTCTGCTTCTCTAGATCTTCCCTGACTCTGTTCATCTTCTGAAAGCTCCAACCTTGAATCAGTGAGACCAGATGTTTCTGAAGGTCCCAGAGCATCTCCTTGTTCCTCCTCATCCGAGAACTGATCTGGGCTTGATTGCGGGACTCCTGGGATGTCCTCTCTGATGGAGGCATCTTCATTCAAAGGTGACCTGCTGTCCTTAGACGTTAGAAGACTGCCCTCTGGATCATGACTGGTTAATCTAGAACATTCCTTCTCCATTCTGGATTCCTTATGGTGCTTGAGAGGAGAAGAACCTTCAGTGAGATTGTCTGGAGCCTCATATTCCAGACTCTTTGGTTCTGCAGGTTTTTCCTCATCCTTTGGGTCCTCATGATGCCCAGCTCTGATTTCTTTGAGGAGCTTCTTGCTTGGTTCCAGAACTTCAGCTTCTAGATTCTGGGTATTCATAGTTTCCTTGTTGTCATGATCTGGGTTCGGTTCGTGCAGATTCTCCTTGAGAGAAAAAGTTTCGCTGCATTTAGCAGCATCCACTTGTTCCGGTTCTGGATTGCCCTGACCAGACTCAGAGATGGACCCAACAGATCCAGGTTCTGCTGCGGGCCCGTCGGTACACACCACTGAATCTGTTTGGCCCGTTTCCTTCTCGGTTCCAGGTCTTTGTTGGTCTTTGTTTTCATGAGTTCCTTTCTTCTTTCCTTTTTTCTTCTTCTTCTTCTTTTTTGCTGAAGTTGTGGAAATCTGAGACTGGGGTTTACTCGCCGTTTCCTCAGCCTCCCGGTTCTCGGGCTCCTCTGGTTCTTGTAACGGTTCTGTGTTTGATCCGACCGGGACGTATTCCTCGACCAGATGTTCCGATGTAACAGCTTGTCCAAGAGTTTCCTGAGGCTGTGGAGCATCGCCTCCCTCGCCGATGTCCACCATGCTTTCTTGACCTTCTGAAGGGTTGGTTTCATGTTCCTCTGGGTGACCTTTGGAGTGACCCTGCTCACATTTCTCTGTCTGGGGAACATTTCCTTCAGACTCCTGAATCTCCTGGAAGTCATGGCTGACAATGACGCTAGCTTTAGAGGCTGAAGCACTTTGGAGGTGACTGTGGACCTCAGAGGGTAAGGATGTCTTCTGCTCCTTTGGAGGTCCTTCAACATCAACCATGAACTTATTTTCTTGGTCATCCTCCAGAGATTCTCGCTGCTCCTCTTGCTCTACCTCCTCCTCTGTGCCTCCTGGATATCATGAAGAGCAAACGGTGATAAGAGGCCAAGAAAAGGAGACTTCTGTAAAGTTCATCAGAAGGTGCACTGGCAGAAGGTAAGGCAAAGATAGGACAACCGGCCGATTCTGGAGACAGAAAGAGAAGCTCAGAGCCAAGATGTCCGACAGCGGCAGAGGAAGCAGGAGAAGAGGAGGAGCCACGAGGTGGAGAACTTTACCACCTCAGGAGAGCAAGAAAGATCTCAATCTGAACAGTTAACCCCAAACAGAAGGAGAGAAACATCGGCTGCCAGCGATCACAGACCAACACCCACCGATCAAAGCCAGAGCAACAATAACCAAGACCACCAAGAGGGAGGAAGACCACCAAGAGGGAGGAAGACCACAAAGAGGGAGGAAGACCACAAAGAGGGAGGAAGACCAAGAAGAGGCAGGAAGACCACGAAGAGACAGGAAGACCACGAAGAGGGAGGAAGACCATGAAGAGGGAGGAAGACCACGAAGAGGGAGGAAGACCACCAAGAGGGAGGAAGACCACGAAGAGGGAGGAAGACCACGAAGAGGCAGGAAGACCACGAAGAGGGAGGAAGACCACCAAGAGGGAGGAAGACCACCAAGAGGGAGGAAGACCACCAAGATGGAGGAAGACCACCAAGAGGGAGGAAGACCAAGAAGAGGCAGGAAGACCATGAAGAGGCAGGAAGACCACCAAGAGGGAGGAAGACCATGAAGAGGGAGGAAGACCACCAAGAGGGAGGAAGACCACGAAGAGGGAGGAAGACCACCAAGAGGGAGGAAGACCACCAAGAGGGAGGAAGACCACGAAGAGGGAGGAAGACCATGAAGAGGCAGGAAGACCATGAAGAGGCAGGAAGACCACCAAGAGGGAGGAAGACCATGAAGAGGGAGGAAGACCACCAAGAGGGAGGAAGACCACGAAGAGGGAGGAAGACCACCAAGAGGGAGGAAGACCATGAAGAGGGAGGAAGACCACCAAGAGGGAGGAAGACCACGAAGAGGGAGGAAGACCACGAAGAGGGAGGAAGACCAGGAAGAGGGAGGAAGACCACCAAGAGGGAGGAAGACCACGAAGAGGGAGGAAGACCACCAAGAGGGAGGAAGACCACGAAGAGGGAGGAAGACCACGAAGAGGGAGGAAGACCACGAAGAGGGAGGAAGACCACGAAGAGGGAGGAAGACCATGAAGAGGCAGGAAGACCACGAAGAGGGAGGAAGACCATGAAGAGGCAGGAAGACCACCAAGAGGGAGGAAGACCATGAAGAGGGAGGAAGACCACCAAGAGGGAGGAAGACCACGAAGAGGGAGGAAGACCACCAAGAGGGAGGAAGACCATGAAGAGGCAGGAAGACCACCAAGAGGGAGGAAGACCACGAAGAGGGAGGAAGACCACCAAGAGGGAGGAAGACCATGAAGAGGCAGGAAGACCACCAAGAGGGAGGAAGACCACGAAGAGGGAGGAAGACCACCAAGAGGGAGGAAGACCACGAAGAGGGAGGAAGACCATGAAGAGGCAGGAAGACCACCAAGAGGGAGGAAGACCATGAAGAGGGAGGAAGACCACCAAGAGGGAGGAAGACCACGAAGAGGGAGGAAGACCACGAAGAGGGAGGAAGACCACCAAGAGGGAGGAAGACCACGAAGAGGGAGGAAGACCATGAAGAGGCAGGAAGACCACCAAGAGGGAGGAAGACCATGAAGAGGGAGGAAGACCACCAAGAGGGAGGAAGACCATGAAGAGGGAGGAAGACCACGAAGAGGGAGGAAGACCATGAAGAGGGAGGAAGACCACGAAGAGGGAGGAAGACCATGAAGAGGCAGGAAGACCACCAAGAGGGAGGAAGACCACGAAGAGGGAGGAAGACCACGAAGAGGGAGGAAGACCACGAAGAGGGAGGAAGACCATGAAGAGGCAGGAAGACCACCAAGAGGGAGGAAGACCACGAAGAGGGAGGAAGACCACGAAGAGGGAGGAAGACCATGAAGAGGGAGGAAGACCACGAAGAGGGAGGAAGACCATGAAGAGGCAGGAAGACCACCAAGAGGGAGGAAGACCACGAAGAGGGAGGAAGACCACGAAGAGGGAGGAAGACCACGAAGAGGGAGGAAGACCATGAAGAGGGAGGAAGACCACCAAGAGGCAGGAAGACCACGAAGAGGGAGGAAGACCATGAAGAGGCAGGAAGACCATGAAACCAAACCTTACAGGCTGTGCAGCAGTCAGCTTCTTACCTGGAGTTCACCTTCTCCTCCACCCCCCACCCCCCCACCGGTGAGGCGTTAGCTCCAGCGTTAGCTCCAGCGTTAGCTCCAGCGTTAGCTACGGGGGCTCAGAGGGCTGGATGCCCTGAGGAAGATGGCGGCTGACTGCGGGAACCATTTCCCTGCATCCATCAGTCAGGATGTGAATCGCTTCCTTTTGTCTGAAAGGTTTTCTCTATTCTTTCTCTATTTCCTCTGAATATTTAAATTTTAAATTTTTTTAATCCCAGTTTGGTAAATTTTGCCTTTTTAGGCCGTTTTACAGGTTCTTATATTATCCAGAAAACTTCATTGATTGACATGTTGGGGAAAGTAACCTTTAGTTTAATTAATCAGTTAAAGTTAAAGTTTTCTGCCTGATTACAGATAGAAATAATAACAGAACGCCTGTAAAGGATGAATAAATGGTGAGTCTTTATTGTAATTTATAAAAACATATTTAAATATTTTAAATAAATCAAATATGAACCCAGCAAACATCATTTATTTAAACGGGTCTTTTTTTTTATGATAAAAACAGAGAAGCTAAAAACTCTAAACCTAAAATAAAAGCCTTTAATTTAGCGTTTATATAAAGGCTATGTTTCATTTTTATTTAGTAGCGGCGATAACATCAAACTAGTTTCAGCCTGAAGGCCTGGTTATCGTCCTGCAGCAGTTTATCGCAGTCAGTTTATCGCAGCAGTTTATCGCAGTCAGTTTATCGCAGTCAGTTTATCGCAGTCAGTTTATCGCAGTCAGTTTATCGCAGTCAGTTTATCGCAGCAGTTTATCGCAGCCAGTTTATCGCAGTCAGTTTATCGCGTCAGTTTATCGCAGCAGTTTATCGCAGTCAGTTTATCGCAGTCAGTTTATCGCAGTCAGTTTATCGCAGTCAGTTTATCGCAGCAGTTTATCGCAGCCAGTTTATCGCAGTCAGTTTATCGCGTCAGTTTATCGCAGCAGTTTATCGCAGCAGTTTATCGCAGCCAGTTTATCGCAGTCAGTTCATCGCGTCAGTTTATCGCAGCAGTTTATCGCAGTCAGTTTATCGCGTCAGTTTATCGCAGCAGTTTATCGCAGTCAGTTTATCGCAGTCAGTTTATCGCAGTCAGTTTATCGCAGCAGTTTATCGCAGCAGTTTATTGCAGATATGTTTGATTTATGGTCTGCACTATGTTATTCCACGCCACAACGCCAGAGGGCCAATCAGGAACAACAGAGGGCCATGAGGGCCAAAAAGAGCGGGAATCCAGGTGGAAAAAGGGTCCCAGCGTTCTCATGCACCTCCGTTTCCACAATGGTGGTCAGACTAACAGAACAAGGCGGTCAGGAACCAAACAGGAAATACGCATAGAGAAGAGCAGATGCAGATTTGACCAATCAGAGGCCTCCTGTCTGCGGAAGGGGGCGGGGCATATCTGCGTTCAGCCCACCTGGTTTCTGAGGATAAATCAGGCTCAGCATCCCTACAGCTGCTGACCAATCAGAACCAGAGCAGACTGGATGCTAACAGCAGCTCCTCCTCCATCAGGTCTGCTTCATGCTGCTGTGATGGAGCTTTAATGATGAAGACCAGGCGGAGGCGTCGGTTATCCAGGTAAGTTACTGACTGCTTCACCTGAGCACAGGAAGCTACCTGGTGATCCTCTAGATTTCCTTCTGTTCACTAAGAACCCATAAAAGGTGCAGCTACCCGGAGCTCCTCAGGGCTGAGGACTCGCTCCTGGAACTTCTCCTCTCGTCAAACAGAGAGCTGTGGTCCATCTGGAGCAGAACCTTCTGGGTTTGAACTACAGGAAGTGAAAGCTGGAGGATCAGAGGATCACCTGCAGACGACGGCAGGAAGACAGAGCGGAACCTGAGGAGCTCCCAGCAGCAGCGGAGCTCCGTCGGTTAGCCACACCAAGCCATGCGCAGGAAACAGGAAGTGGAGGTTTTACCGAGCACGCTGTTCCCTTCAGCCGCAGACGTCTGGGAATCCGGAGGCGTCTGGGAAAGCGACTCCTCGCCAGGAGAGCGCATAGCGTCCGACGGTCCGGCCTCACCGTTGATGCTCAGGTCGGGACCCAGGACGATTCCGTGTTTCTGCAGAGAGCGGCCATGTTAGCGGCACTCAGACGCTTCAGCAGAACCAGCAGCCATTTTTACAGACTACCTTCAGAACATCCTTCAGCTGCACCACCTCCTCTCTGAGCTCATCGCGCTCCAGGCGGATGGCGTCTGCGTATTCTTTCTGGCGCTCTAACGCCTGACAGAGGCGGTGAGAAGCAGAGCGCAGAGAAAAGGGTGAGAAGGCAGAGGAGGAAACATTTCATGCAAAGAAGGAAGGAGGTGCGTTCAGGGTCAGGATCCGTACCCCCATCTTCTTCTCCTTCCACTCCAACGTCTCCTGCAGGTCGCCGATCTCTCTACGCTGCGCCTCCTGCTTCAGACGCAGCTGACGGATCTCCTGAGCATGAAGGAGGAGGGAAGCTGGGTGACTGGGAGCAGGAGGAGGAGGAGGAACAGAGTGTGCAGCAGAGCATGCAGCGTGTTCTGGCCAGGTCCAAAAGGCGGAGCAGGAGGAGGAGCAGGAGGAGGAGGAGGAGGGTACTCACGTTCAGCAGCTCCTCGCTCTGCTGCAGCGTCTGCTTCATCTCGCTGAACTGGAACTGAAGGACGCTGTGGGCGTGTCTCTGCCGCTCCAAGTCCTGCAGGGACAGCAGGACGTTAGAGGGAGCAGGAACCGACTGACCGCCCATCACAACCAACTCATTATATATATATATATATATATATATATATATATATATATATATATATATATATATATATATATATATATATATATATATATATATATATATATATATATATATATATATATATATATATATGTCTGTGAGGGAGGAGCGGGGTGAGTGTTTTCAAGTCCTGCCAGGAGGGGGCGGGGTCATGGGATTGCATGAATGATTGAAGACTAGATTTGACTTTAGAAAATCCAATACCTAAAACGGCCAGAAGATGGCAGAAGTGCATCTTTTCACCATGAACCACATTTCCTCTGATATCCAGTCGCTGCTGAGCGTCGACCTTAGTCGACCTTAACAGGTCAGAAATGAGGCTGGCGCCTGGTTGAGGTAACTTCCTGCTCACCGACTCCATCATCTCTCACCTTGACCTTTTCGTCGAATTCCCGCCGTGACTCTGAGAGCAGCTCCTCCAGCTCCATCAGAGAGTCTTTGAGCGTGTCCACCTGGTACATCAGGTTGTTCTTCTCGTTGTCCAGCTGGGCGTTGGACACCATGGCCTTGCGGTACTTCTCCTCCACTTCTGCCATTGCATCCTGAGGAGGAGAAGGAGCCGGAAGTTAAACTGCGTCCTTAGCTAGAGGAGACGGTGGTGAAGGAAGCCTTCAGAGAAACCTGAGGAGCTACTAAAGAAGCAGAGAGAGTCCTACAAGCTGCAGCTTCATGCTCGCCTCTGAAGGTCGCATTCATCTACCTTCACTTCCTTCAGGTTCTGGAGGTACTTTGCTTCCACGTCCTGAATCTGATCTTTCAGCTCATGGATCTCCTGGTGGAGGCAGCAGCAGCAGCAGCGGTGAAGGAGGAGAGCAGAGAGGAGGAGCAGCGTGGTGATGAAGGAGAAGCAGAGGTCAGCAGGAGGACATGTGACATGGAGGCGGTCAGAGCCGGTGCTTCGGCTAAAGAACTGCCATCTTTTCCAGAACCTTCCATGTTCCTCTGAGAACTGGAACATGTCTGGTTCTGAAGAACAGCTCCTGCCGTCCGTTCGCACCTCACCTTGATCTCCCTGATGGAGCTCTCGGCGTCCACGGTCAGAGCCGTCTCTCCGCTCCCTCTGCGGGACGACGTGCCTCCTAAGGAGGTGAGGGTGGCGGCCGTGAGGGCCGACGCTGCTCGAGGTCCCTGGAAGACAAACCACCATCATCTAACAGATCTCCAGGTTCTCTGAGGGCCGCGTTCCGCTCAGAGACTCGGAGCAAAACAAGGAATGTTTCCAACCAGCTGGAGAACATCTGTCTCACCTTTACAAGGTAGTCTCTGTCCTCCACCTGTGGAGACAAAGGACAGACGGTCAGGACAAGCAGAAGCTGAGGAGGAGGCGTCGGGCTGAAGAAGGTGAGCCGTCAGGTTTGTTTCACATCTCAGCAGCAGATCAATCAGTGAAAGCAGGAGTCGGATCAGAACCAGAACCTCCTGGACTCAGCCAGGTCCGCTAAGATCCACACCGTGCACCGGACTCACGCACGGCCAGGAACTCACTTCAGTGAAGTCAGGAATGGTGACATCATCCAGGTCTCTGCTGACGGCGCTCCTCAGAAAACTGGCCACAGAGCCGTCCTGCTGCGTCCACCAGGGGGCGACACACAGAGAGCAGTCAGAGAGGGACCTGCAGCTGATGGTTATCACTCACAACGACGTGCAGCATGCAGATGTTATCTAGGTCCATCAGGACCGACCTGCTGGACCTGCTGGACCTGATGGACCTGCTGGACCGGAGCCCAGAGGCTAAACAAATATTTGTTTTGCTCTGAAGGAATTCCAGGAAGCTGCCAGCAGGGGGCAGTCTTTGCTCCACAGGGACTGAAGGAGGAAACTAGTTCACATCAGTCTGGATCTCCTTCATCTTATCAGGCATCTTCATGCAGGACCTGCTGGAGCTCATTCTGGATCTAAACTCCTGATCAGAACCTTTCAGAGCAGGTTCTCACACCCTCTGCCCGAGGAGCAGGAGGAGGAGGAGCAGGAGGAGGAGGAGCAGAAGGAGGAGGAGTCCTCTGGTTCAGGTTAACTGGAGGACAGCAGGGAAGGAACCATTGTTCTAAAGGACGTTCAGTCCTGAGGGGGCGGGGCTAATGAGTTCTACTGAACCAGCTGAGAGGAACCAAGAGGGGCTCCAAATGGAGGGCCAGAGGGTTCTGGTTCTGACCCGTTTCCTCCTTCCAGAGAGGCTCCGAATGGAGGGTCAGAGGGTTCTGGTTCTGACCCGTTTCCTCCTCCCAGAGAGGCTCCGAATGGAGGGCCAGAGGGTTCTGGTTCTGACCCGTTTCCTCCTCCCAGAGAGGCTCCGAATGGAGGGTCAGAGGGTTCTGGTTCTGACCCGTTTCCTCCTCCCAGAGAGGCTCCGAATGGAGGGCCAGAGGGTTCTGGTTCTGACCCGTTTCCTCCTCCCAGAGAGGCTCCGAATGGAGGGCCAGAGGGTTCTGGTTCTGACCCGTTTCCTCCTCCCAGAGAGGAGGGACCTGAGAATCCCAAGGCTCCGGGTCTCCCCATGGGCCTAAGTTCAGAGGAGGTCCAGTAGGACCGGTAGAACCCAGGACCGGTTCTACAGAACATGCAGAACAGCGAGCTGCACAAAGACTGGACTCTCACCACTGGGCTGGTCCGGGCCGAACTGGTTCTGCTGGAAGCTCTGGAGCTGCGGTAGCTGCTGTACTCTACAGGCTGCAGGAAGTAGACAGGACACGTTCCGTCACTCTAATAGATGCAGATCTACCTTTACAGCATTCGGACCTTCTGTGGTTCTTACGTGCGACCCGGAGCCGGAGGCTCTGCGGGACCCGCTGCACAGACTCAGACTGTCTTCATGGACAGAACCCTGCAAGAGAGACGGGTCAGAAAAAACCGGGCTGGGAGGCGGGACGGAACCGAGATACTGGACCCAGACGGGTCCGACCAGAACCGGATCTAAAGACTCCATACAGACCTGATAACCAGCAAAAGACAAGCTGGAGGTTCTGGAAGAGGACGGACCGCTGAGTCCATACAGGTCCAAGGAGGCATGAGACGCCTGGGAGGACGAAACGGGTCCGATTAGGAGAACCAGAACCAAACGCAGAACCAGAACCAAACTCAGAACCAGAACCAAACGCAGAACCAGAACCAAACTCAGAACCAAAACCAAACTCAGAACCAGAACCAAACGCATGCAGACCACACCAAAATCAGAACCAGAACCAAAATCAGAACCAGAACCAAACGCAGAACCAGAACCAAACGCATGCAGACCACGCCAAAATCAGAACCAGAACCAAACTCAGAACCAGAACCAAAATCAGAACCAGAACCAAACGCAGAACCAGAACCAAACGCATGCAGACCACGCCAAAATCAGAACCAGAACCAAACTCAGAACCAGAACCAAACTCAGAACCAGAACCAAACTCAGAAACAGAACCAAAATCAGAACCAGAACCAAACTCAGAACCAGAACCAAACTCAGAACCAGAACCAAACTCAGAAACAGAACCAAAATCAGAACCAGAACCAAACTCAGAACCAGAACCAAACTCAGAACCAATCCATGATGGCCCTCGTTTGGACCGGGCCAGGGACCTGCATGCTTGTTAGACGGTTAGAGACGTCCAGAACCAAACACAGAACCAAAACCAAACTCAGAACCAGAACCAAACGCATGCAGACCACGCCAAAATCAGAACCAGTACCAAACTCAGAACCAGAACCAAAATCAGAACCAGAACCAAACGCAGAACCAGAACCAAACTCAGAACCAGAACCAAACGCAGAACCAAACTCAGAACCAGAACCAAACGCAGAACCAGAACCAAACTCAGAACCAGAACCAAACGCATGCAGACCACGCCAAAATCAGAACCAGAACCAAACGCAGAACCAGAACCAAACGCATGCAGACCACGCCAAAATCAGAACCAGAACCAAACACAGAACCAAAACCAAACTCAGAACCAGAACCAAACGCATGCAGACCACGCCAAAATCAGAACCAGAACCAAACTCAGAACCAGAACCAAAATCAGAACCAGAACCAAACGCAGAACCAGAACCAAACGCATGCAGACCACGCCAAAATCAGAACCAGAACCAAACTCAGAACCAGAACCAAACTCAGAACCAAACTCAGAACCAGAACCAAACTCAGAAACAGAACCAAAATCAGAACCAGAACCAAACGCAGAACCAGAACCAAACGCATGCAGACCACGCCAAAATCAGAACCAGAACCAAACTCAGAACCAGAACCAAACTCAGAACCAAACTCAGAACCAGAACCAAACTCAGAAACAGAACCAAAATCAGAACCAGAACCAAACTCAGAACCAATCCATGATGGCCCTCGTTTGGACCGGGCCAGGGACCTGCATGCTTGTTAGACGGTTAGAGACGTCCAGAACCAAACACGGGACACCCACCGGCTGCAGGTCCAGTCTGGACCGAGACATCTGACCTTCATCGCTCAGTCTGGAGCTCTGAGGCGACAACAGGAACAAACAGCCATCAAACACGTGATCCCATCAGAACTTTGGGTTCAGAACCAACACAGAACATGCAGCAGAACCACTGGTCCAGTCCTAAAAATCTGCGGATCAGAACCACTGGTCCGGTCCTATAAATCTGCGGATCAGAACCACTGGTCCAGTCCTAAAAATCTGCGGATCAGAACCGGTCCTATAAATCTGCGGATCAGAACCACTGGTCCAGTCCTATAAATCTGCGGATCAGAACCACTGGTCCAGTCCTAAAAATCTGCGGATCAGAACCACTGGTCCGGTCCTATAAATCTGCGGATCAGAACCACTGGTCCAGTCCTAAAAATCTGCGGATCAGAACCGGTCCTATAAATCTGCGGATCAGAACCACTGGTCCAGTCCTAAAAATCTGCGGATCAGAACCACTGGTCCAGTCCTAAAAATCTGCGGATCAGAACCGGTCCTATAAATCTGCGGATCAGAACCGGTCCTATAAATCTGCGGATCAGAACCACTGGTCCAGTCCTAAAAATCTGCGGATCAGAACCGGTCCTATAAATCTGCGGATCAGAACCGGTCCTATAAATCTGCGGATCAGAACCGGTCCTAAAAATCTGCGGATCAGAACCACTGGTCCAGTCCTATAAATCTGCGGATCAGAACCACTGGTCCAGTCCTAAAAATCTGCGGATCAGAACCGGTCCTATAAATCTGCGGATCAGAACCACTGGTCCGGTCCTATAAATCTGCGGATCAGAACCACTGGTCCAGTCCTAAAAATCTGCGGATCAGAACCGGTCCTATAAATCTGCGGATCAGAACCGGTCCTATAAATCTGCGGATCAGAACCACTGGTCCAGTCCTATAAATCTGCGGATCAGAACCGGTCCTATAAATCTGCGGATCAGAACCGGTCCTATAAATCTGCGGATCAGAACCGGTCCTATAAATCTGCGGATCAGAACCACTGGTCCAGTCCTAAAAATCTGCGGATCAGAACCGGTCCTATAAATCTGCGGATCAGAACCACTGGTCCAGTCCTAAAAATCTGCGGATCAGAACCGGTCCTAAAAATCTGCGGATCAGAACCGGTCCTATAAATCTGCGGATCAGAACCACTGGTCCGGTCCTATAAATCTGCGGATCAGAACCGGTCCTATAAATCTGCGGATCAGAACCACTGGTCCAGTCCTATAAATCTGCGGATCAGAACCACTGGTCCAGTCCTATAAATCTGCGGATCAGAACCGGTCCTATAAATCTGCGGATCAGAACCACTGGTCCGGTCCTATAAATCTGCGGATCAGAACCGGTCCTATAAATCTGCGGATCAGAACCACTGGTCCAGTCCTATAAATCTGCGGATCAGAACCACTGGTCCAGTCCTATAAATCTGCGGATCAGAACCGGTCCTATAAATCTGCGGATCAGAACCACTGGTCCAGTCCTATAAATCTGCGGATCAGAACCGGTCCTATAAATCTGCGGATCAGAACCACTGGTCCGGTCCTATAAATCTGCGGATCAGAACCGGTCCTATAAATCTGCGGATCAGAACCACTGGTCCAGTCCTATAAATCTGCGGATCAGAACCGGTCCTATAAATCTGCGGATCAGAACCACTGGTCCAGTCCTATAAATCTGCGGATCAGAACCGGTCCTATAAATCTGCGGATCAGAACCACTGGTCCAGTCCTATAAATCTGCGGATCAGAACCGGTCCTATAAATCTGCGGATCAGAACCACTGGTCCAGTCCTATAAATCTGCGGATCAGAACCGGTCCTATAAATCTGCGGATCAGAACCACTGGTCCGGTCCTATAAATCTGCGGATCAGAACCGGTCCTATAAATCTGCGGATCAGAACCACTGGTCCAGTCCTATAAATCTGCGGATCAGAACCGGTCCTATAAATCTGCGGATCAGAACCACTGGTCCGGTCCTATAAATCTGCGGATCAGAACCGGTCCTATAAATCTGCGGATCAGAACCACTGGTCCAGTCCTATAAATCTGCGGATCAGAACCGGTCCTGTAAATCTGCGGATCAGAACCACTGGTCCAGTCCTAAAAATCTGCGGATCAGAACCGGTCCTATAAATCTGCGGATCAGAACCACTGGTCCAGTCCTAAAAATCTGCGGATCAGAACCGGTCCTATAAATCTGCGGATCAGAACCACTGGTCCGGTCCTATAAATCTGCGGATCAGAACCACTGGTCCAGTCCTATAAATCTGCGGATCAGAACCACTGGTCCAGTCCTATAAATCTGCGGATCAGAACCACTGGTCCAGTCCTATAAATCTGCGGATCAGAACCACTGGTCCAGTCCTATAAATCTGCGGATCAGAACCACTGGTCCAGTCCTATAAATCTGCGGATCAGAACCGGTCCTATAAATCTGCGGATCAGAACCACTGGTCCAGTCCTATAAATCTGCGGATCAGAACCGGTCCTATAAATCTGCGGATCAGAACCACTGGTCCGGTCCTATAAATCTGCGGATCAGAACCGGTCCTATAAATCTGCGGATCAGAACCACTGGTCCAGTCCTATAAATCTGCGGATCAGAACCACTGGTCCAGTCCTATAAATCTGCGGATCAGAACCGGTCCTATAAATCTGCGGATCAGAACCACTGGTCCAGTCCTATAAATCTGCGGATCAGAACCGGTCCTATAAATCTGCGGATCAGAACCACTGGTCCGGTCCTATAAATCTGCGGATCAGAACCACTGGTCCGGTCCTATAAATCTGCGGATCAGAACCACTGGTCCAGTCCTAAAAATCTGCGGATCAGAACCACTGGTCCAGTCCTAAAAATCTGCGGATCAGAACCACTGGTCCGGTCCTATAAATCTGCGGATCAGAACCGGTCCTATAAATCTGCGGATCAGAACCGGTCCTATAAATCTGCGGATCAGAACCACTGGTCCAGTCCTATAAATCTGCGGATCAGAACCACTGGTCCGGTCCTATAAATCTGCGGATCAGAACCGGTCCTATAAATCTGCGGATCAGAACCACTGGTCCAGTCCTATAAATCTGCGGATCAGAACCACTGGTCCAGTCCTATAAATCTGCGGATCAGAACCACTGGTCCAGTCCTATAAATCTGCGGATCAGAACCACTGGTCCAGTCCTATAAATCTGCGGATCAGAACCACTGGTCCGGTCCTATAAATCTGCGGATCAGAACCGGTCCTATAAATCTGCGGATCAGAACCACTGGTCCAGTCCTATAAATCTGCGGATCAGAACCACTGGTCCAGTCCTATAAATCTGCGGATCAGAACCACTGGTCCAGTCCTATAAATCTGCGGATCAGAACCACTGGTCCAGTCCTATAAATCTGCGGATCAGAACCACTGGTCCAGTCCTAAAAATCTGCGGATCAGAACCGGTCCTATAAATCTGCGGATCAGAACCACTGGTCCGGTCCTATAAATCTGCGGATCAGAACCACTGGTCCGGTCCTATAAATCTGCGGATCAGAACCACTGGTCCAGTCCTATAAATCTGCGGATCAGAACCACTGGTCCAGTCCTAAAAATCTGCGGATCAGAACCGGTCCTATAAATCTGCGGATCAGAACCACTGGTCCAGTCCTATAAATCTGCGGATCAGAACCACTGGTCCAGTCCTAAAAATCTGCGGATCAGAACCGGTCCTATAAATCTGCGGATCAGAACCACTGGTCCGGTCCTATAAATCTGCGGATCAGAACCACTGGTCCGGTCCTATAAATCTGCGGATCAGAACCGGTCCTATAAATCTGCGGATCAGAACCGGTCCTATAAATCTGCGGATCAGAACCACTGGTCCGGTCCTATAAATCTGCGGATCAGAACCGGTCCTATAAATCTGCGGATCAGAACCGGTCCTATAAATCTGCGGATCAGAACCACTGGTCCAGTCCTATAAATCTGCGGATCAGAACCACTGGTCCAGTCCTAAAAATCTGCGGATCAGAACCGGTCCTATAAATCTGCGGATCAGAACCACTGGTCCAGTCCTATAAATCTGCGGATCAGAACCACTGGTCCAGTCCTAAAAATCTGCGGATCAGAACCGGTCCTATAAATCTGCGGATCAGAACCACTGGTCCGGTCCTATAAATCTGCGGATCAGAACCACTGGTCCGGTCCTATAAATCTGCGGATCAGAACCGGTCCTATAAATCTGCGGATCAGAACCGGTCCTATAAATCTGCGGATCAGAACCACTGGTCCGGTCCTATAAATCTGCGGATCAGAACCGGTCCTATAAATCTGCGGATCAGAACCGGTCCTATAAATCTGCGGATCAGAACCACTGGTCCAGTCCTAAAAATCTGCGGATCAGAACCACTGGTCCAGTCCTATAAATCTGCGGATCAGAACCACTGGTCCGGTCCTATAAATCTGCGGATCAGAACCACTGGTCCAGTCCTATAAATCTGCGGATCAGAACCACTGGTCCGGTCCTATAAATCTGCGGATCAGAACCACTGGTCCAGTCCTAAAAATCTGCGGATCAGAACCGGTCCTATAAATCTGCGGATCAGAACCGGTCCTATAAATCTGCGGATCAGAACCACTGGTCCGGTCCTATAAATCTGCGGATCAGAACCGGTCCTATAAATCTGCGGATCAGAACCACTGGTCCGGTCCTATAAATCTGCGGATCAGAACCGGTCCTATAAATCTGCGGATCAGAACCACTGGTCCAGTCCTAAAAATCTGCGGATCAGAACCGGTCCTATAAATCTGCGGATCAGAACCGGTCCTATAAATCTGCGGATCAGAACCACTGGTCCAGTCCTAAAAATCTGCGGATCAGAACCGGTCCTATAAATCTGCGGATCAGAACCACTGGTCCAGTCCTAAAAATCTGCGGATCAGAACCACTGGTCCGGTCCTATAAATCTGCGGATCAGAACCGGTCCTATAAATCTGCGGATCAGAACCGGTCCTATAAATCTGCGGATCAGAACCACTGGTCCGGTCCTAAAAATCTGCGGATCAGAACCGGTCCTATAAATCTGCGGATCAGAACCACTGGTCCGGTCCTATAAATCTGCGGATCAGAACCACTGGTCCGGTCCTATAAATCTGCGGATCAGAACCACTGGTCCGGTCCTAAAAATCTGCGGATCAGAACCGGTCCTATAAATCTGCGGATCAGAACCACTGGTCCGGTCCTAAAAATCTGCGGATCAGAACCGGTCCTATAAATCTGCGGATCAGAACCACTGGTCCGGTCCTATAAATCTGCGGATCAGAACCACTGGTCCGGTCCTATAAATCTGCGGATCAGAACCACTGGTCCGGTCCAGGGGTTAGCGGGTCACGCGGCTACTGACCCTGCAGGAGAGCTCGCCGCCATCATCGCTGAAACCATGTCTCTGTGAACAACAAGCACACCGATGAGACGGCCCCAGAACCGCTACGGGACCAGCCCGACCCGACCCGATCACTCACACATACAGTTCTGTCCTTGTGCCTATGCTTCTTCTTCTTCTTTGCTTTGTGCTGCAGAGCGGAACCCTGGGAGACACAGAGGACGGCAGAACCACCGGACCCGGGTTAGTCCACACGCCGAGTCAGACCACATGCAGGGTACCGGTCCTGCTCAGACAGAACCGGACCGGAACCATGTTCACTATGACCCATCAGCAAACATAAAGGCTCACCCCTCCACCGTAGGCCCCCACAGAGTCCAGGTCCGACTGAGGGAGGAAACACAGCTTCATGAACAGACAGAAGGCCCGTATGGCTCTGTGGATCAGAAACAGAACTCAGAAGCAACGGTTGGATGGATACTGACCCGGACGCTACTGCGGCTTCCCACCGACATCCGCTCATCGTCATCGGAAAGCTGCGGGGAGAGGAGAAGGCCAGTTAGTGAGCAGGAAGGGTTCAGCGTCCAACGGGCCGGTTCTGAACCCAAACAACAGCAACGGTTAAAACCCGGAGAAAGTTCAACTACTGCAGCTGCTAGACCACAGAGGGACGGAACCAAGGATACGAACCGCGTGGATCCGGGAAGAACGCGAGAACTTCTCACTGTCCTCCTGAATGAGGAAGAGGAGCACAGGTATAAGAGAGGAAGAGATGAAGTCAGACCACAGATTAGTCCAGTTAGTCAGATCCTACATTCACCAAGTTCAGCCCAGAAGAAAGGATCCAAACCTTCAACCAACCACAGCTGTGACTGGAACCATGCAGACCATGCTCCTTCCTTCCTGCCTCAGAGGTTCCTCTCTCACACCAAGTCACAGAGCTTTAATGCTTAGATGCTACTGGCTTTGTTCAAAATGTGAATAGTCCCACGCATTCTCATCTTCATACTCTGGATCTTGTGCTGACATACGGCATAGAATGTGAAGAAATAACAGTATTTCCTCTCTGACCACTTTCTAATAACCTTCAGGATTACTTTAACAGAGTTCTCCTCCCCCAAAAGAAGGTTCAATTTTAGTAGATCTTTATCAGATAGAGCAGTTATAAATTTTAAAGAATCTGCTTCACTTTCTCTCTCCTCTGTGTCACTGAGCAGTGCTGCAGAGTGCAAAAGCTTAGCTTATTCCCCTTCACAGGTTGATGATTTTGTTGAGGGGGTTGCTAGTTCTCTGCGTATTGCCTTAGACAACGCAGCTCCTTTGAAAATGAAAACCGTTAAAAATAGAAAGCTTGCTCCTTGGTTTAATGCAGAGCTGCGTACTTTGAAGCAAAATGCTAGGAAACTGGAGAGAAAATATCGCTCCACAGGCCTGCGAGAGTCCTTCCTAGTCTGGAAAAATGGTTTACTGCTGTATAAGAGGACCCTTTGTAAAGCAAGAGCAGCATACTTCTCCTCATTAATAGAGGAGAATAAGAATAATCCTAGATTTCTTTTTAATACAGTTGCCAAACTCACCCAGAGCCATAGCTCTGTTGAACCGTCCATTCCACCTGCTCTGAGCAGCAATGATTTTATGGGATTCTTTATAAATAAGATTGATCTTACAGGCATGTCTTGAAGACATAAAAACCTGGATGACTCTTAACTTTCTGCTTCTGAATGCAGACAAAACAGAAGTTATAGTCTTTGGACCAGAGTCTCTGAAAAAGAAGCTGATTAGCCAGTCACTTCATTTGGATGGGATTAAACTGATTTCAGATAATAAAGTAAAAAATCTTATTTTTGATCAGGACCTGTCATTTAAATCCCAGATCAAAGAGGTTTCTAGAATTTCCTTCTTTCATCTGAGGAATATTGCAGAAATGAGCAATCTCCTGTCCAGGGGTGATGCTGAGAAACTAGTCCATGCATTTGTTACTTCAAGGCTGGACTATTGTAATTCTTTACTATCAGGAAGTCCACAAACTGTAGTTAAAAGCCTTCAGCTGATCCAAAATGCTGCAGCCAGAGTTCTGATGAAAATTAAAAAGAGAGATCATATCTCTCCTATCCTGGCTTCTCTTCATTGGCTTCCTGTTAAATCCAGAATAGAATTTAAAATCCTCCTTCTCACATATAAAGCCTTAAATGGCCAAGCTCCATCTGATATCAGAGATCTGATTGTTCCTTATGTTCCTAACAGAGCACTTCGCTCTCAATCTGCAGGTTTACTAGTTGTTCCTAGAATTTCTAAAAGTAGAATGGGAGGCAGATCTTTTAGTTCTCAGGCTCCAGTAGGCCTCAGCAGATGGCCGCTCACACTGAGCCTGGTTCTGCTGGAGGTTTCTTCCTGTTCAAAGGGAGTTTTTCCTCTCCACTGTCGCTACAAGCATGCTTAGTGTGAGGGATTGCTGAAGAGTCAATGAGTCGATGCAATCAGCTGGTTTTCCTTAGATAGAAGATTGTGTCTATAAAGTTAGCTGAGGTGACAGGATGTGGATTAGCTATAGAAATCAGTGAGGTCACACCGAGCCTTGTTATTTAATCCCAGCAAGCACGGTGTGGTGGTGGTGGTGGTGGGGGGGGGGGGGGGGGATGGGGGGGGCAGATGGTGATGCTGATTAAATAAGTGGATTAGCATCAAGGCTAAACCTTTTATTTGTTATTATCCATATTTAACACAGATTATCATGCATTCAAACATGGCCGCCTGTTACCGCCACACACAGCACTGTTAACAGGAAGCAGTTTGTCATCACAGCACAGAGGCGCTACCATCCACTGCTCTATGTCTCCCCATTTACTGTCAGCCCGCTCGTCCAGCCCGGGGTTCAGACCGTAGTATTTCTGCTCACAGACACAGAGGGCAAAGGTCAACCAGCTGCGCTGCCTCCTGAGGCGCAGGCAGACATGATGGTCATGATCAGAGCGGTCCTACCTTCTGCACCTGAAAGATCTGCAGGAAGGGAGAGGAACAGCAGGAAGCAGTCATCAGCAGAGAACATGGAGGAGAAAGCAGCAGGAAAACATGAAGGATTTCAGGAAAGTGGAGAACCGTTCCCTGGAGGTTTAAGGCCTCAGACTGGGCCACCAGACGTTTCCCATCATGCCTCTGGGCTTCTGTCCAAATAACGGTCCTTCGCTAACGAAGGATCAGGATCAGGACTGGAAACACCAGGAGGAAATCCTCCATCCAACAGAACCCGACACGTAGCGGAGCCACAATAAACGCTAAGCTAGGTAGAAGTCTGGACTTTGACTAGGCCATCTCAGCATTTCAGCTATTCTGCTGTAGATCTGCTGCTGTGTCTGTTAACACCCAGCTGCTAACACCCAGCTGCTAACACCCAGCTGCTAACACCCAGCTGCTGCTAACACCCAGCTGCTGCTAACACCCAGCTGCTAACACCCAGCTGCTGCTAACACCTTGTACCAACAGCTGCATGCTAACATCCACAAAGTAACAACCAGCTGCTAACACCCACATGCTAACACCCAGCTGCTTACACCCACATGCTAACAGCCACATGCTAACACCCACATGCTAACGCCCAGCTGCTAACACCCACATGCTAACAGCCACATGCTAACACCCACATGCTAACACCCAGCTGCTAACACCCACAAGATAACATCAACATGCTAACATCACACTGCTAACACTAACATGCTAACACCAACATGCTAAAACCCGCATCCTAACACCCAGCTGCTAACACCTTCTACCAACAGCTGCATGCTAACATCCACATACTAACACCCACAAAGTAACACCCACATGCTAACACCCAGCTGCTACCATCCACAAAGTAACAACCAGCTGCTAACACCCACATGCTAACACCCAGCTGCTTACACCCACATGCTAACAGCCACATGCTAACACCCACATGCTAACGCCCAGCTGCTAACACCCACATGCTAACAGCCACATGCTAACACCCACATGCTAACACCCAGCTGCTAACACCCACAAGCTAACATCAACATGCTAACATCACGCTGCTAACACTAACATGCTAACACCAACATGCTAAAACCCGCATCGTAATACCCAGCTGCTAACACCCACATGCTAACACCCAGCTGCTAACATCTACAAAGTAACAACCAGCTGCTAACACCCACATGTTAACACCCAGCTGCTTACACCCACATGCTAACAGCCACATGCTAACACTCATATGCTAACGCCCAGCTGCAAACACCCACATGCTAACAGCCACACGCTAACCCCCACATGCTAACCCCCACATGCTAACAACCACATGCTAATACCTTATGCCAATAATTGCATGCTAACACCCACATGCTAATACCTTATGCCAATAATTGCATGCTAACACCCATATGCTAATGCTAACCCTGCTAATAGAGGAGATGAAGATCAGCTGGTCATGGAGGTAGAACCCAAACCCTGGTCCCCCACCCCCCCGTTGATCCCAGAATGGACACCTTTAATCCAGATTTATCCCCCCCAGCTGTCCAGTCAATGATCGTCCAATCAGAAGTCAGTCCTTTGATCCAGTCAGGTAGCAGACCGGCTGCTGGCGTTCTACCAGAGGTCAGGAGGTCAGGTGATGGGGGGGGGGTCTGTTCCACAGAGGAACCTTCAGCCCGTCTGATGCCATCAGGGTGAACCCAGCCTCAGTCGCTGACTCCCTCTGACTAACCACCACCTTCCCCTCTGCGTCTACGCGTGCAGCGCCGCGCTGCCTGCCTGCAGATTAAACTGGAGGCCATCTTTGACCGCATTAAGGACGAGGGCAGCCTGAGACCAAGGCGGTCCGGGCGTCTCGGTTACACAGCCAGCCAACGGCTCCACTCACCGAGGTTCCCTTCCCCAATAGGGGGGCCCTGGGCCGACCGGCAAGGGCCGCCCTAAGCCCCCGCCCCGTCAGCCGACGCCGGGCCGTCCTTTCTGCCGTCAGGGAACCAGGAGAGACGCCATTCTTTAGAAGTCAGCAGGCAGAGCGGCGGGCGGCCATGTCAGGTGGTCAGAAGGAAGGAGTTGAGCTCAGGTTCTGATGGTGGATTCGGTCCGGTCCAGAATTGGAACCCTCTGAGGAAACATCCAGGAATGGGTCGGCGTGCCGGCAGCTCTGCGGCCCATGCCTGCAGTCAGCAGCAACAATGGCTACCCCGCCACAGCCAGCAGCACAGATCACTAATCAGCTTTCCAACGCCGCTAAAAGGTTTACGGGTCACACGGCCGCCCAGAACGGCTCAGCAAGCAGAGGTAATCCTGCCGCTGCGCCACGGGTCTATATCTATATTCTCCAAAAGAGATCTACATTCCTCAGAGCGTATCTATGTTCCTCAGAGCGTATCTATGTTCCTCAGAGCGTATCTATGTTCCTCAGAGCTGATCTACATTCCTCAGAGCTGATCTACATTCCTCAGAGCAGATCTACGTTCCTCAGAGCTGATCTACATTCCTCAGAGCACATCTACGTTCCTCAGAGCAGATCTACGTTTCTTAGACCAGATCACAGGTCTTGAACCTGAACCAGTTGGAAAAGCTTAGAACTTTAGGATGAGGAGGAGACAGACTGACAGAACTTCTGGGTGAGGACCTGTGGACCCGGCCGATTCAATCGACCGATTCAATCGACCGATTCAATAGACCGATTCAATCCTGCTTGAATTTGAAAAGAGAACCTGAGAGGAAAATCCTGCTGTGGATCCACCTGGAGGCCCAGAAGGGGCCCAAACCGAGGGAGACGTTCCCACAGATGGACCAAAACCTGAAGGTTCAGAACAACCTGCTCTGGGTCGGCCTTTGAACGACCTTTGACCTTCTGGAGGCCATGCAGGAGCAGCTGCTGTCTGGAAGATTCCAGAAACTAAACATCTAAAGGAACCAAGGAAGAGCATCGTCATCATCATCATCATCATCGGTGTCAGGATGAAAAGACCAGGAGAACATCAGACAGAAATAGATCAGTTAGATCAGAGCAGACTGAATAGTTAGAGTGGCCTAGTCAAAGTCCAGACATAAATAATGGAACCGTTACATTTATTTCAAGTCCTTTAGCTCATGTTGATTTTTTCACACCTAGTCATTTAGTTCAAATTGATTTGTTTATTTAATCTCGAGTCGTTTATTTCGTCTCGAGTCGTTTATTTCATCTCGAGTCGTTTATTTCGTCTCGAGTCGTTTATTTTGTCTCGAGTCGTTTAATTCGTTTCGAGTCGTTTAATTCGTCTCGAGTCGTTTATTTCGTCTCGAGTCGTTTATTTCGTCTCGAGTCGTTTAATTCGTCTCGAGTCGTTTATTTCATCTCGAGTCGTTTATTTCGTCTCGAGTCGTTTATTTCGTCTCGAGTCGTTTAATTCGTTTCGAGTCGTTTAATTCGTCTCGAGTCGTTTATTTCGTCTCGAGTCGTTTATTTCGTCTCGAGTCGTTTAATTCGTCTCGAGTCGTTTATTTCGTCTCGAGTCGTTTAATTCGTCTCGAGTCGTTTATTTCGTCTCGAGTCGTTTATTTCGTCTCGAGTCGTTTAATTCGTCTCGAGTCGTTTATTTCGTCTCGAGTCGTTTATTTCATATCGAGTCGTTTATTTAATCTCGAGTCGTTTATTTTATCTCGAGTCGCTTATTTCATCTCGAGTCATTTATTTCATCTCGAATCGTTTATTTAGTCTAGAGTCTTTTAATTCGTCTCGAGTCGTTTATCTCGTCTCGAGTCGTTTAATTCGTCTCAAACTTTTATTTCGTCTCGAGTCGTTTAATTCGTCTCGAGTTGTTTAATTCGTCTCGAGTCGTTTATTTCGTCTCGAGTCGTTTATCTCGTCTCGAGTCGTTTAATTCGTCTCAAACTTTTATTTCGTCTCGAGTCGTTTAATTCGTCTCGAGTCGTTTATTTCATCTCGAGTCGTTTATTTCATCTCGAGTCGTTTAATTCGTCTCGAGTCATTTATTTCATCTCGAGTCGTTTATTTCATCTCGAGTCATTTAATTCGTCTCGAGTCATTTATTTCATCTCGAGTCATTTATTTCATCTCGAGTCATTTAATTCGTCTCAAACTTTTATTTCGTCTCGAGTCGTTTAATTCGTCTCGAGTCGTTTATTTCATCTCGAGTCGTTTATTTCATCTCGAGTCGTTTATTTCATCTCGAGTCGTTTATTTCATCTCGAGTCATTTATTTCATCTCGAGTCGTTTATTTCATCTCGAGTCATTTAATTCGTCTCGAGTCATTTATTTCATCTCGAGTCATTTAATTCGTCTCAAGTCATTTATTTCATCTCGAGTCATTTAATTCGTCTCGAGTCGTTTAATTCGTCTCAAACTTTTATTTCGTCTCGAGTCGTTTAATTCGTCTCGAGTTGTTTAATTCGTCTCGAGTCGTTTATTTCATCTCGAGTCGTTTATCTCGTCTCGAGTCGTTTAATTCGTCTCAAACTTTTATTTCGTCTCGAGTCGTTTAATTCATCTCGAGTCGTTTATTTCATCTCGAGTCGTTTATTTCATCTCGAGTCATTTATTTCATCTCGAGTCGTTTATTTCATCTCGAGTCATTTAATTCGTCTCGAGTCATTTAATTCGTCTCAAGTCATTTATTTCATCTCGAGTCATTTATTTCATCTCGAGTCGTTTATTTCATCTCGAGTCATTTATTTCATCTCGAGTCATTTATTTCATCTCGAGTCGTTTATTTCATCTCGAGTCATTTATTTCATCTCGAGTCATTTAATTCGTCTCAAGTCATTTATTTCATCTCGAGTCATTTAATTCGTCTCGAGTCATTTATTTCATCTCGAGTCATTTATTTCATCTCGAGTCATTTAATTCGTCTCAAACTTTTATTTCGTCTCGAGTCGTTTAATTCGTCTCGAGTCGTTTATTTCATCTCGAGTCGTTTATTTCATCTCGAGTCGTTTATTTCATCTCGAGTCGTTTATTTCATCTCGAGTCGTTTATTTCATCTCGAGTCATTTAATTCGTCTCAAGTCATTTATTTCATCTCGAGTCATTTAATTCGTCTCGAGTCATTTAATTCGTCTCAAGTCATTTATTTCATCTCGAGTCATTTAATTCGTCTCGAGTCATTTATTTCATCTCGAGTCATTTATTTCATCTCGAGTCATTTATTTCATCTCGAGTCGTTTATTTCATCTCGAGTCATTTTCCTCCATATTTCACAGCCTGGATCTAGATTAACTCGGACCTAGTCTCCATCCTGCAGGATTTTATTCTTTATTACTGTTTTTTTTCATAATGAGGGGAGAAAATGGGATCATTTCTTCCTCGTTGGTCTAAATGGGTCTGAGTTTCCTGTGCCCGCCTGCTCCATGGGTAACCATGGTAACGGCGGTGTGGATACCTCCTTCTGCTGGCGCTCCAGCTCCTTCATCCGGATCTCCCGGGCCTCCGCCCTCGCCGCCCTCTTGGCTGCCAGCCTGGCCTCCGCCTGGGAGAAAATAAAAACAGGAAGTGAGGCCAGATGTTTGACTGCAGCTTGGCCTAGTGACTCGGTGACATGGCGAAGGTCTCGGCAGAACCTTAGCTGCAGAACTTGGAATAGAAGCGAGTTTAATGGTTTCCAGTCTGCATTTGTCAGTTTGCTGCTGTTGGCGCGGCGGCCCAGAGCAGCGCGGCCTTTTCTCCTTAAAAGGAGCTCAGAGTGTGAGAGTGTTTCCTTCCTCTAACGGAGCCGCCAGGCTCTGGGCGCGGCGCCTCCTGACATCACATTTCCCCCAAACAAACGCAGGCCGGCGTGCTCACCGCCACGCGTGTAGAGCCCATGGGCGGCCATGTTTCCATTAATCAGAGGTCAGAGGTGAAAGGCAGTAAATCGTCTCCACTTCCTGCTGGTTTCCCTCTGAGGTCGGCGCCGCTTCAGAGCCTCAGGAAGTTCTGCTGAGGATCTCTGAAACACCTTCTTCTTCTTCCTGCTAATGATGGTGGAGGGACGTCAGAAAACACTGAACGTGTTCCGCTCCCTTCAGCCGCCCTGGAAAGGCAGCGTCACCACGGAAACCCTCCATCTTGGTTCCTGCTCCTCATGCTGATCTCAGCAGAGGAGGAACGTCTAACCTGGTCCCATCCACACCTGCACTCACAGGAGCAGCAGAACCGGGCCCGGTTCTACGGCAGAACCGGGCCCGGGTTTACAGAAGAACCGGGCCCGGGTCTTCGGCAGAACCGGGCCCGGGTCTATGGCAGAACCGGGCCCGGGTTTACAGCAAAACCGGGCCTGGGTTTACAGCAGAACCGGGCCCGGGTTTACGGCAGAACCGGGCCCGGGTTTACAGCAAAACCGGGCCCGGGTTTACAGCAAAACCGGGCCTGGGTTTACAGCAGAACCGGGCCCGGGTTTACGGCAGAACCGGGCCCGGGTTTACGGCAGAACCGGGCCCGGGTTTACAGCAAAACCGGGCCTGGGTTTACAGCAGAACCTGGCCCGGGTCTACGGCAGAACCGGGCCCGGGTTTACAGCAGAACCGGGCCTGGGTTTACAGCAGAACCTGGCCCGGGTCTACGGCAGAACCGGGCCCGGGTTTACAGCAGAACCGGGCCCGGGTTTACAGCAGAACCGGGCCTGGGTCTACAGCCCCACTGTGACGTGGGCCCCTGGACCCTGAGGGCTCCTCAGATAAAGACATGTGGGTGAAAACAGAAGCAGGCCGACGGCAGCTGCTGGGTCAGAACAATCAGAACCAGGAGGAAGCAGGAGCGGCTCAGAGCGCCGCCGGGCTGCAGCGCCGTTATTCTGACCCGCTCTGGTCAGCGGGTCAAAGGTCAGCCTCAAAGCTCCAGGAAGCGGGAGGCTGAGATCAGCCGTCTGATTGGATGAGCTGACGGCTCCACCTGGTCACAGCCTCAATGGGGGAGAAAACGCCTCCAAGGAAACAGGAAGCAGCGGCCCGCTCAGAGAGCCACTTCCTGTTTAACACCCCATGATGGACCATCAGAACCGGAGGCGCTCTGCCTCCATTTTCTCAGCAGGACAGAAGTTCTGATAAATGAAAAACCTTAAAGTCAGAAACAGGAAGCAGAGGGGCGGAGCAACACGACCACACCAGACGCCAAGATGGCCGCCGCTCCACTCACGGTTTCAGCGTTTCTGACGGGCTGCGATCCAGGATTCTGACTCTGTTCGGATCAGAACCGTGGATCAAAGGGTTCTGATGGATCCAGACAGGAAGTGGTCCAAATGTTCTGCTCCACCTGGGAGCGGCGTGCAGGAACCAGGCCGCCAAGTGGGCCAGCTATTTATACCGACCCAGATCGGACCGGGCCAATCAGAACTGTTCTGCTTTACAGCCTGGAAATGAGAAGAGGGCGTCTGATGGGATGGAGCCTCCAGAACCTCCAGAACCTTCAGAACCTCCAGAACCTTCCCTCACCTCTCCGGCCAGAACCAGGCCGGGTTCTGAGGTTCTAGCCTTGGGTCGGTTCCAATTTGCTTTTGGGTTTTATCTTTTATAAAAAAATTATAAATAAATGTTTAACTGATTAAAAAGAGCCGCTGCCCCATGGGGTCCCTGAGGGCCTCTTGGCGGCGGCGGCGCCATATTGGCGACCCTCGCCGTTCCCTACAGCGACCCGGATCCTCAAGGCTCCTGCAGGTTCTGGATGTTTCTGAGCTTCAGCAAAGCCTGATATTCTGCTATCAGTAGATAACAGGTGAGCAGCGAGGACCAGAACCCAGTAGAACCCAGCAGAACCCAGTAGAACCCAGCAGAACCCAGTAGAACCCAGCAGAACCCAGTAGAACCCAGTAGAACCCAGCAGAACCCAGCAGGACCCAGCAGAACCCACCAGAACCCAGCAGGACCCAGCAGAACCCTGCTGCTGGATCAGAACCGGACCCTGCAGCTGGATCAGAACCGGTCCCTGCAGCTGGATCAGAACCGGACCCTGCAGCTGGATCAGAACCGGTCCCTGCAGCTGGATCAGAACCGGACCCTGCAGCTGGATCAGAACCGGTCCCTGCAGCTATCAGAACCGGTCCCTGCAGCTATCAGAACCGGTCCCTGCAGCTGGATCAGAACCAGATGCTGCAGCTGGATCAGAACCGGTCCCTGCAGCTGGATCAGAACCAGATGCTGCAGCTGGATCAGAACCGGTCCCTGCAGCTGGATCAGAACCAGATGCTGCAGCTGGATCAGAACCGGACCCTGCAGCTGGATCAGAACCGGTCCCTGCAGCTGGATCAGAACCGGACCCTGCAGCTGGATCAGAACCAGATGCTGCAGCTGGATCAGAACCGGTCCCTGCAGCTGGATCAGAACCGGACCCTGCAGCTGGATCAGAACCGGACCCTGCAGCTGGATCAGAACCAGATGCTGCAGCTGGATCAGAACCGGTCCCTGCAGCTGGATCAGAACCGGTCCCTGCAGCTGGATCAGAACCGGTCCCTGCAGCTGGATCAGAACCAGATGCTGCAGCTGGATCAGAACCGGTCCCTGCAGCTGGATCAGAACCAGATGCTGCAGCTGGATCAGAACCGGTCCCTGCAGCTGGATCAGAACCGGTCCCTGCAGCTGGATCAGAACCGGACCACATGTCCATGTTCCCTATCAGCAGCTATAAATAGCGGCGTTCCCAGACCTGCTGCTGGCATTCCGAGCCTGAAATCTGATACCGGACCTGCTGGTTCTCTGCGTTCCGGGCCGGGTCGGCCTGCCGGGAAGTCTCAGCACAGACATGGACAACCTGGACCTTAAAGTGGACCTGCTAGAACCCGTTAGAACCTATTAGAACCCGTCAGCTGGAGTCTAGATCTCAGCAGCTCAGACCGGTGGAGGCGGCGTCATGCTGGGGGATTCTTTCACAGTCTGGGTCTCGGTACCAACCCATCAGAATCTGACCCATATTCTAAAAGACAAGGAGGAACAGAACCCGCTGGAAGACTGGTTCTGTTCCTGGACCCGTGCGGTTCTCCTGTCAGTCTGGAGTTCTACGGCGGCCCGACCCGGTCCGACCAAACTGAGTTTAACGAACAGAACCAGAACAAAGTAAAACACACCAGAACCAGCCGGTTCTGGACCAAACCCAGATCGCTCTTAGCCTGAGTAGAACTGAACTGGGTCCCATTCTGACCCGCTTTGAGCCCGGATCAGCTGCCACACCCAGGCGTCAGCCAGTTACCACGGCAACCAAAGCGGTTCTGACCCGAGACCCGACAGTGACATCATGCACTGAAGCCTGGTTCTCCTCTGGGCCCTCTGGGTTCTGGTCTGGATGTGGGACCGGTTCTGATCCAATGGCTGAATGTTCTCCGGTCTTTGGCCCCGCCCCCTCCAAGAATCTCCTCCACAAACAGGAAGTGGTCGCCGATAGCGATCTGCAGGGATGATGATGTCACCACAGGAAACAGAAGCTCTGCTTCCTTTTAAGGAGCCGAGGCCAGAACTCTGCCCTGTGGGTCACAGGTCGGCTGAACCGGACCAGAACCAGAACCAGTACCTCACAGAACCTTTGCTGGTCCTGGTTCTGATCCAGATCTTCATCCAGCCAGAACTTCTGGCCCGTTTCATCCAATCTAAACGGAACCAACCAGCGGTTCTGTCGGATCATTACTGGAAGTTAATACTGCCACTAAACCCAGAAGGTTCTGGTTCTGCTGGGTCCGGTATTTCTCTGGATACTCAGAACCGTTCAGGTCTCCACCTGCTGCCCCCCCCCCCCCCCCCAGCAGCAGCTGAGGATCTATTTAAAGCTCTGCAGCAGAACGGGTCGGGTCATCAGGGCCGGCGCTGCTGCTGGCAGGCCGGTCTGCATCAGAACCCCGGCAGGAACCGGCAGGACCGGGTTCTACCAACTGGACCGGGTTCTACCGGCAGGACCGTGTTCTACCAACTGGACCGGGTTCTACCAACTAGACCAGATTCCATCAACTGGACCGGGTTCTACCTGCAGGACCGGGTTCTACCAACTGGACCGGGTTCTACCGGCATGACCGGGTTCTACCAACTAGACCAGATTCCATCAATTGGACCGGGTTCTACCTGCAGGACCAGGTTCTACCAACTGGACCGGGTTCTAACGGCAGGACCGGGTTCTACCGGCAGGACCGGGTTCTACCAACTGGACCGGGTTCTACCGGCAGGACCGGGTTCTACCAACTGGACCGGGTTCTACCAGCATGACCGGGTTCTACCAACTAGACCAGATTCCATCAACTGGACCGGGTTCTACCTGCAGGACCAGGTTCTACCAACTGGACCGGGTTCTAACGGCAGGACCGGGTTCTACCGGCAGGACCGGGTTCTACCAACTGGACCGGGTTCTACCGGCAGGACCGGGTTCTACCAACTGGACCGGGTTCTACCGGCATGACCGGGTTCTACCAACTAGACCAGATTCCATCAACTGGACCGGGTTCTACCTGCAGGACCAGGTTCTACCAACTGGACCGGGTTCTAACGGCAGGACCGGGTTCTACCGGCATGACCGGGTTCTACCAACTAGACCAGATTCCATCAACTGGACCGGGTTCTACCTGCAGGACCGGGTTCTACCAACTGGACCGGGTTCTAACGGCAGGACCGGGTTCTACCAACTGGACCGGGTTCTACCGGCATGACCGGGTTCTACCAACTAGACCAGATTCCATCAACTGGACCGGGTTCTACCTGCAGGACCAGGTTCTACCAACTGGACCGGGTTCTAACGGCAGGACCGGGTTCTACCGGCAGGACCGGGTTCTACCAACTGGACCGGGTTCTACCGGCATGACCGGGTTCTACCAACTAGACCAGATTCCATCAACTGGACCGGGTTCTACCTGCAGGACCAGGTTCTACCAACTGGACCGGGTTCTAACGGCAGGACCGGGTTCTACCGGCATGACCGGGTTCTACCAACTAGACCAGATTCCATCAACTGGACCGGGTTCTACCTGCAGGACCAGGTTCTACCAACTGGACCGGGTTCTAACGGCAGGACCGGGTTCTACCAACTGGACCGGGTTCTACCGGCATGACCGGGTTCTACCAACTAGACCAGATTCCATCAACTGGACCGGGTTCTACCAACTAGACCAGATTCCATCAACTGGACCGGGTTCTACCTGCAGGACCAGGTTCTACCAACTGGACCGGGTTCCATCAACTGAACCGGGTTCTACCTGCAGGACCAGGTTCTACCAACTGGACCGGGTTCTACCGGCAGGACCAGGTTCTACCAACTGGATCGGGTTCTACCAACTGGACCGGGTTCTAACGGCAGGACCGGGTTCTACCGGCAGGACCGGGTTCTACCGGCAGGACCGGGTTCTACCAACTAGACCAGATTCCACCAACTGGACCGGGTTCTACCGGCAGGACCGGGTTCTACCAACTGAACCGGGTTCTACCAACTAGACCAGATTCCATCAACTGGACCAGGTTCTACCTGCAGGACCAGGTTCTACCAACTGGACCGGGTTCCATCAACTGAACCGGGTTCTACCTGCAGGACCAGGTTCTACCAACTGGACCGGGTTCTACCGGCAGGACCAGGTTCTACCGGCAGGACCAGGTTCTACAAACTGGATCGGGTTCTACCGGCAGGACCAGGTTCTACCAACTGGATCGGGTTCTACCAGCAGGACCAGGTTCTACCAACTGGTCAAGATGAACCTTTCCCTGCAGAATCAGCAGAACCTCCTGCTTCCAGTAATGGAACCCAGACCAGGAACGTCTGATCGGAGGTCCGGTCCGGTAGAACCGCAGTCCAGAACCACCTGATGCTGATGACATCACAGATTGGCCAGGCTGCTGACCCGGAACAGACAGTCCACCTGAGGCAGAACCAGGAGTCCAGATCGGGTCAGACCAGATCAGACAAAGTCAGACCGGGTCAGACCAGACCAGATCGGGTCAAACCGGGTCAGACCAATTCAGACTGTGCCAGACCAGGCCGGGCCAGACCGGACCGGGTCACACCGGGTCAGACCAGGCCGGGTCAAGAGGTTTAGACCACATCAGACCGGGTCAGGGTTCCTCCAAAGATTAAAAACGAATCCATTCAGAACCAGAACCAGAACCCAGACATCCTGGTTTAAACAGTGTGTGACCCGGTTTTTACCAGAACCGCTCAGATGGTTCCCCGGGCCCAAGTTCTGAAGGGACCGCCCCTGGAGTTGGTCTTTGGGGAGTTTGGACCCGGACCGCGTGTGGAACCGGGTCCTGGACTCGGACCGCGTGTGGAACCGGGTCCAGCCCACTCACCTCTCTGGCGATCCGGTCCAGAGCTTCGTCCTCCGCGGTGGAGCGGTCCTTCTTGGTGGACCTCTTCCTTCCTGTCCCCTGGGTCCCCATGGTTCTGGTTCTTGTTCTGCTTTAGTTGAACCGGGTCCTGGTTCCGGGGATCCAGACCTTCGGGTCTGTCAGGCGGCGGGGCTCATTGTTCCACATCCGCCTCAGAGACGCTCCTTCCTGGGTTCCTCAGCGCGGCCAAGTTCGGAAGAACTCAGTCCGGTTCGGTTCTGGGAGACAGTGAGAACTCCGCCAGAACCTCTCCGGAACCGGAACCAGCCTGAACGGGTCTGACTCGGACTCGGTTGTTGAGCAACAGAAGCGTGACGCAGCGGAAGACTCGAACCTGCCGCACTTCTAACTTCAGAGCAGGACGCGTTCAGGGAGCGTCGGAACTTCCAGGGCTACAGCAGGAAACGCGCGACAGAGAGGGCTCAGGGACGGACCGTGGACTGGAACGTCAATGTGACGTCACTCTAGGTTGTCGGTGCTCAAAACTGTGGAAGATGTTGATGATGATGATGATGATGGAGGCTCGTATTTAGAGAATGAAGAGAGTTTTAATTGTAATAAATAAAAACATCTGAAACTAGATTCTGGGTTTTCAACCTAAAACTGTGTTTTAAAATATCTGCAGCTCAGAACCAGAACCAGGTCTGACAACTGGGTCAGGTTCTGGATAGATTGTGGTAAACTGAACAGAACCAGATGTTCCGTCCTAGAACAACAAACTTCTTTCTATTTTAACAATCTCTATCCTCGAGGTTCATATTTAAAAACAACTTTAACTTTTCCGTAAAAATTCAAAAAATATCCACTGGACTTGGTTTTCAAGATCTGAAGACGTTTCTCCACCTCTCCAGGAAGCTTTCTCAATTCAAATGTCTGGATCCGCAGTGAGTTTGAGTCTTATATAGACAACGCCTTGTATCGCTTGGAAACATGCAATGGAAGCCGATGAATGGGTCGTTAGTTCCATCGTTAGCCTGTAATACCTGAACCTGTCTATGATTCTAGGGGTCGGTCGTTAAGGAGGTATTGTTCACCGGCTGGGGGGGGTGGGTCCCTCGTTCCTCTGTGATGGGGTGGGGGGTTTGGTGATATCTGGAAGGGATCATGTCTATGATTGAATTGTATGTTTTTGGAAGCTGGAATCTGAGTCCACCACCTCTGTTTAAAGTTGGTTTTTCTCTCTTAACATAGATGGCTCCTTCACGCCCCTCTCAAACCACCTATTTTCTTTATCCAGAATATGGACATTCTGGTCCTCAAAAGAATGTCCTTTGTCCACAAGGTGTAGGTGTACTGCGGAGTCTTGTCCAGAGGCGGCCGCTCTTCTGTGTTGGGCCATGCGTCTGTGGAGAGGTTGTTTGGTTTCGCCAATATAAAGATCAGAGCATTCCTCGCTGCACTGAACAGCATATACCACTCCGCTCATATTCGGTCTGGAGGTTCTCGAAACGTCTTCAAATCTTGAAAACCAAGTCCAGTGGATATTTTTTGAATTTTTACGGAATGACTATGACCTGGATGACTGAGAACCTTCATCAACTTTAACTTTTAAAAGATAAAACCAGCAGGAGCCTTTCTGAAACTCAGTAGTGTTGGTTTATCCGAGTGTCACCTGAAGGCAGCACCAACTGCAGGTCTGGGGATTCAGTCCCACCCCACCCCCACCCCCCACCCCCCTCCTCTGAGCTATTTTTAAAGATGACCGCTGAGCTCCCCCCCCCCCCCCCCAGCTGCCTCCATGCGGCTCCATTAAAGTTCCTTTGTTGATTTCTGTCATTTAGAGTTCAGCCGCAACAAGCTGCTTTTAGGCACGAAGAGGCTCAAACAACCAGAACCAGCCCAGAACCAGTTCAGAACCACAACCAGTTCAGAACCAGAACCAGTTCAGAACCAGCTCAGAACCAGAACCAGTTCAGAACCAGTTCAGAACCACAACCAGCTCAGAACCAGAACCAGTTCAGAACCAGAACCAGCTCAGAACCAGAACCAGTTCAGAACCAAAACCAGTTCAGAACCAGAACCAGTTCAGAACCAAAACCAGTTCAGAACCACAACCAGTTCAGAACCAAAACCAGTTCAGAACCAGGACCAGTTCAAAACCACAACCAGCTCAGAACCAGAACCAGTTCAGAACCAAAACCAGTTCAGAACCACAACCAGCTCAGAACCAGAACCAGTTCAGAACCAAAACCAGTTCAGAACCACAACCAGTTCAGAACCAAAACCAGTTCAGAACCAGGACCAGTTCAAAACCACAACCAGCTCAGAACCAGAACCAGTTCAGAACCAAAACCAGTTCAGAACCACAACCAGTTCAGAACCAAAACCAGTTCAGAACCAGGACCAGTTCAAAACCACAACCAGCTCAGAACCAGAACCAGTTCAGAACCAAAACCAGTTCAGAACCACAACCAGCTCAGAACCAGAACCAGTTCAGAACCAAAACCAGTTCAGAACCACAACCAGTTCAGAACCAAAACCAGTTCAGAACCAGGACCAGTTCAAAACCAAAACCAGTTCAGAACCACAACCAGCTCAGAACCAGAACCAGTTCAGAACAAGGACCAGTTCAGAACCAGAACCAGTTCAGAACCAAAACCAGTTCAGAACCACAACCAGTTCAGAACCAAAACCAGTTCAGAACCACAACCAGCTCAGAACCAGAACCAGTTCAGAACAAGGACCAGTTCAGAACCAAAACCAGTTCAGAACCAGCTCAGAACCAGAACCAGTTCAGAACCAGTTCAGAACCACAACCAGCTCAGAACCAGAACCAGTTCAGAACCAGAACCAGCTCAGAACCAGAACCAGTTCAGAACCACAACCAGCTCAGAACCAGAACCAGTTCAGAACCAAAACCAGTTCAGAACCACAACCAGTTCAGAACCAAAACCAGTTCAGAACCAGGACCAGTTCAAAACCAAAACCAGTTCAGAACCACAACCAGCTCAGAACCAGAACCAGTTCAGAACAAGGACCAGTTCAGAACCAAAACCAGTTCAGAACCAGAACCAGTTCAGAACCACAACCAGTTCAGAACCAAAACCAGTTCAGAACCAGGACCAGTTCAAAACCAAAACCAGTTCAGAACCAGAACCAGTTCAGAACCACAACCAGTTCAGAACCAGAACCAGTGCCTTTTACTGAGCGGTCAGGGAGGGGAGCACAGAGGTTCGGAACCAGGGAACTTTCTATAGAAACCAAAAACAATGAGAAAACAGGCCTGAGGGCAACAATGTGAATTAAAGCAGCAGAGAGATGAAGATGGTCTTCATGTTCTCCAGCAGCTGAAGCCTACAGCAGCTTCAGAGTTCAGGAAGAGCCATGAGTGATTGATTATTTTCTATTTCATTCTGGTTTATCAGGGAACAACAGAAAGGAGCCAAGATAGGATTAAAATATTTCTATTTTTATCAGAAGTGCTTTGAATCATCAAAGGACTTTATATAACTTTTAAAAACAGATGTTCTGGAATTTGTTAAATAACCCATCCTGATCCAGTTCTGGTTCTGGTTCTATTTTTCTTGTTCTAGTTCTGGTTCTGGTTCTAGTTCTGGTTCTAGTTCTAGTTCTGGTTCTGGTTCTGGTTCTAGTTCTGGTTCTAGTTCGGATTTGGTCTGTGTTTGTATCTTGGACTAGAACCAGAACTGAGTCCTCGCGCCCTGTTTCCGCTGGGACAGTTTCTGCTGCCCCCCTGTGTTCAGACGGTGTAACTGCAGCAGCTCAGCACCGACCTGCTGCAGCCTGATGGGAACCTCTGAGCAGCTCAGAAGGTCCCAGTGTGTCTGAGATGGTCCCAGAGGTGGAAGGAGGATCTGGAGCGGACCTTCTGGGTCCAGATGTTCCTCAGCCTGAGCCAGGCTGCAGCAGGAAGTGAGGTCACTTTATTCCCCCTGCAGACTGAACTTTGACTTTACTTTCATTTTCTGGGTGAGGAAGACAGACTCAGAGCAAATAAACCCAGAGCGACTGGTTCTGCTGGGTCCGCTCCATTCAGGGTCGGATCCTCCTCCTCTGATGGGGGAACCTCTGCTGAAGGTGGCCCAGAAGGCTGGGGATTCTGTGAGCGGACCGGTCCGGACCCTCAGGGTGAAGATGGTTCTGCTGGGAAGCTCTGGAGTCGGAAAGTCCAGCCTGGCTTTGAGATTCGGAGAGGACCGCTTCAGGAACACGTCTCCCACTGTGGGCTGTGAGTCTCTGAGCAGAACTGAACCAGAACCTCTGCTTTTCATTGTTATGGGTTCTGCTTCAGCCAGAACCGGGTCGGTTAGAACAGGTTCATTAAATAGGATCTGAAGCCGGCAGAGATGTTGGGTCTGAGTTCTGCTGGAGTCCAGGTTCATTCGACAAGGAGAGAAAAGCAGGTTAGAACCAAAGGTCAGCAATTAGTGACTGATTTCCAGACAGAACCGATCCGATTGGCTCTGCTTCCTGATGTTTCTAGATCTGCCAGGAACTCTGGGCCTTCAGAGGTTCCCCTCACAGTACCGTAGAACCCTGCTGAGGTCCATGTGTTTGGTTCTGGTCCACAGTCCCGGCCCGGGAGTTTAAGATAGAATAGAAAATCCCTTTATTGTCCCACAGTGAGGAAACTCTGGTGTTACAGCAGCAAAGGTTATAGCAGAGGAGGGTGGACCTTAGAAAAGAGAATAAAAATAAAAGATAGGAAAATAAAACAAATAGACTATTGTGCTGCAGAATGTTTTTACAATATAAATACTCTATCTGGAGAATAAATAACCAATAAACCGCTCATTTTAAAGTCATTGTTCCAGTAAATTGAAAATAGCAGCTTAATCAGAGATGTGCAGAATGACAGCAGCAGGTTATTTAACTGACGAAGGTAGAAACTGAGCAGAATCAGCATGAATGGAAGAACTGGTTGAGGTTACTGGGAACAGTGGTGGTTCTAGAGTCTTCCAGCTGCTGGGAGGAAGGATCTGTGATAACGCTCCCTGGTGCATTTAAGGTGCAGCAGTCTGTCACTGAAGGAGCTGTCCAGTTCAGCACCAGCTGAACCAGCATGGGGGGGTGGGGGGTGGGGGGGTGTTCATTTAGTTAGGATCGGTCCGTTTCCCACCTCCTGCTCTGAGTCCAGAGGGCATCCAATCACAGCTGGCCTTCCTGATCAGCTGATCCAGCCGCTTCCTCTCAGCTACAGATGAGCCGCTGCTCCATAGAAGATGGCTGATGCCGTCAGCAGCTGATCCTTAGTGTCTGTGTTCTGATTGGTGGCTTCCTCCAGGTGCCTACCTGACCCAGCTGGTCCACCTGGGAGACGTCTCGCTCCGCTTTGAGATCTGGGACACGGCAGGGCAGGAGAAGTACCACAGCGTGACGCCGCTGTACTACAGAGGAGCCCACGCCGCCCTGGTGGTCTACGACATCAGCAGCAGGGTGAGAGCCACAGACGCCCCGCTGAGGAAACATCTCAGCCTGCTTCACCTCCTCCTCCTCCTGCAGGACACCTTCATCAGAGCCCAGCTATGGATCCAAGAGCTGGAGAAGCAGTACATCCCAGGATCCACCGTCCTCTGGCTCGTAGGCAACAAGGCAGACCGGGATCAGAACCGGCAGGTTTCAACTCAGGTAAGAGTTCAACATTCATCAGTGTGATGGCGGTGGGGAAGAAGCTGCTGCAGAACCTGCTGGTCCTGCATTGGGTTAGGGATCACAGTCCATGGTGGGGGGGTGAGGGGTCATTGATGATGTCACAGGCTCATGACATCATCAATGACCCCTCACACTACGTCTCCAAAAGAAGTGGACCAGAACCAAAGAAGGGAAATATTCATAAAGTCTGGAAAACCTTTGATGAAAAACCTAAAGTTCAGCTGATCTGGTGTCAATAAATGACCAGCTGATTGCATCGACTCATTGACTCTTCAGCAATCCCTCACACTAAGCATGCTTGTATCGACAGTGGAGAGGAAAAACTCCCTTTGAACAGGAAGAAACCTCCAGCAGAACCAGGCTCAGTGTGAGCGGCCATCTGCTGAGGCCCACTGGAGCCTGAGAACTAAAAGATCTGCCTCCCATTCTACTTTTAGAAGTTCTAGGAACCACTAGTAAACCTGCAGATTGAGAGCGAAGTGCTCTGTTAGGAACATAAGGAACAATCAGATCTCTGATATCAGATGGAGCTTGGCCATTTAAGGCTTTATATGTGAGAAGGAGGATTTTAAATTCTATTCTGGATTTAACAGGAAGCCAATGAAGAGAAGCCAGGATAGGAGAGATATGATCTCTCTTTTTCATTTTCATTAGAACTCTGGCTGCAGCATTTTGGATCAGCTGAAGGCTTTTAACTACAGTTTGTGGACTTCCTGATAGTAAAGAATTACAATAGTCCAGCCTTGAAGTAACAAATGCATGGACTAGTTTCTCAGCATCACCCCTGGACAGGAGATTGCTCATTTCTGCAATGTTCCTCAGATGAAAGAAGGAAATTCTAGAAACCTCTTTGATCTGGGATTTAAATGACAGGTCCTGATCAAAAATAACACCAAGATTTTTTACTTTATTATCTGAAATCAGTTTAATCCCATCCAAATGAAGTGACTGACTAATCAGCTTCTTTTTCAGAGACTCTGGTCCAAAGACTATAACTTCTGTTTTGTCTGCATTCAGAAGCAGAAAGTTAAGAGTCATCCAGGTTTTTCTGTCTTCAGACATGCCTGTAATCTATGTAATGGGTTAGCTTCATCTGGATTATAGACAGATATAGCTGGGTATCATCAGCTTCAGTTCAGGGAACCTTGCTGCCAAACCACGTCGATGACATCATCGGGTGCTGGGCGCCGTCTGAACCTGGAGAAAACAGGTCCACCAATCAGAGAGCCTAGCCTGTCCATTGGTTGGCTCTGATTAGTTGCCTGAAGCCACGCCCCCTTCTCCAGCATCATTGATTGATTGACTTATAGACCTTATTGATTGAAATGTCCTCGTTCCATCAGCTCAATAGTCAAAGGAGGAGAAGAAGGAGCCAAAGGAGGAAACAGGTGCATGATGGGATATATACAGGATATACAGCGCATGCACATATAATTACTTTTTTTTTTCAGTATGCATTTCTGCTTGCTGTTGCTGATGGTACAGGTGGCATAACCTGCTGGATGGCAGGTTATGCCACCTGTACCATCAGAACCCAGCAGGTGGACCTGGTTCTGCTAATCCCAGCTTTGAGGCCATATTTGGTTCTGTTTGAGTGGAACCACGTGACTTCAGCTATAAAAAACACCAATAATCTACTTTAGTTATGAATGAAATAAAGGTTGAAGAACATCTGTAAAGGTTCTGGAGCTAAACTGGTCCAGAAGCCGGACAGAACCAGTAGGCTGCTGGTTTGTTTGTGTTTTAGTGAAGGTGAGCTGTTGGTCTAACAGTTGTTGATGGTTCCTCAGGAAGGACTGGGTCTGGCCGGTTCCAGAGGTCTGTCCTTCACAGAGACCTCGGCCCTGTCCGGGGAGCGGGTCAGCCAGCTGCTGTCAGCTGTGGGTGAGTTCCTCTGGACCTCCACTAGGGGGCAGCACACACCACCCATCAGACCTGAGTGGGTCTCAGTGTTTGTTCCGGTTCAGCCCACAGAGTCTATGAGTCCATAGGAGAGCAGCAGGGAGGTCTGTCCGAGTGGAAGGAGAACCTGCTGCTGGACCAGAACCAGAACCAGAACCAGTCCTCCTGCTGTAGAGCTGGACCCTGATCTTCTCAATCTGGTTTCAACCAGTTTAAAGCTCAACTGTAGATTGTTGTTCTGGTCAAAGACGACCAGAACCCGACCCGGTTGGAGGTTCGGACCAAAGATGTTAGATAAAATGTTTGATGAACAATAAAAAAGTTGAAAACCTTAATTATTTGAGTTTTTTTTCTTCTCATTCAGAACCGAACGAAACCAGAACCTTTACTGGTGGTTCAGGATCAGAACCATATTCTGATCGGGTCCCGGGGAACTGGACCATGACCCGGTTTTCTGACCCAGTAGAATACCTCCCTGTGCTGAGACGGTTCTGTCCAATCAGAGCCCAGAGCTGAGAGCCGAGCCAATGGGAGGTGGTTTCAGCTCTGACTGGTTCTGGAGAAACTGGACCTGAAGGTTCTGTTTAACAAACCAGAGATGAAAACATGCAGATGGTTCTGATACTCTGGACCTTTAGCTTCTCTCTATGTTCTGACTGTCTGAGGCTCCTGGTTTTGCAGCTGGCGCCCCCTGCTGCCCACAGGAGGCAGACATCACCATGGCAACTATCTTCTGCGGCTCCTTCACCACCGAGCAGCCTTAAGCAGGATCCAGGTCCTGGAGGTCCAGGTCCTGGAGGTCCAGATCTTTCAGTCTGGATCTCCAGATTCCTGCTGATTGACTCAGAGGAGCATCAGTCGGTCTGCTGCTCCTCCACCATCTGGGGACCAACTTCAACACTTTGCTTTAAGCGGGAATAAAGAGGCGCCTCTTCTGTGTCTGAAAGCGTTTAATAGAAAGCCAAGAGCAGAAAACATCTGAGTCATCAGAAGTGATTCATCCCAGTAAAACCAGTAAACCCAATAAAAACAGCATCTTGGAACAATTAGAGCTTCTCTGTCTTCCTCAGATCCACGTCTTCTGGACCTTTTGGTTGTGAGTACCTTCCTTCAGCTGAAGGAGACAACACAGCATCCATCTTGGGAGTGGCATTAAATCTGAGACCGGGCAGACCTGCTGTAGGTTCTGCTGCTTGAAATGACCTTTGACCCCTGACCTCTGCTGTCTGCCGTTCCATGGACATGCAGGAGCAAAGCTTTCTGTGATATATCTGCTCGTCTAGTGATCCTGGATGATCAGTTCTTTATAAAGGTGCATTGTGGGAAATTTCGAGTCCACTACTTTTTCATCCACTAGACGTTCAGACACTCATTTAAAATGTCGGCGCCACTATATGGTGATCAGGGCGGACATTTTGACACAGCCTTAGATAGAAGGAGTCTGATCGCCTAGCAACCGTTCCAGTGGCTGTGAGGTCACTGCCTCCTTTGGGGTGCGCTTGATTCGTCCTACTGGTTGTGCCTCTGCAGTAACAACAATTCGCTGCGTCTCTTTATCTAACCGTTAGAAAACACTACTAATATTATAATGATATAATAAAATAATTTTCCTGAAGTGATCAGATGATTTAACTATAATTATGCCCATTAAAACTAAATACTAACAACTAATAAAATAAAAAGAGAAAGAAAGTTATAAACAAACCATTGGCTGGAAAGGTTGCTAGGCGATAATACCACTGGGTGTTATTACTGAGAACAGAGAACATCTGTCAAGAGAACATAGAACATCTGGGGGAGAATGGAGAACATCTGGAAGGAGAACAGAGAACATCTGGCAGGAGAACAGAGAACATCTGGAAGGACAGCATCTAGAAGGAGAACGGGGAACATCTGGACCAAAGCGGACCTTTTTCCTTCTCTGAAGTGAAAGTTGTTTGTTCCTGGTTTACAACCGTGGATCCTGTGTGGAGCCACGGTCCTGATCTAGTCCAGGTTCTGGGTCAGTTCTTCTCTGAAGCTGTGGGCCTCCTACCAGAATGAAGTTTCGGAAGTGACTTAAAGGTCAGAACCCCACTGAGAACCTGAAGAAGTTACGTGTCTAAAGATCAACTACAGCAGGAATGAGATTCATTGGGAACATCTGAGGGTTAAAGCTCCACCAGAAGAAAACATCTGCTTCCAGCTTTGGGGTTCCAGATCCATTCATGCTGGTTACGACTGGACTCCATCCTGTTACCATGGTAACATCTGGCCTACTTCCACATCGACTCCATCTCCACAGAAGAAGGTCAGATGATGCTCAGCCTTCTCCTCACCAGCACGCCATCATGACCGGGTTCTGTCCCAGGAGACAAGAACACAGAGAGAGACCAGGACAGTTAGCAAGGAACCGATCAAGCACCAACCAGGAACCGATCAAGCACCAAACAGGAACCATTAGGCACCAACCAGGAACCATCAGGCACCAACCAGGAACCGATCAAGCACCAAACAGGAACCATTAGGCACCAACCAGGAACCATCAGGCACCAAACAGGAACCATCAGGCACCAAACAGGAACCATTAGGCACCAACCAGAAACCATCAGGCACCAGCCAGGAACCATTAGGCACCAAACAGGAACCATCAGGCACCAACCAGGAACCATTAGGCACCAAACAGGAACCATCAGGCACCAACCAGGAACCATCAGGCACCAGCCAGGAACCATCAGGCACCAAACAGGAACCATCAGGCACCAACCAGGAACCATCAGGCACCAAACAGGAACCATCAGGCACCAAACAGGAACCATCAGGCACCAACCAGGAACCATCAGGCACCAACCAGGAACCATCAGGCACCAAACAGGAACCATTAGGCACCAAACAGGAACCATCAGGCACCAACCAGGAACCATCAGGCACCAAACAGGAACCATCAGGCACCAACCAGGAACCATTAGGCACCAAACAGGAACCATCAGGCACCAAACAGGAACCATCAGGCACCAACCAGGAACCATCAGGCACCAAACAGGAACCATCAGGCACCAAACAGGAACCATCAGGCACCAAACAGGAACCATCAGGCACCAAACAGGAACCATCAGGCACCAACCAGGAACCATCAGGCACCAACCAGGAACCATCAGGCACCAAACAGGAACCATTAGGCACCAAACAGGAACCATCAGGCACCAACCAGGAACCATCAGGCACCAACCAGGAACCATCAGGCACCAAACAGGAACCATTAGGCACCAAACAGGAACCATCAGGCACCAACCAGGAACCATCAGGCACCAAACAGGAACCATCAGGCACCAGCCAGGAACCATTAGGCACCAAACAGGAACCTTCAGGCACCAACCAGGAACCATCAGGCACCAACCAGGAACCATCAGGCACCAAACAGGAACCATCAGGCACCAAACAGGAACCATCAGGCACCAGCCAGGAACCATTAGGCACCAAACAGGAACCATCAGGCACCAACCAGGAACCATCAGGCACCAAACAGGAACCATCAGGCACCAACCAGGAACCATCAGGCACCAAACAGGAACCATCAGGCACCAGCCAGGAACCATTAGGCACCAACCAGGAACCATTAGGCATTAACCAGGAACCATCAGGCATTAACCAGGAACCATAGGAGGCACCAAACAGGAACCATCAGGCACCAACCAGGAACCATTAGCCACCAACCAGGAACCATTAGGCACCAGCCAGGAACCATCAGGTATTAACCAGGAACCATCAGGCACCAACCAGGAACCATCTGGTACCAACCAGGAACCATCAGGCATTAACCAGGAACCATCAGGCACCAACCAGGAACCATCAGGCACCAACCAGGAACCATCAGGCACCAAACAGGAACCATCAGGCACCAGCCAGGAACCATTAGGCACCAACCAGGAACCATTAGGCATTAACCAGGAACCATCAGGCATTAACCAGGAACCATAGGAGGCACCAAACAGGAACCATCAGGCACCAAACAGGAACCATTAGGCACCAACCAGAAACCATCAGGCACCAGCCAGGAACCATTAGGCACCAAACAGGAACCATCAGGCACCAACCAGGAACCATTAGGCACCAAACAGGAACCATCAGGCACCAACCAGGAACCATCAGGCACCAGCCAGGAACCATCAGGCACCAAACAGGAACCATCAGGCAACAACCAGGAACCATCAGGCACCAAACAGGAACCATCAGGCACCAAACAGGAACCATCAGGCACCAACCAGGAACCATCAGGCACCAAACAGGAACCATTAGGCACCAAACAGGAACCATCAGGCACCAACCAGGAACCATCAGGCACCAAACAGGAACCATCAGGCACCAACCAGGAACCATCAGGCACCAAACAGGAACCATCAGGCACCAAACAGGAACCATCAGGCACCAACCAGGAACCATCAGGCACCAACCAGGAACCATCAGGCACCAAACAGGAACCATTAGGCACCAAACAGGAACCATCAGGCACCAACCAGGAACCATCAGGCACCAGCCAGGAACCATTAGGCACCAAACAGGAACCATCAGGCACCAACCAGGAACCATAAGGCACCAAACAGGAACCATCAGGCACCAACCAGGAACCATCAGGCACCAACCAGGAACCATCAGGCACCAGCCAGGAACCATTAGGCACCAAACAGGAACCATCAGGCACCAACCAGGAACCATCAGGCACCAACCAGGAACCATCAGGCACCAAACAGGAACCATCAGGCACCAAACAGGAACCATCAGGCACCAGCCAGGAACCATTAGGCACCAAACAGGAACCATCAGGCACCAACCAGGAACCATCAGGCACCAAACAGGAACCATCAGGCACCAACCAGGAACCATCAGGCACCAAACAGGAACCATCAGGCACCAGCCAGGAACCATTAGGCACCAACCAGGAACCATTAGGCATTAACCAGGAACCATCAGGCATTAACCAGGAACCATAGGAGGCACCAAACAGGAACCATCAGGCACCAACCAGGAACCATTAGGCACCAACCAGGAACCATTAGGCACCAGCCAGGAACCATCAGGTATTAACCAGGAACCATCAGGCACCAACCAGGAACCATCTGGTACCAACCAGGAACCATCAGGCATTAACCAGGAACCATCAGGCACCAACCAGGAACCATCAGGCACCAACCAGGAACCATCAGGCACCAAACAGGAACCATCAGGCACCAGCCAGGAACCATTAGGCATTAACCAGGAACCATCAGGCATTAACCAGGAACCATAGGAGGCACCAAACAGGAACCATCAGGCACCAACCAGGAACCATTAGGCACCAACCAGGAACCATCAGGCACCAACCAGGAACCATCAGGTATTAACCAGGAACCGTCAGGCACCAACCAGGAACCATCTGGTACCAACCAGGAACCATCAGGCATTAACCAGGAACCATCAGGCACCAACCAGGAACCATCAGGCATTAACCAGGAACCATCAGACACCAACAGGAACCATCTGGTACCAACCAGGAACCATCAGGCATTAACCAGGAACCATCAGGCACCAACAGGAACCATAGGAGGCAGCAGAACCTCATTAACGTGGAACCGCAGGTTACTGCGGCTGCCTCTGCACCGCTCCTCTGGGATCTGTCTAGAGGTTCTGGAACTGAAGGCAGAATCTGGAACCAGAAGAGATCCTCCCTGATAGGTCACATCAGAACCATTTATCTGGATCCATCACAGAGAATAAAGAACTTCAGAGCAGCATGAAGAACCGTTGACTGCAACCAATTGGGTCTCCTTGGTTCTGGAGGGAAATATAGAGCCCGAGTTCTGCTCAATTTGGGCCGGCAAAACCATGGATTGGAATCTGGGAACAGAACCGACTATTAGCCCAAGAAAATACTGAGTCAACACCAGACGGAACCGGGTGGAACCAGACGGAACCGGTGGAATCAGACGGAACCGGTGGAATCAGACGGAACCGGGTGGAACCAGAAGGAACCGGGTGGAACCAAGCGGAACCGGGTGGAACCAGACGGAACCAGGTGGAATCAGAAGGAACCAGGTGGTACCAAGCGGAACCAGGTGGAACCAGACGGAACCGGGTGGACCCAGAAGGAACCGGGTGGAACCAAGCGGAACCGGGTGGAATCAGACGGAACCGGGTGGAACCAAGTGGAACCGGGTGGAACCAAGTGGAACCGGGTGAACCCAGATGGAACCGGGTGGAATCAGACGGAACCGGGTGAAACCAAGCAGAACCGGGTGGAATCAGAAGGAACCAGGTGGTACCAAGCGGAACCGGGTGGAACCAGACGGAACCGGGTGGAACCAGACGGAACCGGGTGGAACCAGAAGGAACCAGGTGGAACCAAGCGGAACCGGGTGGAATCAGACGGAACCGGGTGAAACCAAGTGGAACCGGGTGAACCCAGATGGAACCGGGTGGAATCAGACAGAACCGGGTGAAACCAAGCAGAACCGGGTGGAACCAAGCGAAACCGGGTGGAATCAGAAGGAACCGGGTGGAACCAAGCGGAACCGGGTGGAATCAGACGGAACCAGGTGGAACCAGAAGGAACCGGGTGGAACCAGAAGGAACCGGGTGGAACCAGACAGAACCGGGTGGAACCGGGTGGAACCAGATGGAACCGGGTGGAACCGGACGGAACCAAGCGGAACCGGGTGGAACCAGAAGGAACCGGGTGGAACCAAGCGGAACCGGGTGGAATCAGACGGAACCAGGTGGAACCAGAAGGAACCGGGTGGAACCAGAAGGAACCGGGTGGAACCAAGTGGAACCAAGTGGAACCGGACGGAACCAAGCGGAACCGGGTGGAACCAGATGGAACCGGGTGGAACCAGAAGGAACCGGGTGGAACCAAGTGGAACCGGGTGAAACCAAGCAGAACCGGGTGGAACCAAGCGAAACCGGGTGGAATCAGACGGAACCGGGTAGAACCAGAAGGAACCGGGTGGAATCAGACAGAACCGGGTGGAACCGGGTGGAACCAGATGGAACCGGGTGGAACCAAGTGGAACCGGGTGGAACCAGATGGAACCCGGTGGAACCAGATGGAACCGGGTGGAACCAAGCCGAACCGGGTGGAACCAGATGGAACCAGGTGTCTAAATTATTTGCTCAGACTTTATGGATTTAATCTGGATTAAATCCACTTTAATCCAGGTTTAGCTCATCATGGCAGCGAAGAAAGTGGGGTTCCTATTCTGGGACCTCAGGTGTTCTCTGGGTTGACTGGGTTAGGATGGGAGGGGGCACTGGGAGCACTGGGGAGCGGCGGCAGCTCTTACTGGTGGGGAAGTTTTGTGAGAGCCTCCTTGCTTGGACTGGGATGGCCGACTGCAACAGAGGAGACCACATGTCAGAGGAGAGGAAGCAGTTGCTGATGCAGCAGCTCCCAGTTTAACCATCATAGTCACCCTCCTCCTCCTGTCTGTCGGCGTCCCCGCAGCGTTCAGCGCAGCGATACGGTTCTCGATCAATGACACCTGAGGAGGACAGATGTTGATTAGAACGTCCAGATGTGGGTTCTCTCTGAGCTCCTTCAGCTCCTTCCTGACCTGACTCTCGGCGCTCTGAACGTTAGCCGCAGCCTCCGCCACTTTGTCCTCCAGTTCAACCAGTAAGGCGGTGGAGCCTCTGAAGCTGGTTCTGCCAGGTTCCTGCAGGGGGCGCTGCTTCCTCTCAGGGCTCTCTGATGGAGACTCTGTCTGGAGAAAAGGATGGAAAAAAGCAGAACCCGGACCCTGTGACTGGGAGCGGAACCCGGACCCCGGCCCAGCGCCTGGGAGCGGAACCCAGACCCTGTGACTGGGAGTGGAACCTGGACCCCGGCCCAGCGCCTGGGAGCGGAACCCGGACCCTGTGACTGGGAGTGGAACCCGGACCCTGTGACTTAGAGTGGAACCTGGACCCCGGCCCAGCGCCTGGGAGTGGAACCCGGACCCCGGCCCAGCGCCTGGGAGCGGAACCCGGACCCTGTGACTGGGAGTGGAACCCGGACCCCGGCCCAGCGCCTGGGAGCGGAACCCGGACCCTGTGACTGGGAGCGGAACCCGGACCCCGGCCCAGCGCCTGGGAGCGGAACCCAGACCCTGTGACTGGGAGTGGAACCTGGACCCCGGCCCAGCGCCTGGGAGCGGAACCCGGACCCTGTGACTGGGAGTGGAACCCGGACCCTGTGACTTAGAGTGGAACCTGGACCCCGGCCCAGCGCCTGGGAGTGGAACCCGGACCCCGGCCCAGCGCCTGGGAGCGGAACCCGGACCCTGTGACTGGGAGTGGAACCCGGACCCCGGCCCAGCGCCTGGGAGCGGAACCCGGACCCTGTGACTGGGAGTGGAACCCGGACCCTGTGACTTAGAGTGGAACCTGGACCCCGGCCCAGCGCCTGGGAGTGGAACCCGGACCCCGGCCCAGCGCCTGGGAGCGGAACCCGGACCCTGTGACTGGGAGTGGAACCTGGACCCCGGCCCAGCGCCTGGGAGTGGAACCCGGACCCCGGCCCAGCGCCTGGGAGCGGAACCCGGACCCTGTGACTGGGAGTGGAACCCGGACCGAGGCCCAGCGCCTGGGAGCGGAACCCGGACCCTGTGACTGGGAGTGGAACCCGGACCCTGTGACTTAGAGTGGAACCTGGACCCCGGCCCAGCGCCTGGGAGTGGAACCCGGACCCCGGCCCAGCGCCTGGGAGCGGAACCCGGACCCTGTGACTGGGAGTGGAACCTGGACCCCGGCCCAGCGCCTGGGAGCGGAACCCGGACCCTGTGACTGGGAGTGGAACCCGGACCCTGTGACTTAGAGTGGAACCTGGACCCCGGCCCAGCGCCTGGGAGTGGAACCCGGACCCCGGCCCAGCGCCTGGGAGCGGAACCCGGACCCTGTGACTGGGAGTGGAACCCGGACCCCGGCCCAGCGCCTGGGAGTGGAACCCGGACCCCGGCCCAGCGCCTGGGAGCGGAACCCGGACCCTGTGACTGGGAGTGGAACCCGGACCCCGGCCCAGCGCCTGGGAGTGGAACCCGGACCCTGTGACTGGGAGTGGAACCTGGACCCCGGCCCAGCGAATGGGAGTGGAACCCGGACCCTGTGACTGGGAGTGGAACCTGGACCCCGGCCCAGCGAATGGGAGTGGAACCCGGACCCCGGCCCAGCGCCTGGGAGCGGAACCCGGACCCTGTGACTGGGAGTGGAACCCGGACCCCGGCCCAGCGCCTGGGAGTGGAACCCGGACCCTGTGACTGGGAGTGGAACCTGGACCCCGGCCCAGCGAATGGGAGTGGAACCCGGACCCTGTGACTGGGAGTGGAACCTGGACCCCGGCCCAGCGAATGGGAGTGGAACCCGGACCCTGTGACTGGGAGCGGAACCCGGACCCTGTGACCGGGAGCGGAACCCAGGACTCCGGACCCAGTGACTCGGAGAGGAACCTGGACCCTGCAACTGGGAGTGGAACCTGGACCCCGGGCCAGCGACTCGGAGCGGAACCCGGACCCAGCGACTCAGAGCGGAACCCGGACCCTGTGACCGGGAGCGGAACCCAGGACTCTGGACCCAGCGACTCGGAGAGAAACCTGGACCCTGCAACTGGGAGCGGAACCCGGACCCTGTGACTGGGAGCGGAACCCGGACCCAGCGACTGGGAGCAGAACCTGGACCCTGGGCCAGCGACTCGGAGCGGAACCCAGACCCAGCGACGGGGAGCGGAACTCGGACCCAGCGAGTGGGAGCGGAACTCGGACCCAGCGACTGGGAGCAGAACCCGGACCCAGCGACTGGGAGCAGAACCTGGACCCAGTGGTGGAGCAGAAATGCGACATGTTTGGTAACTTTTAAAGATCCAGTTCCTAAAATGATGCTAAGGTGGATGAGGTTGATGTTCTGGAATGTTCTGGAATGTTCTGGAATGTTCTTGGCCTTGGGAACCTCTGAGACTCGGTTGGACGTCGTCCCACCACGGTCTGCTGCTTTATAAACACAGCAGCGTTTATAAAGCAGGACTTTCAGAAGCTACAGCAGGAGGTCAGATGTTCCCCACTGAGGAGCTGGATCCGTACCTTCAGGAGGTCCCAGTGCAGAGGCAGCTCCTCCTCCAGTCTGGAACTGGAGATGCTGGTTCTGGACGAAGGCCTGGTGGGGATCCTGGAAGGCCGGACGTCCCACTGTGGGCTCCTCCAGGCTGGGACATCCGGAGCAGACTGAGGCCTGTCAGGCTCCTCCTCCTCAGAGCTTTGATCGCTGATGTTGTCCGTCAGCTGGTGGAGCTTCAGTCGGAGCTGCTGCTCCTCCAGGTCCACTTCCAGGTCCACAGGTTGGCAGGGGGAGGAGCTGTGGGGGGTCGGAGTTCTGTTGCTCTGTGGAGGAGGAGCAGAAGCACATGGAGACAGTGAGGAGGAGCAGAAGCACATGGAGCCCATCAAACGCTGCAGCTTTCATTCACAACACCAGGAATCACAAATACTTTAATAATCCCAGGAAGGGATTACTTTAGTTACATTACTCCATCTGTAATAGAGTGACTATAGGATCAGCCCCTTGCTGGAGGAGACGGTGAGGAGGAGCAGGAGGAGCAGCTGTAGGAGGGGCTGCAGGAGGAGCAGGAGGCGCAGGAGGAGCAGCTGTAGGAGGGGCTGCATGAGAAGCAGGAGGAGCAGGAGGAGCAGCTGTAGGAGGGGCTGCAGGAGGAGCAGAAGGAGCAGGAGGAGCAGCTGTAGGAGGAGCTCCATCATGGCAGAGAATCAAAGCAGCTCAGATGTTTGAAGGTTTTTCTAATTAGCGGCTCTGTGATCGTTTGAGGCTGTCTGATGTCTGAGTCATAATCAGAAACAGGAATCATCCATGGAGGAACCTGAACCTAACAATCCCCTCTTCCACCACCAGGGGGCAGCCTATCAATTCTTTTCTCAGAATAGAGAAATTATCCTTTGAATGTTAGTTTAGGTTCCACTGATCCGGCCTGCATCCATTGAACCTTCCAGCAGAGAAGAAGCAGCCTCCATCTTTGCCCCCCCGAGGGTTACCTTGATGTTTGATGATGTCACCTTCTGCTCCAGGCGGTTTAGGAGGTTCTCCACAGCTGACATCCGTCTGTCCAGATCGCTGATCTAGAAAAGGCAGAAAAATGACCGTTGCAGCTGGGGGACTGTTAGCTGATCTGTTTGCATTCCTGTGATGTTTGGACCCTGACAGGAACCCAGCAGAACCAGCAGCGGGTCGGGTCAGACGCTGAGCCACGATCAGACGATGATGTAATGATCTGGCAGCTGCCTCCTCTTCATCACTCAGACGGACGTTCCGGTCCAACAGGAGGATCAGGAATCTGTTCCCACAGCGGAACCAGAACTCTGACTGGGTTCTGCTCACTTTGAGGAGGAGCTACCCCTGATCCAGAACCGGTCGGAAAGCGGGTTTGGGACCCTGATCCAGCAGACTCCCAGAACCCATTCCCACTCTGCAGGGCCACGGCATGATGCTGCCACCGCCATGCTTCACAGCTTGTGTTGCTCTCTGCATGTAGATCATCAGGAGGTTCTGCACGTTCTGCTGGGTCTGCAGCAGGTCCAGATGCTGGAGCAGAACCTCCTCTCTGACCCGTCTGATGGTGTTCAGGTTGAGGTGGGAACCAGAACCAGCTGGTTCTGGTTCCGGGTCGATGGCTGTTATTACTACAGTATTACAGATTATTGGATATTCTACTATTAATATAGAATACTGTAATTATGGAACCCAGTTCTAGAAGCATCAGAACTGGATAATTGGACCAAAGCCGAACCAGCGCCACCTGCTGCCTGAAGGCCGCCACTAACCTGCGGCGCGGCGCTGGCTGCGTTCAGGCTCTCCTGGGAGCCCGGATGGCGCTGGTAGAAGCGGTTCTGGTGGAGCGGCTCGTCCTCGGCCTCTGAGTGCTCCAGGCTGGGTAGGTAGCTGCCGCAGCCCCTCAGACCCGCCAAGCTGCCGCTGCCGCAGGACGAGTAGCTGAGGCGCGACACGGAGCGGGATGGGCCGGTCCGGTACTCCGCCGACCCGGTGTCATCTGGAGAAAACAAAGCAGAGGCCTGACCTTTGACCTGTGGACGCCGGCGGGCGGCCGCTCGGGGAACAGTCTCCTTACCGTTCTGCGGACTCATCTCCGGGTCCAGATCGCCGTGCTGAAAGATGGCCGCCACGTCAGCGTCGCAGAGCATCGGCTCCCTCAGACCGCCGTCAGAGTCTGTGATGTCATGAGAGACTGATGCCTGTGGGGGGAGAGCGTTGGTGACCGACCCGGTTAGGAACCGGATCAGAATAATCTAGACTCCAGATTAACTCACTGAAACCATTACTGGCTCATAATCTGACCCAATCTGAGCTCAGACCTGAAGCTCGGATCATCTGCTTCTTTAGAACTGGTTCTACTGGTCGTGGTCCAGAACCTACCTGGTCCTGTGGAGTTCTGGAGGTGGTGCAGGGATCCCAGCCCAGCAGGAAATCAACCGGATCCACCGTCAGCCTCCGTTTGGCCTTTTTCATCTACAGAGGAGGAGGATGAGGAGGATGAACCTTCATCAGCGTTCAGACGGCCTGAAGCCTCTGAGGTTCCCTCAGTTCTACGTCTGTTCCTGTCAGCAGAAACCTGCTGCTGGACCTCAGCAGACCTGGACGCGTCAGATGCTTGATTCTGACCATGAAGATTCAGAGACAGAAGATCAGGAAGTAGAGGCTTTTATTGTGAAAGGTAGCAGAGCGCTAAGCTGAGCCTGCAGCTCTCTAGCTAGCAGTGGCTACCAAGGATTTTATTACTGGTAGCAGACTATAGCATGGCAGAAACTAGCGGTTTAAGAGCTAAGCTAACAGCTAGCGCTAATAAACCAGCGTTTTCCCACCAGTCTCAGTAAACAACCAGACAGGCAACAGCAGCCTGGGATTAACTGAGACCTGGTTGCATGATCAAACCACGGAGTGAGATGTGGAGTTAGTGGGGTGCAACATCAGACAAGAGGAGAAGGAGCAGGAGGAGCAGGAGCAATAGAACCAATTAACGTAAAGAAAGCTGAACAAACTCCCACTGCTCTGAATTTACCATTATTCACAGATAAAACATTTCCATTAAAACCGTTTCATGTTTCGGGGTCGGGCCGCATCGAGAGTAAGGCGTCTACACATGGGTCAGGCGTGCTAACCGCTGCGCCGCCGAAGCGCCCAGTTTCATTTATAAAAATAATGCATAAAGTCTAGAGTGGTTCAGGAAAAAGGAGTAATTTCAATGACAAAAAAATCTATAGAATGTAAATCCTTTTTAACCCTTTATAAGGTAAGTAAGCATTTTAAGCATCCCCCTTACAAATGTAGCCCCCCCCATCCGTCAGTGAGGTCTAGAAGCACTAGATCTATATCCATCCATTCAGCATAGATCCTGCTGCATGGCTGCACATCTGATTTTGGCATTTGACCAATTAGATGAACCCTGAATTACATGTAACTATAAATTAACTTGGAAAAAAAAACAAAGTTAGCAAATCAAGAAAAAAGGTAAAAAGTAAAAAAGTTAATAAGCCTTGTTAACAATTAAATTCAGGATTATAAACTGAAAAATGTAAGAACCAGTATCAGCATTAATGCGTTTAATACTTTTATTTTTCTTAATATATTTGGGAAAGTTGGTTTCTTGTTATTACATTGACATTAATTTTTGCCATCCAATTATCCATATTTTTTTAATGTTCCAGAGGAAATTCAAAATCATTATTGGCTTGAAATTTAGATTTTAAAAGTATTTCACTGAGTGTCCTAGAAAGGGTTAAAAACTATTTCCTTCTGTCAGGGTTTGGTTGAGGTTCTGAGGACCCAAATGCAGCGGCGAGTTCCTGAAGATATGATTAATAAACTGAGGCAAAAATCCAAAAACTAAAGTTCAAAATAAATGGATCCAAAAACCAAACGACTTCATGAGAAAATTCACCTGGGGAGGCAGGAAAAGACGAGGAAGCAGCAGTGAGGAGCTGCACTGGGGGAGTATATATGGGAGACTGAACAAAGACGGGACTAATGAGCTGATTGGGAGCAGGTGGGAACAGAGGAGTCTAGAAGGAGGTAGAGGAAAGGAGACCAATACAAGAGGGCAACCAGAAAAACCTAAGAACTCAAATATAAAATCCAGAATGACACAAGATAGGAAGTAAACCAATAAAACTAGAAAACTAAAGAAAAACAAAGTGAAACTGAAAACTCAAAGAATAAAAAGGAACCAGAAGGTGTCACTGTCTGGTTACCATGCCAACGTTGGCAAACAGGATTCTGCACCAGTAGGAGTAGCAGCTCCGTGACGGAGCTGAGAAACGACTTCTTCTCTGATTAGAGACTGAAAACCTTTTAAAGAAGCAGGAGGAGGAGAGGAGGAGGAGTCAGGGGTCGGCGCCACCTGCAGGAGGTCTCAGAAACAACACAGAGGTTGGTGCTTTACTTCAGGGTGGGCATGCTAAGCAAAGGTTAGCATTAGCATTAGCAGAGCTGGCCAATAAAGAGGAAGGAGAGTGAGCGAGAGCGCCACCTCCTGGCCAGCAGGAGCGCCACCTCCTGGCCAGCAGGAGCGCCACCTCCTGGCCAGCAGGAGCGCCACCTCCTGGCCAGCAGGAGTTCGGACCTGCAGCTCCCACCTGCCACTTTTAGGGCGTTCTAGTTCAAATGTTTGGAAGTTCTTACTTCCTGGTTGATCTTCTCGATCGGAGAAGATCCTGATGATTCCCAGTCTGGGGTGCTGCAGCATGATGGTTTGGTTTACTGGTTTCTGTTCATGGTGACCCTAAATCCCACCCCGCCCCTCCTGAAACCCCCTAAAGGTCAGCAGGTCTAGATCAGGGCGTCCTGAAGTATGATTATTAACCTGGATTAGTCAGTTAGTTGAGATGAAAGATGGAGATGGAGGTCCTACCCCAGGGAGGTGCTGTGAGTCTGCTCCTTCCACGCTGTGCTCCTCAAATCCATCTGCTGACACACAGAACAGAGGAGGCCGTGATTTATGAGCTGATGATGGAAGACTAATTAATATAAGAACCAAACAGATGCAAAGAAAAACTAAGGAGAAAAAGACGATAAAGTCAGAAACTACGGAAAAACAAAAGAGAAAGATGAGGAACGTAAAAAAGAAAGGTTTGATAAGCAGGAAGCAAAGGAGCTCTGGGATCCCTTGAAATCTAATGTTTTCTCATATTCAGTGAGTAATGGAGGGAGAGCTGTGCTTCAGACGCCGTTAATCAGATCAGTGAGGCGTTTCTACTTACTGTGGACTTCTGAAAAGAAAAACAGGCAGTGAGGGAACGAACATGTTAGCTGCAAATAAATACAGCCCTGCAGAAATAATCACATCCCTCAGTTTAGATCTTTCATTTCCATCCCTGCAGCCGACCATCAGTTCAATGATGACATAATGAGACGTGGCTCCTATCATTAGATGCTAGCGTAGCCATGCTAGCAGCAGCAGGAGGAGGAGGAGGACTCCCTCCGAGCTTTGAGGGCCCGGCGGACCACAGCAGGAACTCAGGGAGGCTGCTGAAGGCGGCGTGCGTGAAGTCATGCGTGTTTAATTCAGTCCAGACGTCACATGAGTCTCTGCATGTGACCAAGATCCTCATGTTTCTGTTAACATGCATATTTATGGCTGGTTTTATAACTGAAAGTTGGTTCACATCTGAAAAGCTGCATTCCAGCAGAGAGGAGCTTTCTCCTCCTCCTGCTCCTCCTCCTGCTGGGCTGCAGAGCCCTGCTCTCCAGGCTGAGCCAGCGCCTCTGCCCCCCCCACGCCGCTGCCCTCCAGGGTGACTCAGCGTAAGCGGTACCAGCAGCCCTGGCCCACTCCCATCCAAACGCTGTGATCTCACTGGGAGACCTGCTGCGCAGAAAAACGCTACGAACTGAAATAAAACCGCAGTTTAGAAAACTCCTTTAGTTTGCAGCTTTATGAAAGAGAGCAAAGAATAAAAGGAGGAATGAAGTGAACACAGTGATCTGAACACTATTTCCATCCATTTAGCTGCTGCACCTCTGGAAACACTTTCTCTGTTAACGAGCAAAAAAGACTGAACTGTTTGTTCTCACTAACAAATCCTCCTCCATGAGCTCACTGCTCTCTGTCCTTCAGCATTAAAGCAAATGAAAATGTTTCTATTTTAAAACCTAAATAGTTGATTTTTTAAGTAGAGAACAACAATCGTTCAGTTTGGTTTATAGATAATTTCCTGATTCCCATATTTTCTCAAACCCCTGAACTGATGGTTTGTTCTTTTCTTTCTTTTTTCTGTCTTAATGTTGGCAGTGGGCTTTAGGCTGCACTGCAAGGCTTTAAACCTGGGTTTAAATGGAGACTAAGCCATTCTCAAGCACATATCAAGGAGCTCATTTTGAGCCTGGATCCAGATTTATTGTTGATTCTGTTCATGGTGGAGAATCCTGCTTCACAGCAGCAGGTTGAGCCAAACATCCTCTAAATGTGCAGGGTCATCTTTGAGCACGCCATTTCACTTTTCTTTCACCAGTTCACCGCAGTTCTTCCAGCAGTCCACACTTTCTCTGCTCTCTTTTTCTCATGGTCTTCTCCTTCTTTCCCATCGCCCGGCTTGCCACAGGTTTGCCTGCTGTGTCTAAAAGTAGCAGCAGCAGCAACCCAGACTGACAGCTCATTGGCTCATTTGGATCACGTGCAGCCTGGAGCCGGACGCTCCCCAGGGCTTTACCGTATTAACTGGAGAAGAGGCGCAAGTGAAGTTAGACACTGCAGGACAACATGCCGTAATTTATAAATGTTTTAAATCAGGTTAGGTCTGGATTAACAAGCAGGTGGATCCGGATCCAGACCGCTGTCCGCTAATCCATGACCTCTGGGCTGCTGGATAAAACCTGGAACTAAACACTGTTTCTGACATTTATATTATTTACAGCGTCGACTAAAATGACAATAAATTGACTAAAACTGATTTTCATCATTGTGACTAAAACTAAATTAAAAAAGCTGATGATATTAGCGCTGCGCCCGCGGCCCACTGTCGCCATAAGCCGTCGCTACCCGACTAATAACAAAGATGGCGCAGGCACCGCGCGGCGGAGGAGGAGCCATGTGACCAACGGAGTGAAAAGCAGTGATCATCTGTCTGAACGGTCAGTTAACTGAGTTCACTATAAAGTTCACTATATAGTGTCTGTTCTATAGTGATGGAGGGAGTTAGGCGTTAAGGCGGACGGACACAGTTAGCTGCTCTGAGCTATAAGAACAGCAGCTTTAAACAGAGAGCGTGCACGAGCCCATTCCTTCTCGTGCACGCTCTCGCTCGCTCTTTTTTAAGTGGAGAGAACGGGTCCAGAATACCTTTAAATCTCAACTCAGCAACATAGTTTTCATTTCTAAATGCAATACTCAGATGTGATGATTTACATTACATGTATTAAATGTGCTAATATGGTGACAGATTAATTAGTTTTTTTTTCCTTCTAATAAAACATTAAAACTTCACACATTCAACACAGAAGCCGTCGTTAAGAATATCTTTTTTTGGTTTCAAATGACAGTTTTATTTATCTAAAGGAAAATGTTTTACAAACCCACATATTTAATGGCACCTGGCTTAGCTAAGTTAGCATCATTTAGGTTTTAATTCTGATTCTTTTTCATTCTTTCCTGACTGCAGCTAAAGTAAACAAAGTTGCCCCCCCCCAATGTCAGCAACGTCACGAGGAAGGCGGCACTCGGCCGCCTGGCAGGAAGCCAGAGGCAGGATCGTCCAAGCCAGTGTGGACGGTGTCCCCAGGCCACGCCCCTTCCTGCCGCCTCCTGTACCTCCCGCTAGAATAGAAGGTAACACCGGGGGGGGGGGGCAGAACCATAAGTCCCATCCTGCAGGTACCGTAATACCTGATGCAGGGAGCATGAGATTGGGAGAACCTCCTTATTGTGGGTTCTTTACAAACTTTGACTTTCTAATTTAACGCTAGCTTAGCTTTAGATGAACTGCTTTTCACGTCTTCATTTGGGGAAACAGGTTTGACTAAACTTCATCTCAGTCCTTAAGATAAGTTATAGGTTTGTATTCTTTCCTTTTTGCCCCCATTAATATAGCAGCAGGTGGGTGTAGCCCTGCAGTTAAACCCTGGGAGCCCAGCTGTGGGGAGGCAGAGCAGAGAAAACAGGAAAAACGAGGATTAAATCCCTGCGTCTGATCTGGCCGCCAGCAGCTGGAAGCAGGGAGAGTTTTGGACGACAAAATGTTTTGGCCACATGATGCAGAAAGGAGGCTGGAAGGCTGACTGAGGACTTTGGTGACTCTGCTGCGGCGCTTGTGGCCACTAGGGGCGCTAGACATGAAAGTTACAGGTCTAGCGCCCCCAGTGGCCAAAAGTTACATGGTGTGCCTTGAAGACATAGAAAATTATAATTTAAAAATAAAATATAAATTATATTTTGAAATATATGAAAATATATTTTAGCTTCTGTCTCCTTGAACCCCAGTGGGCCTCAGCAGATGGCCGCTCACACTGAGCCTGGTTCTGCTGGAGGTTTCTTCCTGTTAAAAGGGAGTTTTTCCTCTCCACTGTCGCTACAAGCATGCTTAGTGTGAGGGATTGCTGAAGAGTCAATGAGTCGATGCAATCAGCTGGTTTTCCTTAGATAGAAAACTTTGAATCAATCTGACTGGATGATCTGGATGATCTGGATCTATAAAGTGACCTGAGGTGACCTGATGTGAATTGGAGCTATAGAAATACACTGAATAGAATTGAATTGAAGTAGTGCATGACATTCATCTTTAATGACGAGTAAATGTAAGTAAGTAATGCAGCTAGGCTAACTGCATACAGCTAGGCTAACTGCATGCAGCTAGGCTAACTGCATGCAGCAAGGCTAACTGCATGCAGTGAGGCTAACTGCATGCAGCAAGGCTAACTGCATGCTGCTAGGCTAACTGCATGCAGCAAGGCTAACTGCATGCTGCTAGGCTAACTGCATGCAGCAAGGCTAACTGCATACAGCTAGGCTAACTGCATGCAGCAAGGCTAACTGCATGCAGCAAGGCTAACTGCATGCAGCGAGGCTAACTGCGTGCAGCGAGGCTAACTGCGTGCAGCGAGGCTAACTGCATGCAGCAAGGCTAACTGCATGCTGTTAGGCTGACTGCATGCAGCAAGGCTAACTGCATGCAGCAAGGCTAACTGCATACAGCTAAGCTAACTGCATGCAGCAAGGCTAACTGCATGCTGCTAGGCTGACTGCATGCAGCAAGGCTAACTGCATACAGCTAGGCTAACTGCATACAGCTAGGCTAACTGCATGCAGCAAGGCTAACTGCATGCTGCTAGGCTAACTGCATGCAGCAAGGCTAACTGCATGCAGCTAGGCTAACTGCATGCAGCGAGGCTAACTGCATGCAGCAAGGCTAACTGCATGCAGCGAGGCTAACTGCATGCAGCAAGGCTAACTACATGCTGCTAGGCTAACTGCATGCAGCAAGCCTAACTGCATGCAGCTAGGCTAACTGCATGCAGCGAGGCTAACTGCATGCAGCAAGGCTAACTACATGCTGCTAGGCTAACTGCATGCAGCAAGGCTAGCTGTATGCAGCTAGGCTAACTGCATGCAGTGAGGCTAACTGCATGCAGCGAGGCTAACTGCATGCAGCAAGGCTAACTACATGCTGCTAGGCTAACTGCATGCAGCAAGGCTAGCTGTATGCAGCTAGGCTAACTGCATGCAGTGAGGCTAACTGCATGCAGCAAGGCTAACTACATGCTGCTAGGCTAACTGCATGCAGCAAGGCTAACTGCCTGCAGCGAGGCTAACTGCATGCATCGAGGCTAACTGCCTGCAGTGAGGCTAACTCCTTTTCCAAAGGTCAGGATCTGATCCAGCCTGGATAAACGCAGCTAGGACTGATTTAAAGCACTTTGCAGAACATTTTAGAATGCTGTTTTTCTTGTTAGCATTCATGTAAATAAATTGCTGTGATCCTTTAGTTTACATTTGATTGGTTTTTATTATACGTTTATTTTGAGTTTATGGAGAAAACTCGACCAGCCGCCACAGCTGACTCCTCTGACCTCCACCACTGCTTTAAACCATCAGTGTACTTTCCTATTCGTTGCCTGTTGCCTCTCAGGATGGTCTCTGTGGTTCCCTGTGATGGACAGGTGGCGACAGGTGGGGTAAACTCGCCATTTGCCCAATAAGCGCTTTGCCCCCCCACAGGAAGGCTGGAGTAGAAAGTGGATGGATGGATCTGAATCATTTAAGTGTAAAAGAACCAGTGGAGGAAAAATACTTTTTTCACAGCAGTAAAATTCCTGTTTAATTTAAATTTGAGGATTGCAGATGTTGTTCATTGACTGTCGTCTCAGAGCGACTTTAGAACGTCTCTGTACTCCTCATGATGATCCGGTTCAGCCGTGCAATGCTGATGGACGTGCTGCAATGAGTGGGAGTGGGCCTCATGGAGGCTTTATGCAGCTGCTGGATCTCAGTGAAGCTTTTCATTTAGGGGGGATTTCTCGCAGCTCAAACTGACTTCATGGCCGACTTTTCTAACTGTGGAGGATTGAACTTTTGACCAGCAGCAAACCCTCCGGCTCACAGAGAAAGAAGTGAAACAGATGGACATTTGTTAAGGTTTAAAGCAACTGAAAACCATCTTAATACATTGATTCACCCTTTTTTCCTTCTTCATGCAAACATCTGGAGGCTGACAGATGTTCACTGACCACCAAGCAGTCAATCAGGGGGAGTTTGATCTTTTAGCCAATTCAGAAAGTCTTTGTAGAGCAGAACCACAGCCATGAAACATTTTTTCTTATGACTTTTAAATATTTAAATAAGCGCATTTGTTTGTGAATTTAGGAGGTAAATGAGACGCTTTGCCAATAAATAGGATCATTTACACCCATAATAAGAAAACACAATTTCATGATCTTATTTTAAGGGGCCTATTATCTAATTATCTTATTTTAAGAGTAAAAATATTCATTCTATCAGCAGATTATCTTATATAACTGCTCAGATTAAGGATAAATACAATTAACTGAAGGATTTTTAAAACTTATATCTAGATAGTTTTTGCAGTGTGTGTTCTTACTTCATCCCAACTTTCCCAACTGGAGCAAAGATTAAAATTGCTGTTATAACCTTTGGCTGCATGAAACGCCATAAACCAAGCTAAGGGGAGCACTAACCTCCAGGGTCGCTCTGAGAGCAGCTGTGCTCCTTGCTGAATCTCTTAAAGAGCGATCGCATCACCTTAGCGCTGCCAAAGCGCTTGAAGCGAGCACGGACGTTCTCATGGTACCATTCCAGGGTACCGATTCTAAGCACCCTGCAAAAAAAAGGCAAAACAGGAATAAACGAGCAGCAATTACAACAAAAAATAAATAAAATAAAACCATTTGTGAATCTGGACAGCTAACCCCAGCCCTTTGGGAATGACCAGTTCATTTCTGCACACAAATAAAAGCAAATGAGAGAAAACTGAAGTCTTATGGTTTGCAGATGGACCTGGAAAGAAGCGGCTGGTTGAATTCCAGCCTCCCCCAGTTGGAGCGAAGGAAGCGTAGAAGTTATGTAAGGTTTCTCTCTGCACAGCAGAGGCCAAAATGTCAATAATTCACTAGTGGTTCAGAGTTAGTCTGGGAAAACCGCGGAGCTTTAACTGTCCGCTAAACGGCTTCACAGGTCAACACAATTACTGAGATAATTAAAAACATGGAACTTATCCAGCAGCAGAGGACAGACAGCGAGGTTATGCTTTATTATTGTTATTTTGCTGATTTAATCATTTCATTAAAAAGGAAAACATCCAGCTGATTTTAGCTTAAAGGAAAACACAGAACAGATAAACATTAGATGATGCTAATGTTGTAGAATAGAGCTATTCTACAACATTAGCATCATCTAATGTGTTTACCAGATTCACAGAGTGAACTCCCTGTAAATGAACATTTTAAATAAATCCAGAAAAATGTATTTAACCCTTTTTAAACAATTAATGTTAGGTGAACTCAGCTATTTTTATTTATATTAACTTAGACTTTTTTTAAATGCATGGGTTAATTATACATCCGGAAAACAGCTCAATAAGTGGAGCTGGAAAAAATCAGCTCATCTTGATGAGTTAATGTGGATCAATTCTATTCAGTTTATTTTATAGCTCCAATTCCCATCATGTCATCTCAGGTCACTTTCCAGTTCACCAGATCATCCAGTCAGATTGATTCAAAGTTTTCTATCTAAGGAAAACCAGCTGATTGCATCGACTCATTGACTCTTCAGCAATCCCTCACACTAAGCATGCTTGTAGCGACAGTGGAGAGGAAAAACTCCCTTTTAACAGGAAGAAACCTCCAGCAGAACCAGGCTCAGTGTGAGCGGCCATCTGCTGAGGCCCACTGGGGTTCAAGGAGACAGAAGCAGACATAGAAAAAGAAGCATAGATACAAAAGGCAGCACTGTCCAGGACTAATGAGAAATAGCTTAGTTTATTTAACTTAGCCGTCTCCTTTTAGCAGGTTAGCTATAGGCTAGCCACGCTGTCGCTACCCGATACGTCCCTGAGGCATGATCCTTACCATCAGCTCATCATCAACCAGATATAAATCCGCTGTAGGTACCAGATCTGCTCGGGGCCCCGCCCCCTTTTTATGACATCATCATATGGCAACTCCACTCTGACGAACTGTATCGCACACGATTCTTAAGGATCAAATCTCTTCTTTAGTCTCAAACTTTATCGGTCATTAGACACGCTAACGCTACAGATGCTACCGACTCGCCACACTGACACTGCGTGATGTCATTATCGTTGTCTGGGCAACCACAATGTTTTACATCATGTGCAACGTTCAGCCAATCAGGCAGCGTGACGTCACTGACAGGAAGCAGATCTGGTAGCTGCGTCCCCTCGATGTTATTTTATTAAAAAGACCTAAATGATGTTTTTCCCTCCCCAGAAATAGTAATCATACTAAACTATAATGTATTAAAGGTTAATAATGTATTTCCTGATGAAATAAATGCATTAAAATCCTTTCTGTTTTATGACTCTGTTCCTGATCTATAGCTACAGGAAATGATGCTACGCTACTTCCAGGAGCTAACTTTATCAGCTTTGGATTTAAATCTAGTCTTTTTGAGTTTTATGTTTTCCTTTCCTGTTAACCTTATTCAATTCAATTCAATTCAATTCAGTTTATTTATATAGCGCCAAATTCACAACACATGTCATCTCAAGGCACTTTACAGTTCAACCAGATCAAATTGATACAAAGTTTTCTATCTAAGGAAAACCAGTTGATTGCATTGACTCATTGACTCAAATACAATCCCCCACACTAAGCATGCTTGTAGCGACAGTGGAGAGGAAAAACTCCCTTTTAACAGGAAGAAACCTCCAGCAGAACCAGGCTCAGTGTGAGCGGCCATCTTATGCTATATAGTACGTAATCTAAAGAAAGAAACAACTAAAAAGCAGATAACCATGATTTAATCAGATTTGCTGCTCTGATCGTGACCCATGATGACATCAGAGAAGCTGTTTAACGGAGAAAATGGAAAAAGCAGCAAAATTGTCTCACAAAAGTCATAAAACATTTTAAAGATGTCTATTAGCATTCTATAGTGCGTTAAGGATAAAAATAAGGAATTTTAGAACCATAATTATGGAAACCTGGCTGTATATCTGCTCACGCGGGACGGAGCGGGTGATTGACGATGCTATCTCCTATTAGCAGTTTAGCAACAGGTTAGCTATATTAAACAGATAGCCTTATAAAGCTAATAAAATCTATCACCAATAAAGCATATAGGCTAAGCTAACCGCTATAATTCTTTTGTTTTAGCTTTTTAGCCGTTTTAAAAACCCCTGAAACTATTGCTAAAGGAAACTAATGAATCTATCTTAGTTTTCTGCCTAAAGATGCAGAATATGGTTCGTTCTTTAAGTTAAAGCTAACTATGTTTGGCCTTTTGTTGGAGGGAGGTTTTTATTTCTGGAATAAAATCTCTAATAAAGTAAACTAGTTTCCCAGTTAGAGATTATCAACATAGATCTGTGAGTAGCAGACAGGTTCTGGTCTTTAGTTGGACCGTGAACAGAACCCAGAAGGCCAAATGTTTCAGTTAAACTCAGCTTCTCCTCTGAGTTCAACTGAAACCAGAGAATGGAAACGTTTGCAAACCAAACCGTCTCAGAGGTCCAACCATAACAGAAAGTCTTCCTGCGCCTCGTGCTATCTCAGGGAAACTCAGGAAATTGGAAACATGATCAGTTTCAGTTTTTCCCGCTCAGCTGGTCGTATGGAGGTCCCACCTGGCCATGTGGCAGGGCTCGCACACCCAGCCTTGCTCCCTCTTACTGAGGCGGCTGCAGGACTTGCAGACGTGCAGACGGCAGTCCAAACACTGGCGTTTGATGCTGACCAGGAACTTGAAGGGCTCCAGACAGCGAATGCAGTAAGACTCGGTCAGGCTGCTCCGAGTCCCCAGCAGCTCTCGCTTCGTGTCTTCTCTCTCTATCTTACTCTTTAGTTCACTGGAAAACAAGGAAAAAAACTAAACAAACTTGTTTGCTTTACATTCATGTTTGCTTTACATTCTCAGTCATCCAGGTCAGAGTCAGTCCAAAAAGTTAAAACCAATCCTCTGGACTTTGTTTCCAAGTCTGAAGACGTTTCTCTTCCATTCAGGAAGATTTTTCAATCCAAAATGTCAGAAATAGCGTTTAGTTCCAGGTTTTATCCAGCAGCCCAACAAAGCCTGGTTTTAGTTTAGAAAACATGCAAATAGAAACGGATGAACGGGTCCCCCCCTTTGGAATGGGGGTCGTTCGGCTGCAGCAACCCAGACTGACAGCTCATTGGCTCATTTGGATCACGTGTAGCCTGGAGCTGGACGCTCCCCAGGGCTTTACCGTATTAACAGGAGAAGAGGAGCAGGTGAAATTAGACACTGCAGGACAACATGCGGTAACTTATAAATGTTTTAAATCAGGTTGGGTCTGATTAGCCAGCAGGTGGATCCGGATCCAATCTAACCTGTGACCTCTGGGCTGCTGGATAAAACCTGGAACTAAACGCTATTTCTAACGTTTAGGATAGAAAAATTTTCTTGGATGGAAGAGAAACGTCTTCAAACTTGGAAACAAAGTCCAGTCGATTGTTTTTAACTTTTTTGGATCTACTAGATACATTTTTTAAAAAATCATCTTGAATAAATATGTCTGAAATATGGGTGAATATATTAACAAAGTCTGTTAAAAGATGTTTAGTCTGGGTTTATTTCAGGCTGACAGATAAACCAGGGAGTGAGGCGCCTCAGGGTTTATCAGCTTCCACAGATCCACCAAACTTACAGGAATTAGAGACTAACTGGAGGCTTGTTGCTGTTTAAATCAGATTTAAACTGATTCTTAGTAAACTAGAGCAAAGGTGGACACTGAAACATTCCTGCTGTTCATCACCGTGTTTATTTATAGCTTTAGAAGTACACTATATTGCCAAAAGTATTTGCTCACCTGCCTTGACTCACATATGAGCTTAAGTGACATCCCGTTCCTAATCCATAGGGTTCAATATGACGTCGGTCCACCCTTTGCAGCTAGAACAGCTTCAACTCTTCTGGGAAGGCTGTCCACAAGGTTTAGGAGTGTGTTTATGGGAATTTTTGACCATTCTTCCAGAAGCGCATTTGTGAGGTCGCACACTGATGTTGGACGAGAAGCCCTGGCTCTCAGTCTCCGCTCTAATTCATCCCAAAGGTGTTCTATCGGGTTGAGGTCAGGACTCTGTGCAGGCCAGTCAAGTTCATCCACACCAGACTCTATCATCCATGTCTTTATGGACCTTGCTTTGTGCACTGGTGCACAGTCATGTTGGAAGAGGAAGGGGCCAGCTCCAAACTGTTCCCACAAAGTTGGGAGCATGGAATTGTCCAAAATGTCTTGGTATGCTGAAGCATTCAGAGTTCCTTTCACTGGAACTAAGGGGCCAAGCCCAGCTCCTGAAAAACAACCTCACACCATAATCCCCCCTCCACCAAACTTTACACTTGGCACAATGCAGTCAGACAAGTACCGTTCTCCTGGCAACCGCCAAACCCAGACCCGTCCATCAGATTGCCAGATGGAGAAGCGCGATTCGTCACTCCAGAGAACGCGTCTCCACTGCTCTAGAGTCCAGTGGCGGCGTGCTTTACACCACCGCATCCGACGCTTTGCATTGCACTTGGTGATGTATGGCTTGGATGCAGCTGCTCGACCATGGAAACCCATTCCATGAAGCTCTCTGCGCACTGTTCTTGAGCTAATCTGAAGGCCACATGAAGTTTGGAGGTCTGTAGTGATTGACTCTGCAGAAAGTTGGCGACCTCTTCGCACTATGCGCGTCAGCATCCGCTGACCCCGCTCCGTCAGTTTACGTGGCCTACCACTTCGTGGCTGAGTTGCTGTCGTTCCCAAACACTTCCATTTTCTTATAATACAGCTGACAGTTGACTGTGGAATATTTAGGAGCGGGGAAATTTCACGACTGGATTTGTTGCACAGGTGGCATCCTATCACAGTTCCACGCTGGAATTCACTGAGCTCCTGAGAGCGACCCATTCTTTCACAAATGTTTGTAAAAACAGTCTGCATGCCTAGGTGCTTGAATTTATACACCTGTGGCCATGGAAGTGATTGGAACACCTGATTCCAATAATTTGGATGGGTGAGCAAATACTTTTGGCAATATAGTGTATGTGTAAAGCCAGTGGTATAGAAACATGAACAATCTATCCAGTTAAAGGTTAAACAGCCCTGGAGAAAGCAAACACTTAAAGCAGGGAGATAATGAGCTGTTGGGTTTAGTCTGCAGAAGGAGGCAGATTCTGTTGGTATTTCCTCCATTTTTGTAATAAATGACTTTATTGAGTCAGAATGTTTTCCTCAGCAGAGTTGAAAGGAAACTGGTTCTGATTGTTGGAGACGTTAAAGCCTCCCTCAGCGCTCTGAGCTCAGGAACAAACCAGATAACAAGTCCCAAATGTCTCTGCTTGGGTGGAGCCTGAGAAAAGGTTTCAATAAGAAACATCTCCTGCAGGATGGGAGGAGCCTTTTGAATAGAGCACGCCGTTTGAATCCGGCCTGCATCGCCGGGATATACGGCTCCTTCAGGATTCTGGAACCTTCTGCAGAAACAGCTGCTTCTGCTTGAACACTGTGTGCTTTAAAAGCAGCTTTGGTTGAATATTTTCTATCCTAATAAAGAGTTAATGCCGTGAATCTGGAGTCAGGGTTCCTCTTCAGGGTTTCAGGAACACATGTGCTCTTTGCAACGCCTCGGCCGTCACAGATGGGCGCCATGATGACTCCTCAGCAGGACGAGGACTTTAAACCAGGTGTCTGATCGTCAGGAGAAGCTTTTTAATCAAGGTTGGAAGGTTTCTGCCATTTTCCTGCGACTCCCTGCAGATAAAGGGAACCTTCTGACTGAAGCAGGTTCTAGAAGACTACTGAGGTAATTTCCTGTTTGGACTCTTCTTGGGTCAAACATCAGCCAGATCCATGATGGTCTTGGCGGAATGTTGGTGCGGTTCATTAAGGAAGGGGCGGAGTCTACATTCTCCTTACTGAGGCACTTTCTCTTTATTTACTTTAACTCTAAAGATAGTTAGGATTATGAAGCTAACAGCATGTATCCGAAGACTTTACCAACATACCGCCAGAGATAACCCGGACACCAAACCCCCGGTGGGTACTCAGCCCTGTGGACAGAAAGAGGAGGAGACGCAGGGAATGAAGTAAAAGCCTGGATCCTTGTCCAGCTCTGGAGGCGCCTCCACACCAACCATCGCTGCCCAGCATTATCATCTCCATTTCCCTCGTAAACCAGATGGAGGAGATAAAGCCCAGCTGGAAGTAAATAGGCTGGTTTGGACTGTTGTTCACTGAGACCTGGCTGCAGCCATCCAGCCAGGGGGGCTAAAGGCCCTAGAAGCAGCCAGGGGGGCTAAAGGCTCTAGAAGCAGCCAGGGGGGCTAAAGGCCCTAGAAGCAGCCAGGGGGGCTAAAGGCTCTAGAAGCAGCCAGGGGGGCTAAAGGCCCTAGAAGCAGCCAGGGGGGCTATAGGCTCTAGAAGCAGCCAGGGGGGCTAAAGGCCCTAGAAGCAGCCAGGGGGGCTATAGGCTCTAGAAGCAGCCAGGGGGGCTAAAGGCCCTAGAAGCAGCCAGGGGGGCTAAATGCTCTAGAAGCAGCCAGGGGGGCTATAGGCCCTAGAAGCAGCCAGGGGGGCTAAAGGCCCTAGAAGCAGCCAGGGGGCTATAGGCTCTAGAAGCAGCCAGGGGGGCTAAAGGCCCTAGAAGCAGCCAGGGGGGCTATAGGCTCTAGAAGCAGCCAGGGGGGCTAAAGGCCCTAGAAGCAGCCAGGGGGACTATAGGCCCTAGAAGCAGCCAGGGGGACTATAGGCCCTAGACGCAGCCAGGGGGGCTAAAGGCCCTAGAAGCAGCCAGGGGGACTATAGGCCCTAGAAGCAGCCAGGGGGGCTAAAGGCCCTAGAAGCAGCCAGGGGGACTATAGGCCCTAGAAGCAGCCAGGGGGGCTAAAGGCCCTAGAAGCAGCCAGGGGGCTATAGGCCCTAGAAGCAGCCAGGGGGGCTATAGGCCCTAGAAGCAGCCAGGGGGACTATAGGCCCTAGACGCAGCCAGGGGGGCTAAAGGCCCTAGAAGCAGCCAGGGGGACTATAGGCCCTAGAAGCAGCCAGGGGGGCTAAAGGCCCTAGAAGCAGCCAGGGGGACTATAGGCCCTAGACGCAGCCAGGGGGGCTAAAGGCCCTAGAAGCAGCCAGGGGGACTATAGGCCCTAGAAGCAGCCAGGGGGGCTAAAGGCCCTAGAAGCAGCCAGGGGGACTATAGGCCCTAGAAGCAGCCAGGGGGGCTAAAGGCCCTAGAAGCAGCCAGGGGGCTATAGGCCCTAGAAGCAGCCAGGGGGGCTATAGGCCCTAGAAGCAGCAAGGGGGGCTAAAGGCTCTAGAAGCAGCCAGGGGGCTATAGGCCCTAGAAGCAGCCAGGGGGGCTAAAGGCCCTAGAAGCAGCCAGGGGGGCTATAGGCCCTAGAAGCAGCCAGGGGGGCTATAGGCCCTAGAAGCAGCCAGGGGGGCTAAAGGCTCTAGAAGCAGCCAGGGGGCTATAGGCCCTAGAAGCAGCCAGGGGGGCTATAGGCCCTAGAAGCAGCCAGGGGGGCTAAAGGCTCTAGAAGCAGCCAGGGGGCTATAGGCCCTAGAAGCAGCCAGGGGGGCTATAGGCCCTAGAAGCAGCCAGGGGGGCTAAAGGCTCTAGAAGCAGCCAGGGGGCTATAGGCCCTAGAAGCAGCCAGGGGGACTATAGGCCCTAGAAGCAGCCAGGGGGGCTATAGGCCCTAGAAGCAGCCAGGGGGGCTTTAGGCCCTAGAAGCAGCCAGGGGGGCTAAAGGCTCTAGAAGCAGCCAGGGGGGCTAAAGGCTCTAGAAGCAGCCAGGGGGGCTATAGGCCCTAGAAGCAGCCAGGGGGACTATAGGCCCTAGAAGCAGCCAGGGGGGCTAAAGGCCCTAGAAGCAGCCAGGGGGGCTATAGGCCCTAGAAGCAGCCAGGGGGGCTAAAGGCCCTAGAAGCAGCCAGGGGGGCTATAGGCTCTAGAAGCAGCCAGGGGGGCTATAGGCTCTAGAAGCAGCCAGGGGGGCTGAAGGCCCTAGAAGCAGCTAGGGGGGCTAAAGGCTCTAAAAGCAGCCAGGGGGGCTATAGGCCCTAGAAGCAGCCAGGGGGGCTAAAGGCCCTAGAAGCAGCCAGGGGGGCTATAGGCCCTAGAAGCAGCCAGGGGGGCTAAAGGCTCTAGAAGCAGCCAGGGGGGCTATAGGCCCTAGAAGCAGCCAGGGGGGCTAAAGGCCCTAGAAGCAGCCAGGGGGGCTATAGGCTCTAGAAGCAGCCAGGGGGGCTATAGGCCCTAGAAGCAGCCAGGGGGGCTAAAGGCCCTAGAAGCAGCCAGGGGGGCTATAGGCTCTAGAAGCAGCCAGGGGGGCTATAGGCCCTAGAAGCAGCCAGGGGGGCTAAATGCTCTAGAAGCAACCAGGGGGGCTATAGGCCCTAGAAACAGCCAGGGGGGCTAAATGCTCTAGAAGCAGCCAGGGGGGCTATAGGCCCTAGAAGCAGCCAGGGGGGCTAAAGGCCCTAGAAGCAGCCAGGGGGGATAAAGGCTCTAGAAGCAGCCAGGGGGGCTATAGGCCCTAGAAGCAGCCAGGGGGACTAAAGGCTCTAGAAGGAGCCTGGGGGTCTATAGGCCCTAGAAGCAGCCAGGGGGGCTAAAGGCTCTAGAAGCAGCCAGGGGGGCTATAGGCCCTAAAAGCAGCCAGGGGGGCTAAAGGCTCTAGAAGCAGCCTGGGGGTCTATAGGCCCTAGAAGCAGCCAGGGGGGCTATAGGCCCTAGAAGCAGCCAGGGGGGCTAAAGGCCCTAGAAGCAGCCAGGTGGGCTATAGGGCCTAGAAGCAGCCAGGGGGGCTAAAGGCCCTAGAAGCAGCCAGGGGGGCTATAGGCTCTAGAAGCAGCCAGGGGGGCTAAAGGCCCTAGAAGCAGCCAGGGGGGCTATAGGCCCTAGAAGCAGCCAGGGGGGCTAAAGGCCCTAGAAGCAGCCAGGGGGGCTATAGGCTCTAGAAGCAGCCAGGGGGGCTAAAGGCCCTAGAAGCAGCCAGGGGGGCTATAGGCTCTAGAAGCAGCCAGGGGGGCTATAGGCCCTAGAAGCAGCCAGGGGGGCTATAGGCCCTAGAAGCAGCCAGGGGGGCTATAGGCTCTAGAAGCAGCCAGGGGGGCTATAGGCCCTAGAAGCAGCCAGGGGGGCTAAAGGCCCTAGAAGCAGCCAGGGGCACTATAGGCCCTAGAAGCAGCCAGGGGGGCTAAAGGCCCTAGAAGCAGCCAGGGGGCTATAGGCCCTAGAAGCAGCCAGGGGGGCTAAAGGCCCTAGAAGCAGCCAGGGGGACTATAGGCCCTAGAAGCAGCCATGGGGGCTAAAGGCCCTAGAAGCAGCCAGGGGGGCTGAAGGCCCTAGAAGCACCCAGGGGGGCTGAAGGCCCTAGAAGCAGCCAGGGGGGCTATAGGCTCTAGAAGCAGCCAGGGGGGCTATAGGCCCTAGAAGCAGCCAGGGGGGCTAAATGCTCTAGAAGCAGCCAGGGGGGCTATAGGCCCTAGAAGCAGCCAGGGGGGCTAAATGCTCTAGAAGCAGCAAGGGGGGGCTATAGGCCCTAGAAGCAGCCAGGGGGGCTAAAGGCTCTAGAAGCAGCCAGGGGGGCTATAGGCCCTAGAAGCAGCCAGGGGGGCTAAAGGCTCTAGAAGCAGCCAGGGGGGCTATAGGCCCTAGAAGCAGCCAGGGGGGCTATAGGCTCTAGAAGCAGCCAGGGGGGCTAAAGGCCCTAGAAGCAGCCAGGGGGGCTAAAGGCCCTAGAAGCAGCCAGGGGGGCTATAGGCCCTAGAAGCAGCCAGGGGGGCTATAGGCTCTAGAAGCAGCCAGGGGGGCTATAGGCCCTAGAAGCAGCCAGGGGGGCTAAAGGCCCTAGAAGCAGCCAGGGGGGCTATAGGCCCTAGAAGCAGCCAGGGGGGCTAAAGGCTCTAGAAGCAGCCAGGGGGGCTATAGGCCCTAGAAGCAGCCAGGTGGGCTAAAGGCTCTAGAAGCAGCCAGGGGGGCTATAGGCCCTAGAAGCAGCCAGGGGGGCTATAGGCTCTAGAAGCAGCCAGGGGGGCTATAGGCCCTAGAAGCAGCCAGGGGGGCTAAAGGCTCTAGAAGCAGCCAGGGGGGCTATAGGCCCTAGAAGCAGCCAGGGGGGCTATAGGCTCTAGAAGCAGCCAGGGGGGCTATAGGCCCTAGAAGCAGCCAGGGGGGCTAAAGGCCCTAGAAGCAGCCAGGGGGGCTAAATGCTCTAGAAGCAGCCAGGGGGGCTAAAGGCCCTAGAAGCAGCCAGGGGGGCTATAGGCCCTAGAAGCAGCCTGGGGGGCTAAAGGTCCTAGAAGCAGCCAGGGGGGCTAAAGGCCCTAGAAGCAGCCAGGGGGGCTATAGGCTCTAGAAGCAGCCAGGGGGGCTATAGGCCCTAGAAGGAGCCAGGGGGGCTAAATGCTCTAGAAGCAGCCAGGGGGGCTATAGGCCCTAGAAGCAGCCAGGGGGGCTAAATGCTCTAGAAGCAGCCAGGGGGGCTAAAGGCCCTAGAAGCAGCCAGGGGGGCTATAGGCCCTAGAAGCAGCCAGGGGGGCTAAATGCTCTAGAAGCAGCCTGGGGGGCTATAGGCCCTAGAAGCAGCCAGGGGGGCTATAGGCCCTAGAAGCAGCCAGGGGGGCTAAATGCTCTAGAAGCAGCCAGGGGGGCTAAATGCTCTAGAAGCAGCCAGGGGGGCTATAGGCCCTAGAAGCAGCCAGGGGGGGAGGACTGAGTATCTGATGCACAAACACGTCTACCATCGACAGGCTCTGCTCTGCTCCAACCACATGTCTCTGCTCCTGAGTCTGACCTACACCCCGCTGAGGAAGCATTCATCCCCAACCCCCCCCCCCCCCCCCCCCCCCCATAACCCCAACTGTGACCCCGCGGCCCATCGTTGCCTCTCTGCAGGTGCAGTCTGGGACGTTCTCCAGGACATCCTTCCATCAGGACGTGTCTCCTAACCATAAACCATCGATTAGCAAGGATGTGGACATGAGAGCGATCTGGCTGCGCCATCTGTCACCCCACTGATCGCTACCTTCCATTCGGCTGAGCGGCTGACCCGCAGTGGGGCTCTGAGTTTGAGCCCCACTGCCACAGACTGCCACTCTGGGTCCCTGAGCAAGGGGACGGGTTAAATGCAGAGAGTGGATTTTATTGCTCTGTACTGTGACGTGGAATGACGATATAAAAGCTAGAAAAAAAAAGCCGAGGAACGGCGTGTTCAGGTGTGGGGTCAGGGAGCGTTACAGCTGTGAGAGACGCCTCAGACCGCCATCAGAGAGAGGAACCAAAACTCTATGGCTGCATTTTAAAAGCCCCCCCCCTCTGTTTTGATGGTTGGGTTTTTCCTTCATGCCCCTTTCAAAGCACTTATCCTCTCTGTCCAAAATGGACACCTCAGCGATAGCGTTGATAACCTGGATGAGTGAGGATCTTCACCAGCATTATCCTCCATAGAACTCAGTTACATCTATTAATGTTCATCTATGTGAAAACGACTCAGAATAATCTTCCAATATTTAAAATGTCTGATCTGATGGATTGGAGGTCGTGCAGAACCATCAGACCCGGTTCTGAGCAGATGAATTGGATCCAGGCTGGAGGCTGATGAGGGTGGAGACCAGTTGGACCAGTGAGGTCGGTTCTCCCCTGAGGAACCTCTGGCCTCCATCTTCTCCAGGTTCTTCTATCTGAGCTTTAAAAGCTTTGGGAGGTGAAGGAGGTGAAGGAGCCTCCTCGCTGCAGAAGCTGCAGCTGATTTGAATGCTGGGAAAGTTTCTCCTGATGCTTCAGTCTTTGAACGGTGAGAAACGAAGGAAAAGCTTTTGGCTCCTGTAGTTTTATGTGACGCTGGAACGGAAAACAACGCATTTCGTTTTGCGAAGCTGCATATTTGGTTTGCAGCTCTGAGGAGCGAAGCGTTTTATATGGAAGATCTGCACATATTTAAGGAGCAGAGCCGAAAGTAGCAGCAGAGAGACAGAAACAAATAACGGAGGTCAGGAGGACGGCGTGTCCCGCCTCTGTCCCTCTGCTGGCACCTGTCCCTGGTTCGGTACCGTTACCATGGCAGCAGCTGGGAACCAATGAATGAGTGTTACCCGAGGCGGTCCTCCTCCTTCCTCCGCAGGTCAAAGTCTCTCTGGACCACCTCCCACACATGCCTGGCCTCCTGGTCTGTGAGCTGGGACAGGTCCAGCTTCCCCCCCGCTGCGGCGGCGAGCATGATGGCTGGTCACCTGGAAATGAGACGGGAAATGAGCGTCAATCAGGAGCATTTAGAGAGAAACGAAGAGGTTAGGGACCGAGCTGAAAGGACACATGAACGCATCGCTTCATCAATCCTTTAAGCTCCCTCTGGTTGTGTCTACCCCCCCCCCCCATGGTAAATGGCCTGCACTTATAAAGCGCTTTGGTCTCCTGACTTGACCAAACAACAGTCTGGAGGCCAGCCCCTCGGCCTCCGCCCACCCTGGCAGGGTTGTGTTTTTGTTTTTTCCTGAATATTTTTGGGGGTCTGGTATCCACCCTTTAGTGGGGGGGTCCTGTTAGGTTTCTGTTTTATATTCTTTGTGGTTTATTTATTATTTTCTTGTGTTTTCTAGTTATTTCTAGTCTTCTAGGTTCTTCATTTGTTCCCCTCTGCTGCCCTCTTGTGGTCTCCTTTTTTCCCGGCTCTTTTCCTCTCCTGCTCTGCCCTCACTTGTCCCCAATCCTCCCATTAGCCCTCCCTTTGTCTCAGTCTCCTTTTAATGCTCTCCCTCTTCACTTCCTGTTTGCTGGGGCCTCATCTTACCTCGTCTATCTGAGTCTTCCTGCTTACAGTAATTCCCCTGATGACTCCATGTTTTTTTTGGGGGGGTAACCTTTGACTTGACTTATGTTTTTCAATTTTTTAGATCTTTGAATTTTTTTTTACTTCTGGTTTCTTGTTTTTCTTTGGACTTTTTTTTCATCTTAGGATTTTTGGATTCTTGGTTGCCTGTTTGTTTGGTTTATTCAGTTATTCATTATTAAATCAACTTATAATTCACCTCTGCCTTCCTGCCTCTGCTTTGGGTCAATCTTCCACAAACAAATCCTGACACAAAGATTAGATAAAAATAAATATAAAACATGCACATGCAAACATAAACATCTAAGGTGGAATGAACACTCTGCAAAGTAGATTTATTCAACTTATAACATTTGCAAAAACAATCGTTATAGTTTGTAAGAATAAGTTAAACTAAGGCGTCCTGTTTATAGAGGCAGACTCAGCGGATGGAAAATAAGATTTGAAAAGAAGAAAGAGTTTCTATTAATGCAGCAGATTAGTTTAAATCAAACATGGAGGCACCACTGTGGAGCAGACAGACAATCTACTCAACTAATGCTACGCTCAGACTGCAAGCAGCAGGAGCAGGAGCAGCCGGAGCAGCAGGAGGAGCAGGAGCAGCGCCGCATGAGCTTCAGAGCATCTGAGGTGCATGATGCTAACATCTACTGGCAGTGAGTCAGACGCAGCACTGCTGATGCAGAGCGCTATGATCACTCCTCTGAAACAGTTTATTAACGCCTACATTACCTTCAAATGTAGAAACCTGCCGGCAGAATATGTTGGCTTTTATTATCCTGCTGCCTGCAGTTTGTAGCACAGACCTGAAAAACGCTAACATCTACTTCCAGCCGCCACCAACAGGAGGGGAAAACCCTGGAGAGGCGAGCGGGCCTGAGGCAGCTGCTGCTGGGGATTCCCAGTGACAGCGCAGCGCCGGTATGTGGGGGTCTGAGCGGCTCCCACAGAGAAATAATCTTTGAAGGCAGGATGGTAATCTGGATGAACTGACTGCACAGACCATGTTTTCAGGAGGACTTTCTCACTTCAACATAGATTCTAACTACTTTCTACCCGCTGATCACAGCTAATATAGCCGCCATTGTTCCAGGCAGAGAAAGGATAGAGTAGCTCCGCCCACCGCGCATCAGACCCACTTTACCACCGCGCAGCTAGAGCAGCAAAGATGCTTCAGCCGCGCGTCAGAACTAAACTGGAACAACATCAGAAATGAAGTGTTTCTGCTGCTCCTGCTGCTTTAGGTGTGAACGTAGCATCAGACCTTAGCTTTAACAGCAGGGAGGTTAACCCTGATATCTGGGAGGTTTCTGATCCTCAATCATCAGTTTCAGCCTTTCTAGATGTAATGAATCTATGAAGGACCTGGAGCTGACCCATTCTGCTCTGATCTCTATTAGCTTCTCTGTCTTCAGTGATGAGATGCTACAATAGAGACAGAACCTCTGAGAACCAGCTGCAGCGGCCTAGTTAAAGTTCAGAGCTGGTCCTGATAGAGATGCTGTGATGGTGTGAGGGTGGTCCTACAGGCTGCTGGATCAGGGTCACGCTGCCTCACATGCTGCTCTATAAATGATCAATGGGCTTCAGACCTGATCAGGAAGTCTTTGATGTGGATCCCCCTCGCTGTCATGTGACCCTGCTCCTGTTTGGCGCCGTTCAACCGTCTCATTGCTGGAAGATCTTAATCACGTCTCCGTTAAATTGAGCCCAACCAAAAAAACCTCACGTGGTCCAGTTTTATAATCTGCTCAGGATGATGCAACCTTCCTCTGCTACATGGAGAGTCTGATGTTCCAGAACCTTCTACTTCTGGTCAGGAAGCCTTGAATCCAGCGTTCCAGGTAATCCAGGTAAAGCAGCTCTGCAGGTGTTTGCTTAGGAGGTGGAAGCAGGTAAACGGAGCAAAGCTTTGTGTTCAATGAACCACAGGAAGTGGGTTTTATCCTGTAACTTATCATAAAGTAGAGAAAGAGGCTTCAGGATGAGTTGGAGGGGGGGCTGAGCTGAGCAGCTGCTTGGATCCTGCACCTCCTCTACGGCTCAGTCTGTTCACAGATCAAACTAATCCCACAATAGAGCAATCATAGAAATCCACAGACAGACGGTAAATGACATCATCACCTCTAAGGAGCTAGAAGACGTAGAAAGACAGACGTAGAGTTTGCTCACCTTGGCTGGGCGTCTGCAGACTGATTCCTCCTGGAGCAGATGGGACTGACTGCAGGGCAAAGCAGGGAGACGACTGGAAAACTGATCACATGTCCTGTTAACCAGGAGGAGGGAACTCTGCCAAGTCCCGCCCCCCCCTCCGTCTGATCTTCTAAAGGTCAGTCTGTGTCTCACCTGACCTCTGCAATGTGATTCATTACTGAGCAAAACCCCCACAGTCACATGACTGGGTGCAGCATGGCGGCGTGGTGCAGCAGGGCGGCGTGGTGCAGCATGGCGGCGTGGTGCAGCAGGGCGGCGTGGTGCAGCAGGGCGGCGTGTCGCAGCAGGGCGGCGTGGTGCAGCAGGGCGGCGTGTCGCAGCAGGGCGGCGTGGTGCAGCAGGGCGGCGTGGTGCAGCAGGGCGGCGTGTCGCAGCAGGGCGGCGTGTCGCAGCAGGGCGGCGTGTCGCAGCAGGGCGGCGTGGTGCAGCAGGGCGGCGTGTCGCAGCAGGGCGGCGTGGTGCAGCATGGCGGCGTGTCGCAGCAGGGCGGCGTGTCGCAGCAGGGCGGCGTGTCGCAGCAGGGCGGCGTGGTGCAGCATGGCGGCGTGTCGCAGCAGGGCGGCGTGTCGCAGCAGGGCGGCGTGTCGCAGCAGGGCGGCGTGGTGCAGCAGGGCGGCGTGTCGCAGCAGGGCGGCGTGGTGCAGCAGGGCGGCGTGTCGCAGCAGGGCGGCGTGGTGCAGCATGGCGGCGTGGTGCAGCAGGGCGGCGTGTCGCAGCAGGGCGGCGTGTCGCAGCAGGGCGGCGTGTCGCAGCAGGGCGGCGTGGTGCAGCATGGCGGCGTGTCGCAGCAGGGCGGCGTGTCGCAGCAGGGCGGCGTGTCGCAGCAGGGCGGCGTGGTGCAGCATGGCGGCGTGTCGCAGCAGGGCGGCGTGGTGCAGCATGGCGGCGTGGTGCAGCAGGGCGGCGTGGTGCAGCATGGCGGCGTGGTGCAGCATGGCGGCGTGTCGCAGCAGGGCGGCGTGTCGCAGCAGGGCGGCGTGGTGCAGCATGGCGGCGTGGTGCAGCAGGGCGGCGTGGTGCAGCATGGCGGCGTGGTGCAGCAGGGCGGCGTGGTGCAGCATGGCGGCGTGTCGCAGCAGGGCGGCGTGTCGCAGCAGGGCGGCGTGGTGCAGCATGGCGGCGTGTCGCAGCAGGGCGGCGTGGTGCAGCATGGCGGCGTGTCGCAGCAGGGCGGCGTGGTGCAGCATGGCGGCGTGTCGCAGCAGGGCGGCGTGTCGCAGCAGGGCGGCGTGGTGCAGCAGGGCGGCGTGTCGCAGCAGGGCGGCGTGGTGCAGCATGGCGGCGTGGTGCAGCAGGGCGGCGTGTCGCAGCATGGCGGCGTGTCGCAGCAGGGCGGCGTGGTGCAGCAGGGCGGCGTGTCGCAGCAGGGCGGCGTGGTGCAGCAGGGCGGCGTGGTGCAGCATGGCGGCGTGGTGCAGCAGGGCGGCGTGGTGCAGCATGGCGGCGTGTCGCAGCAGGGCGGCGTGTCGCAGCAGGGCGGCGTGGTTCAGCATGGCGGCGTGTCGCAGCAGGGCGGCGTGGTGCAGCATGGCGGCGTGTCGCAGCAGGGCGGCGTGTCGCAGCAGGGCGGCGTGGTGCAGCATGGCGGCGTGTCGCAGCAGGGCGGCGTGTCGCAGCAGGGCGGCGTGTCGCAGCATGGCGGCGTGTCGCAGCAGGGCGGCGTGGTGCAGCATGGCGGCGTGTCGCAGCATGGCGGCGTGTCGCAGCAGGGCGGCGTGGTGCAGCAGGGCGGCGTGGTGCAGCATGGCGGCGTGTCGCAGCAGGGCGGCGTGTCGCAGCAGGGCGGCGTGGTGCAGCAGGGCGGCGTGGTGCAGCATGGCGGCGTGTCGCAGCAGGGCGGCGTGGTGCAGCATGGCGGCGTGTCGCAGCATGGCGGCGTGGTGCAGCAGGGCGGCGTGGTGCAGCATGGCGGCGTGTCGCAGCAGGGCGGCGTGGTGCAGCAGGGCGGCGTGGTGCAGCATGGCGGCGTGTCGCAGCAGGGCGGCGTGGTGCAGCAGGGCGGCGTGGTGCAGCATGGCGGCGTGTCGCAGCAGGGCGGCGTGGTGCAGCAGGGCGGCGTGGTGCAGCATGGCGGCGTGTCGCAGCAGGGCGGCGTGGTGCAGCATGGCGGCGTGTCGCAGCAGGGCGGCGTGGTGCAGCAGGGCGGCGTGTCGCAGCAGGGCGGCGTGTCGCAGCAGGGCGGCGTGGTGCAGCAGGGCGGCGTGTCGCAGCAGGGCGGCGTGGTGCAGCATGGCGGCGTGTCGCAGCAGGGCGGCGTGGTGCAGCATGGCGGCGTGTCGCAGCAGGGCGGCGTGGTGCAGCAGGGCGGCGTGTCGCAGCAGGGCGGCGTGGTGCAGCAGGGCGGCGTGTCGCAGCAGGGCGGCGTGGTGCAGCAGGGCGGCGTGTCGCAGCAGGGCGGCGTGGTGCAGCATGGCGGCGTGTCGCAGCAGGGCGGCGTGGTGCAGCATGGCGGCGTGTCGCAGCAGGGCGGCGTGGTGCAGCATGGCGGCGTGTCGCAGCAGGGCGGCGTGGTGCAGCAGGGCGGCGTGTCGCAGCAGGGCGGCGTGTCGCAGCAGGGCGGCGTGTCGCAGCAGGGCGGCGTGGTGCAGCAGGGCGGCGTGGTGCAGCATGGCGGCGTGTCGCAGCATGGCGGCGTGTCGCAGCAGGGCGGCGTGGTGCAGCATGGCGGCGTGTCGCAGCATGGCGGCGTGTCGCAGCAGGGCGGCGTGGTGCAGCATGGCGGCGTGTCGCAGCAGGGCGGCGTGGTGCAGCATGGCGGCGTGTCGCAGCAGGGCGGCGTGGTGCAGCATGGCGGCGTGTCGCAGCAGGGCGGCGTGGTGCAGCATGGCGGCGTGTCGCAGCAGGGCGGCGTGGTGCAGCATGGCGGCGTGTCGCAGCATGGCGGCGTGTCGCAGCATGGCGGCGTGTCGCAGCAGGGCGGCGTGGTGCAGCATGGCGGCGTGTCGCAGCAGGGCGGCGTGGTGCAGCATGGCGGCGTGTCGCAGCAGGGCGGCGTGGTGCAGCAGGGCGGCGTGGTGCAGCAGGGCGGCGTGGTGCAGCATGGCGGCGTGTCGCAGCAGGGCGGCGTGGTGCAGCATGGCGGCGTGTCGCAGCAGGGCGGCGTGGTGCAGCATGGCGGCGTGTCGCAGCAGGGCGGCGTGGTGCAGCATGGCGGCGTGGTCGCAGCAGGGCGGCGTGGTGCAGCATGGCGGCGTGGTCGCAGCAGGGTGGCGTGTCGCAGCAGGGCGGCGTGGTGCAGCATGGCGGCGTGGTGCAGCAGGGCGGCGTGGTGCAGCATGGCGGCGTGGTGCAGCAGGGCGGCGTGGTGCAGCATGGCGGCGTGTCGCAGCAGGGCGGCGTGTCGCAGCAGGGCGGCGTGGTGCAGCATGGCGGCGTGTCGCAGCAGGGCGGCGTGGTGCAGCATGGCGGCGTGGTGCAGCATGGCGGCGTGTCGCAGCAGGGCGGCGTGGTGCAGCATGGCGGCGTGTCGCAGCAGGGCGGCGTGGTGCAGCATGGCGGCGTGTCGCAGCAGGGCGGCGTGTCGCAGCAGGGCGGCGTGTCGCAGCATGGCGGCGTGTCGCAGCAGGGTGGCGTGTCGCAGCAGGGCGGCGTGGTGCAGCATGGCGGCGTGTCGCAGCAGGGCGGCGTGGTGCAGCATGGCGGCGTGTCGCAGCATGGCGGCGTGTCGCAGCAGGGCGGCGTGGTGCAGCATGGCGGCGTGTCGCAGCAGGGCGGCGTGGTGCAGCATGGCGGCGTGGTTCAGCATGGCGGCGTGGTGCAGCATGGCGGCGTGTCGCAGCAGGGCGGCGTGGTGCAGCATGGCGGCGTGTCGCAGCAGGGCGGCGTGGTGCAGCATGGCGGCGTGGTTCAGCAGGGCGGCGTGGTGCAGCATGGCGGCGTGTCGCAGCAGGGCGGCGTGTCGCAGCAGGGCGGCGTGGTGCAGCATGGCGGCGTGTCGCAGCAGGGCGGCGTGGTGCAGCATGGCGGCGTGGTTCAGCATGGCGGCGTGGTGCAGCAGGGCGGCGTGGTGCAGCATGGCGGCGTAGTGCAGCATGGCGGCGTGGTGCAGCATGGCGGCGTGTCGCAGCAGGGCGGCGTGGTGCAGCATGGCGGCGTGTCGCAGCAGGGCGGCGTGGTGCAGCATGGCGGCGTGGTTCAGCAGGGCGGCGTGGTGCAGCATGGCGGCGTGTCGCAGCAGGGCGGCGTGGTGCAGCATGGCGGCGTGTCGCAGCAGGGCGGCGTGGTGCAGCATGGCGGCGTGTCGCAGCAGGGCGGCGTGGTGCAGCAGGGCGGCGTGGTTCAGCATGGCGGCGTGGTGCAGCATGGCGGCGTGTCGCAGCAGGGCGGCGTGGTGCAGCATGGCGGCGTGTCGCAGCAGGGCGGCGTGGTGCAGCATGGCGGCGTGTCGCAGCAGGGCGGCGTGTCGCAGCAGGGCGGCGTGGTGCAGCATGGCGGCGTGTCGCAGCAGGGCGGCGTGGTGCAGCATGGCGGCGTGGTTCAGCATGGCGGCGTGGTGCAGCAGGGCGGCGTGGTGCAGCATGGCGGCGTGTCGCAGCAGGGCGGCGTGTCGCAGCAGGGCGGCGTGGTGCAGCAGGGCGGCGTGTCGCAGCATGGCGGCGTGTCGCAGCATGGCGGCGTGGTGCAGCATGGCGGCGTGTCGCAGCAGGGCGCCGTGTCGCAGCAGGGCGGCGTGGTGCAGCATGGCGGCGTGGTGCAGCAGGGCGGCGTGGTGCAGCATGGCGGCGTGTCGCAGCAGGGCGGCGTGGTGCAGCATGGCGGCGTGGTGCAGCATGGCGGCGTGTCGCAGCAGGGCGGCCTGGTGCAGCATGGCGGCGTGTCGCAGCAGGGCGGCGTGGTGCAGCATGGCGGCCTGGTGCAGCATGGCGGCGTGGTGCAGCATGGCGGCGTGTCGCAGCAGGGCGGCGTGGTGCAGCATGGCGGCGTGGTTCAGCATGGCGGCGTGGTGCAGCAGGGCGGCGTGGTGCAGCATGGCGGCGTGTCGCAGCAGGGCGGCGTGGTGCAGCATGGCGGCGTGGTTCAGCATGGCGGCGTGGTTCAGCATGGCGGCGCGGTGCAGCATGGCGGCGTGTCGCAGCAGGGCGGCGTGGTGCAGC